TTTTTGCAGTATCATTGCAGAGAAACGTGTTGTTTATCTGCCTGCCTCGTCTTCATTGAGATAGTTGATGAATTGATACAAAAATATATCGCGTTCCAGTAACGAATGTTGGAAATATTGTTCAGGTATGTTCCAGATTCAACATCCATGTTCTGCCTCTCATGAAAATTAGTATTAGTTTTTATAGACTTCGATAATTGATGTCATGTTTATTTGCAGATATGAGAAGCAAAGTGTTGATATTTCACGATGAATCGAACAAAGAATCCGCAAAGAAAAATAGCCAGAGTATACTTTACAGAATTCAGATCATTATATTCCATTGTTGTTTATCTGCCTGTCTCGTCTTCATTGAGATAGTTGATGAATTTATGAATTACAAAAATATATCGCGTTCCAGTTATGAATGTTGAAAACAATATCCAAACTTTTCATAGATTCATATTCTATGTAGGTCTCACGATTCAAATTTGAAATTGATACTCAGTTTTAGATCTGAGCAGCACATTGTTTAGCCTTCAAGGTCCTTAATATAACCCACGTAATTGAACATGTGGAAAATGCCTACTGGAAAACCCACTATACGGAAAGAAAGCAGATATGTTGCAATCAAGTAACGGACGTTGAAAATATTATTCAGGTATGTCTCAGATTCAACATTTATGTATTTCCTCTAATGATATTTTCTGATTCAAATGCACTTCGATTTAAATGTGATGTTTAGTTGCAGATCCAAGAAGCAGAGTTTGATACTTGCCACTCAATCGGAGAAAACCATCCAGTAAAGACGGATCGAACAGAAGAACCGCAAAGAGACCTGACCGGAGTATACTTTACAGAATTCAGATCATTATATTCGTACGGAAGGCGATATATTGATACCCTTTCCAGATTCTCAAGAAGACAGATAAGACAGATATTCAGCTTTACGTCTCTATGGAAACACGACAGGTACCCTTACGAGGGGAGAGTATCAACTCGGCGTTCATAAACCCTCTCTGCAAAGGAGGTAGACGCATGGTGGGTTAGGTATATACAGTGTTCTTCATTGCAGAGAAAATTGTTGTTTATCTGCCTGTCTCGTCTTCATTGAGATAGTTTAGGAATTACAAAAATATGTCGCGTTCCAGTTATGAATTTTGGAAACAATATCCAGACTTTTCATAGATTCATATTCTATGTAGGTCTCACGATTCAAATTTGAAATTGATACTTAGTTTTAGATCTGAGGAGCAGATTGTTTGGCCTTCAAGGTCCTTAATATTACCCACGCAATTGAACATGTGGAAGATGCCTACTGGAAAAACCACTATACGGAAAGAAAGCGGATATGTAGCAATCTAGTTACGGACGTTGAAAATATTATTCAGGTATGTCTCAGATTCAACATCTATGTCGTTCCACTGATGATATTTTCTGATTCAAATGTACTTCGATTTAAATGTAATGTTAAGTTGCAGATCCAAGAAGCAGTGTTTGATACTTGCCACTCAATCGGAGAAAACCATCCAATGAATATGGACCGAACAGAAGATCCGCAAAGAGAATTAACCAGAGTATACTTTACAGAATTCAGATCATTATATTCGTACGGAAGGCGATATATTGATTACCTTTCCAGATCCTCAAGCAGACAGATAGACAGATATTCAGCTTTATGTCTCTATGGAAACACGACAGGTACCCTTACGAGGGGAGAGTATCAACTCGGCGTTCATAAACCCTCTCTGCAACGGAGGTAGACGCATGGTGGGTTAGGTATATACAGTAATCTTCATTGCAGAGAAAATTGTTGTTTATCTGCCTGTCTCGTCTTCATTGAGATAGTTTATGAATCACAAAAATATGTCGCGTTCCAGTTATGAATGTTGACAATATCCAGACTTTTCATAGATTCATTTTCTATGTAGGTCTCACGATTCCAATTTGAAATTGATACTTAGTTTTAGATCTGAGCAGCACATTGTTTGGCCTTCGAGGTCCTTAATATTACCCACGCAATTGAACATGTGGAATATGCCTACTGGAAAAACCACTATACGGAAAGAAAGCGGATATGTAGCCGTTGAAAATATTATTCAGGTATGTCTCAGATTCAACATCTATGTATTTCCTCTAATGATATATTCTGATTCAAATGTACTTCGATTTAAACGTGATGTTTAGTTGCAGATCCAAGAAGAAGTGTTTGATACTTGCCAGTCAATCGGAGAAAACCATCCAGTAAATACGGACCGAACAGAAGATCCGCAAAGAGAACTAACCAGAGTATACTTTACAGAATTCAGATCATTATATTCGTACGGAAGGCGACATATTGATATCCTTTCCAGATTCTCAAGAAAACAGATAAGACAGATATTCAGCTTTACGTCTCTATGGAAACACGACAGGTACCCTTACGAGGGGAGAGTATCAACTCGGCGTTCATAAACCCTCTCTGCAAAGGAGGTAGACGCATGGTGGGTTAGGTATATACAGTGTTCTTCATTGCAGAGAAAATTGTTGTTTATCTGCCTGTCTCGTCTTCATTGAGATAGTTTATGAATTACAAAAATATGTCGCGTTCCAGTTATGAATGTTGAAAACAATATCCGACTTTTCATAGATTCATATTCTATGTAGGTCTCACGATTCAAATCTGATATTGATACTTAGTTTTAGATCTGAAGAGCAGATTGTTTGGCCTTCAAGGTCCTTAATATTACCCACGCAATTGAACATGTGGAAGATGCCTATTGGGAAAACCTCTATACGGAAAGAAAGCGGATATGTAGCAATCTAGTTACGGACGTTGAAAATATTATTCAGGTATGTCACAGATTCAACATTTATGTATTTCCTCTAATGATATTTTCTTATTAAAATGTACTTCGATTCAAATGTGATGTTTAGTTGCAGATCCAAGAAGCAGTGTTTGATACTTGCCAGTCAATCGGAGAAAACCATCCAGTAAATACGGACCGAACAGAAGATCCGCAAAGAGAACTAACCAGAGTATACTTTACAGAATTCAGATCATTCTATTCGTACGGAAGGCGATATATTGATACCCTTTCCAGATTCTCAAGAAGACAGATGACAGATATTCAGCTTTACGTCTCTATGGAAACACGACAGGTACCCTTACGAGGGGAGAGTATCAACTCGGCGTTCATAAACCCTCTCTGCAAAGGAGGTAGACGCATGGTGGGTTAGGTATATACAGTGTTCTTCATTGCAGAGAAAATTGTTGTTTATCTGCCTGTCTCGTCTTCATTGAGATAGTTTATGAATTACAAAAATATGTCGCGTTCCAGTTATGAATGTTGAAAACAATATCCAGACTTTTCATAGATTCATATTCTATGTAGGTCTCACGATTCAAATCTGATATTGATACTTAGTTTTAGATCTGAAGAGCAGATTGTTTGGCCTTCAAGGTCCTTAATATTACCCACGCAATTGAACATGTGGAAGATGCCTATTGGGAAAACCTCTATACGGAAAGAAAGCGGATATGTAGCAATCTAGTTACGGACGTTGAAAATATTATTCAGGTATGTCTCAGATTCAACATCTATGTATTTCCTCTAATGATATTTTCTTATTCAAATGTACTTCGATTCAAATGTGATGTTTAGTTGCAGATCCAAGAAGCAGTGTTTGATACTTGCCACTCAATCGGAGAAAACCATCCAGTAAATATGGACCGAACAGAAGATCCGCAAAGAGAACTGACCAGAGTATACTTTACAGAATTCAGATCATTATATTCGTACGGAAGGCGATATATTGATTACCTTTCCAGATCCTCAAGCAGACAGATAGACAGATATTCAGCTTTATGTCTCTATGGGAACACGACAGGTACCCTTACGAGGGGAGAGTATCAACTCGGCGTTTATAAACCCTCTCTGCAAAGGAGGTAGACGCATGGTGGGTTAGGTATATACAGTGTTCTTCATTGCAGAGAAAATTGTTGTTTATCTGCCTGTCTCGTCTTCATTGAGATAGTTTATGAATTACAAAAATATGTCGCGTTCCAGTTATGAATGTTGAAAACAATATCCAGACTTTTCATAGATTCATATTCTATGTAGGTCTCACGATTCAAATTTGTAATTGATCCTTAGTTTTAGATCCGAGCAGCAAATCGTTTGGCCTTCAAGGTCCTTAATATAACCAACGTACGTAATTGAAAATGTGGAAGAGGCAAACTGGAAAAAACACTATTCGGAAAGAAAGCGGATATGTAGCAATCCAGTTACGGACGTTGCATATATTATTCAGGTATGTCTCAGATTCAAAATCCATGTAATTCATCTAATGATATTTATTTTCTGATATGGAATGTACTTCGATTGATATGTGATGTTCTGTTGCAGATATCAGAGAAGCAGTATTTGATACTTGCCACTCAATCGGAGAAAACCATCCAGTCCATACGAACCGAACAGAAGATTCACAAAGTGAACTGACCAGAGTATACTTATGGTGACGAGTTATGTTATATACTTGGTATATTATGATTCGATAGTCTGACATTGATGTGATATTTTTATAATATAATTACAACTCAGTCTTATAGTTTGTATCAATTTTCCACAATTTGGTGACCCCGACGTGATATTATGGAGCAGTTGAGCGAATCATACAAATTTTAAGACATTTCAACATCCATGTTAGTGATTAGATGGAATTTTCGGATATGAAGGAAATGCTGACAGAGTACATTCAAAAAACGTATAAGGAACAATTCCACGAAACCGACTACAAGAGCTTTCTTTCAGAGATTTCATCAAGAATCATACCAAATGATGTTTCGAATACTATTTTTACGAAGAAGATCTATATTGCGCTCTGGGATGTATTTACAAATTCTCCCCATTCGGTCACTTCACTTCCTATGTTCTAAGTTCTCTGGAATCTAGTGGAGACGACTTGACTTTTCAAAGTATAAGTGGAAAGTTAAGCCAACGCATCTTTGAATACCTACTGAAGTGCCCGTAAATACTCACTATAATTGGAGTGAAAATGAGTAGTGGCATACTGAAAGCAGCTTTGGTGGCTTCCTTCAGCAGCTGGATGACCAACTGAATTTTTCTGTACATGAAGACCATAACACAAAGCAGGACCAGCAAGCCTATTGTGAAGAAAATGTTGAGGCCAAGGATTCCATTTTTGTTGCTTTTCGCATTGTTCCTTCCATCATGAAGGTATTTATCCATGTTGAGGTAGAAATACCTTGAATAAAAAAACAATACTATTGTGAGTGACATTTACATGATACCAGTAGCAGAATTAGTGTAAGAAAGCTATAATTATACAATTATTGTTAAAAAGAAAGCCCTCCTGTTAGTGTTCTAAGTAGTTTTCTAGTTCCTATTTAACTGGATGATAATTAATCAATAACAGATTTCATAATAATTTTCTGGAGATGAGATGACTTACCAAAGTCCACCAACACAAACTGCTCCAAAAATAAGGACACCTCCTAAAATACCCCATACAACTGCAGCAGTTGCAGCTTTGAATAGGACCAACATACCCAAGGCCACACCTGGAAGATGGAAATTTTATCACCAATGGGCGTGTACACCTTAGTAGAACTTTTAACTCGAACATAAATAATGATTGACGACATAATTCGATCGAAAAATTAACTGGAATGTTTTATTTTTGGACATAAATAATGGTATCTTCTGAAAACGGACGTAGAAACCTCATCTCGCCATAGTTAAAAGAAAATACCAAAAGCCCGACGGAGACTGAGGCAACTGATATATTTATTGTTTCAACTGTGGTCTCACGCTAATTCACTCTGTCAGAATTCATGTATCATTCATCTCTGTCTGGAATAGTCTTGTTTCAGTATCAGGGGTTTGACGTCACATCATCGTCTCGTTTTCAGAGGTCCGAAAAATCGGGGATTTCAATAATTTTTTCATGAAACGTAGGGAGCTCACAGCAAGAAACGGTTTGCGGTGGTGAGCTAGTTTGGGTGAGTTCTATCGAATTATGAAATAAAAATTTTTTGTGATATAAGCCCATTGTACAAAATAGATTCTCTTAAAGTTTCATATAATATTATGAACAATAATCTGAAATCCAATTTTGTTTTAATAAGAAACTCAGTAATTCATGGTCATCACACGAGACAATTAATATTTCATTTTGATTTTGCTACTTATATAATGGGCTAATATCACAAAAAAAAATTATTTCATAATTCGATAGAACTCACCCAAACTAGCTCACCACCGCAAACCGTTTCTTGTTGTGAGCTCCCTACGTTTTATACAAAATTATTGAAATCCCCGATTTTTCGGACCTCTGAAAACGAGGCGATGATGTGACGTCAAAACCCTGATACTGAAACAAGACTATTCCAGATAGAGATGAATGATGCATGATTTCTGACAGAGTGAATTAGCGCGAGATCACAGTTGAAAGAATTAATATATCAGTTGCCTCAGTCTCCGTCGGGCGTTTAGTATTTTCTTTTAACTATGGCGAGATGAGGTTTCTACGTCATAAGAGAGTCCGTTTTCAGAAGGTACTATTATTTATGCCCAAAAATAAAACATTCCAGTTAATTTTTCGATCGAATTATGTCGTCAATCATTATTTTTGTATAAAAGGATCATTATAAACATGGTTTGAGTTAAAAGTTCTACTAAGGTGTACACGCCCATTGGCCACAAAAAATTCACTCACGCTGCTCTAGCTGAATTCAATAAATTGCAGACATATTTCAAAATTTAAAATTGAACTAAAAAAACACATGATTTTATAACGAAATGGATAAAATTGATACAGTGCCATCTCCTGATTAGTCCCTGTTGCTATTTTTATGACTTGATCGATTTAGCATTTTTAGATTTTTTAGATTTTTTGTTGTTGTTGTCACCTTATGTTATTTTATTATTGTTTTTTGTAATCAATTTCCTCATAGGTACCAGAATTTCATTTCTGACTGGAAGCTAGTTTCTCAATAAAAAATAAACACCACCTGGAATAGGAGTGGAACTATTTTCTATGGCTGGAAATTGAATATTTCATCTAAATCAAAAATAAAATATAACTCAATATTGTTGACAAAGGTCAATTTGATAATTTAACATGATTGGGGATAGTAAACATTGAAAACAAATGGGTTATAAGTAAAATAGAATACTTATTCATTGATCACTTCATTACTACCTGGAAACTTTTTGAGAGTAACTAATTATTTTCCACCTTCCTATATGTGATAAAAGCAGTATTCTTTTCACCTTTTTACATTCTCACTACTGAGATCAATTGAGTTAGAAGGAGGTGAGTCGGATCTGAGTTATCGATTGAATAAAAATAACACGTTTTTATCTGTCAGGAAGGACAAGGGAAGAACACATAACCCAACATAATTCAACCAAAATGTAAAATGGCTGAGGAAATTAATGAGGAGCATAAAATATTATTTTAGTGAGTATTCAAAGGATTCAACCTGTGGACTGAAACATCAAAGCTGAAGGCATGTCAAAACGAAAATATAACCTCACAATTTTCAGCACAGCACCACAGAGTTACTAGAATTAATCTAGTCTCACCTTTTTCCCACTACAACACCAGATGAATAGCAAGCTCAGTTCGGGTGAGGGGAAAGAAATAATCTCAGTCAAAGTTGGTTGAAAGAATATTACTAATTTATTGTGTGGGTCTTCATTTAGACTCACCCAGTGATAGAAAACAGCAGAGCACAATCCTCCAGGCATGCCTGTTCAAATATTCAGTCAAGTCGTTTACAATTTTTTCTTCTTCTGTGGTGTCGTAGTCAGCTTTACGTTTGAAACGGTCGAAATCTGTGTTGAAGTTGTTGTAGTAGTTAGGACGATAGGTAGAGGATTGTTTCAAGTAGCAATTTCCAAAAATTTGCACGCTGAAATCAACAGTATTTCTAAACTACTCAACACATGAAACGTTGAATCGCATTTTTTCATCAAAGAACCATCATAACTTTCGATTTCCTCAACCGATTTTCAAGTATTTTTCAGTTTCTGAAAGCTCGTTTCATTGACTATCGAACCTGTGGATATGACTATTTCATCTTTTCCGGATGCGATTCTACAGGATGATAATCAAAGCCGTGCATTTTTCCAAAAATTTCAAACGCCTCCCGTTTGAAAGAAAAATGTTTCTATTTTTTTTTGAGGGTCAAAAACATATTGCTTCATATGTTTTCTCGATACTGTAAACAAATTTTTGGAATTGTCACACGCGTTAATGAAATATGAATGAATGAATGATATCTATTGGCTTTGTGTTCCTGTTAATCTGGTTTGAACAATGGTCAAAAATCTTGAAATGATGCATGATCAACCTATTCTTATATACAGGGTGGTCCTCAAACAACAATTATGACATCAAGTAATAAAAAAATCTTGTTTTGACGAGCAAGAAAATTTCGAAGCAGAAAACCGATTGAGCGTGTAGAAGAGGTTGTGCTGATCTTGCAATCTCGTGAATTTTCGTACTTTTCATGTTCACTTCAATGTTGAATTCAATTAGGTGAGAGTGATGTGATTTGAACTGGTGTTATTGATGAAAAGTCATGGAACTGGAACATTGTGACTGATGGAGTTCAATATGAAAAATTCATGTTTTTTCTGAGTCAGGACATCACATATCCATGTGACTCACGTCTGTCATTCTTTTGAATTTCGACAAATATTCAATATAAGTCCTTTGTGAAGACGTTCACCGCAAATGGAATCACATCCTGTTACTCGTTAATCTACTGCAATTGTGATGAATTATGTCAGTTGCATGCTATGTCTCGCTAGCAACTTTCCTTATTTAGACGCCATCTTGTATATTTCTTGAGTCTATCACATTTGCTTCGGAATTATCTTCTGAAAATCCATCACAAAGTGAGAACGACGCTCTGAAAATCCAGATTTTGTAACATTTCCAGTTGTTTGATCTCCCAATAGATTCTGTAGCAACTCGTTACTCGTTAATCTACTGCAATTGTGATGAATTATGTCAGTTGTATGGTATGTCTCGGCAGCAACTTTTCTTATTCAGACGACATCCTGTATATTTCTTCAGTCTATCTCATTTGCCTTGAAATTATCTTCTAAAAATCTATCACAAAGTGAGAACGACGCTCTGAAAATCCGGATTTTCTAACAATTCCAGTTTGTTTGATCTTGCAATAGATTCTGTAGCAACATGACATGGTGATGGCAACCTCTCCTACATGCTTTGATCGCCAGAAAACTTCTCAATCGGTTTCCTGTTTAGACATTTTCTTTCTCGTCAAAACAAGATTTTTTTTATTACTTGATGTCATAATTGTTGTTTGAGGAACACCATGTATATAACAATAGGTAGATCATGCATCATTTCAATATTTTCTAGCACCGTTCGAACCAGATTGACAGGAACACAACGCCAATGGAAATTAGAGCATCAAATTATGCATTATTTCAATAAAACATTCATATTTCAGTAACACGTGTGACAATTTCAAACATTTTTTTACAGTATCGAGAAAACATATGAAGCAATATGTTTTTGACCCAAGAAAAAAATAGAAACATTTTTCTTTCAAACGGGAGGAGTTTGAAATTTTTAGAAAAATGCACAGCTTTGATTATCATCCTGTAGAATCTCATCCGGAAAAGATGAAATAGTCATATCCATAGGTTCGATAGTCAATGAAACGAGCTTTCAGAAACTGAAAAATAATTGGGAATCGGTTGAGGAAATCGAAAGTTATGATGATTGAAATTTGATCCAGAAAAGGCGATTTTACGTTTCAGTTAGCGATGTTGTCGTTGTTTCCAATTCAGATATTTTTCATTTGGAAAAGACCCAAGATTAAAATATTCTGGTTATTCTGGGATTATTTTAGACAATGAGTAGATATTTTCACATTTTGGAGTTGAGGTATAAAAGAGAAATATACTTACTAATTATTTGAACAGCTTTCAACACATTTTCTAGGGGATATTCCTAGGCCACTCAAGTCTGGATGATTACTATCCAAATCTATTTGTAAGTATCTGAAAATGAATGTGTTTAAGTTTGATGGTTTTTTGTCGTTGTGTGTCTTGTTTTATTGACTAAAATTACATAAAATGCCTCAAATAAATCCTGAACAAGTAGCAATATTAGTTGCGTTAGTAAACGATGGCCGTAGTAAACGTTACGCCGCTCGTGCAGTAGGAGTTCATGAAGCAACTGCTCGTAGAGCAATCCGCAAGTACGAACAAACAGGAAGCACCGCTCGGAGGGTCGGTTCTGGTCGCCTCCGAAAAACTTCTCCAAGAGAGATGATTGCTTCTTAAGATTGCGGATTTTACGGAATCGATCAAATACTGCGGTAAATGTTCAGCAAGATCTTCGCCAAATTCGTGATGTTGCAGTAGGTAAGCAGACGGTATGTAGACGTCTAAAAGAAGTTAATTTAAAAGCTAGGAGACCTGCAAAAGGTCCCAAATTATTGCCCGAACATCGTGCTGCTAGAAGAAATTTTGTTTTGCCTTAACATGGTGGATGGAAGAAAAAGAGTGTGGAGAAGAACTGGTGAACGGTTTAATCAAAATTCAATAACAGAATGCGAAAGTTTTAATGGTGGGTCCGTTATGGTGTGGGGAGGGATTTCAATGAATGGAAAGACACCCCTTCATGTTCTTCCGGTGAGGCAGTCGATGAATGCCCAAATTTACATTGACATTTTAGAGCAGTATGTCTTACCTTATACAGACTTAGTTGGCAATAATTTTAAATTGATGCAGGATAATGCCCGACCACACACCGCAGCAATAGTGCGAAACTTCTTAGAAGTTACTGGTATTACCACATTACAATGGCCTGCGAGAAGCCCCGATATGAATCCTATAGAACATTTGTGGGATGAATTAGGAAGAAGGGTACGTTCTCGCGAGAGGTCTCCGGAAAGTCTCGCAGAAATGGCAGATGCATTAGTGGAAGAATGGGATCGTATACCAATGGAAACGATAAGCAACTTTATTTCCAGTATGGCTCGTAGATTAGAAGTTCTTAGAGTTGCTAGAGGAGGCAATACACGGTATTAAGCAGTCATCCCAATTTATAATTTTGTGTTTAATAAAAATGTTTTTTAAAATTACTTATCAGTTTATTTCATAAGAAAATTGTTTCCCGATAAATTCAGACAGTTGGTATGCTGCAAGGATTCAGAAAAAAAGCTGTAATTCGGAGAATTTTAGAGATAAATCAATGAATAAAAAACAAAAAGCTTGCAAAAGAAGCCTCTTTCGTGTAGGGTGGAAGCACTTTCTATCTATGCCATTACTCAATTAACACACAGGGTGAATAAATCATGGTTCGAGTTATTCCACCACCATCAAGGAGGCTTTGAAAAAATTTTCACCTCTTTATATCTTTTTTGAAGACAAATGCATTACCTACCAACAAAAAAAAATGAAAATCGGCCTACTATCTTTTGTTCGTTTTTTTTAAGAAGATAGGTCAAATATCAAGTGCGTCACTTATTTCGGAAGTGAGTGTAGTATTTTCACCATTATTTCAAGTGAAATCTAGAACTGAACTTACGGAAATCTGGTAAAGTCTTGTCCTGAACAATCGATGCCACCTTGTTTCGAATTCTTCTTGCCGCAAATATTTCCGCACTGATCATATCCCGAGAATCTGTCGATATCTGAATAGATCAGGGTGTATATCAAAAACGGAAGCTGAAATGGAAAAAAAATACAAAGTTTCAACAATAAATTCGTGAACACTTTCAGAACTGAAAGTTGACTTGTGTATTGAATTTTTTTGTTAGATGTATGATGAATTGTTTGATATCCATCATACAGAACGTGGAAATAAATTCTGAATTGAGAAAACCTAATCACGAATCGGCGATTGAGGTCTACAAAAATAACAAGTTTCCATCGTTCAAGTTTGAGCCCCTTGATTGGGTGGAAGTATTGAAAAGGAAAATTCTCAGATATAATAATGAACATAAAAAAATGGATATATACAGTGTGTCCCACTTACCAGGCTCACCATGGGTATCTTTTTAACGGTGAGAGATACGAGGTCGCTTAAATGACACCAAATGTGGAGTTTGTCAAGGTCAAACTATAATGTGAAAAAATATTTTGATAAAATCTATTCCTTTTTGTTTTATACGCAAAAACAGATTTTGATCATTTTCATGTCTCCTCCGTAACTTCTTTATTTATGAAAATATTCAAATAGGAATTTCACATTCTCATGGCAGTTTTTCAAAGTGATTTCGTTAAAAATATGAAATTTATACCAACTCTTCTAGAATTTGAGATATCAGCACCTACTTAAGTTTTTCAAATGTAGGTCATAGCTCACTATGACTTAGTTACAAATAACTTTTTCTTCTTTCACAGATGATATATCGCAGTGATAGTTTTGTGTTGATAACAACGGAGTTATCGTCATTTATACAAAACCAAAAAATTATTTGGAAGCCGCCATCTTGAATTTATAAATTTCAACAAGGAAATCATGATCTCCGACCTCAAAAACCCCCACTCACCAATTTTGAATGGAATCGGACCAAATCTTGTCCGCCATCTTGGAGCAGCCATTTTTTTCAATTTCAACAAAAAATCCATAATGTATTGTCACCGAAATTATGAACACCTGTAAAAATTTCAAGTTAATCGGAGTTATGGAATTTTTGTTGAAATTAAAAAAAAAATGGCTGCTCCAAGATGGCAGACAAGATTTGGTCCGATTCCATTCAAAATTGGTGAGTGGGGGTTTTTGAGGTCGGAGATCATGATTTTTTTGTTAAAATTTATTAATTCGAGATGGCGGCTTCCAAATAATTTTTTGTTTTTGTATAAATGACGATAACTCCGTTGTTATCAACACAAAACTATAACTGCGACATATCATCTGTAAGAGAAAAAAAAAGTTATTTGTAACTAAGTCAAAGTGAGCTATGACTTACATTTGAAAAACTAAAGTTAGTGCTGATATCTCAAATTCTAGAAGAGTTGATATAAATTTCATATTTTTTTCTAAATCACTTTGAAAAACTGCCATGAGAATGTGAATTTCCTATTTGAATATTTTCATAAATGAAGAAGTTACGGAAGAGACATGAAAATGATCAAAATATGTTTTTTGCGTATAAAACAAAAACGAATAGATTTTATCAAAATATTTTTTCACATTATAGTTGGCCTTGACGAACTTCACATTTGGTGTAATTTAACCGACCTCGTATCTCTCACCGTTAAAAAGATACCCATGGTGAGCATGGTAAGTGGGACACACTGTATATATCCATTTTTTTATGTTCATAATTATATCTGAGAATATTCCTTTTGGGTATTGTATTTTGTTGGTCTCAATTAGTTGATTAGTACTTACCAAAAGTACTAAAACCACGGCAAACACGATTATGAATTTGGAATCAGTTGGTCGTCTGTTTTCCGGCCTCTCAGGGATCTGTATATTGTCCAGCAGAGTATTCGTCGGTAATTTTTTGAAAATCGCCAACTGAAAACAACATGAAAAATCCTTTGAATCCGTTTGGAAATACATAATTCACAGTGCCATCAATAAATTTATGTCGAATCATTTCTGCAAAAATTGAGTTCGGAGTTCCTTCTGTTACAAAAAAATAATTCAAAATTCTTGCTAAAACTGTTCATGTAGTCAATGCTGCTTTTTCAATTATCAAGGATATTTGTGAGATGCAGATGATTCACAGAAAATGTCTATCTTGTTCATGAACAAATAAAACCATAATTTGGTAGATGATATAGTTGTCCGCAGATGTTAAAAATAGAATTATCATCTTGTTTACTCAATATAAAAACGCATTTCGATAGTCTCTGACATTGCCTTTAACATGATAAGCAATACTCTTTCTTCAAAATGATAAGCAATACCTCGAGCAATACTCTGTCTTCGAACAAAAAATTAAAGAACATAGTAAAAGACATTTCTACATTCAATTGGTATTTTTTTCTTCCAAGTCCTTTAAATTTCCGGGAAATTGGACAAAAACAATTTTTCAAAAACTAAACATATACAGTGTGACCCATTTAAGATGGAAGCACCCTTATAAAACTTACATTTTTCAACCGATTGGAATGATTTTTTTTTGTTAGGTAGATATTCAAAAAGTCTATTAGGACACCAAATATCATGAATAAATCTCCATTTCCAGGGCCAACTAATCTGATTTTTCAAGGTCAAAAATCTAAAAAAATTACTAGCGATTTTTTTAGAAAAAATCTGACTACACCACTGGATTTGTGACATTTTCAAATGGGTAACATGTAAATTACGTTGAAATGCGTCAATCAATAAAAAATTTATAAAGGAATGAAATTTGAAAAATATGCCGTTTAATCAACCCACCAATTCATGTTCAGGAATTTTATGAAAATTCTGTATACTCCACTGGATTCAGGATGTCTTGAAATATTACTGATCACAGTTTCATCGAAATCTGTTCAGTAATAAAAATTGATGGGTTGATTAAACGGCATATTTTTCAAATTTCATTCCTTTATAAATTTTTTATTGATTGACGCATTTCAACGTAATTTACATGTTACCCATTTGAAAATGTCACAAATCCAGTGGTGTAGTCAGATTTTTTCTAAAAAAATCGCTAGTAATTTTTTTAGATTTTTGACCTTGAAAAATCAGATTAGTTGGCCCTGGAAATGGAGATTTATTCATGATATTTGGTGTCCTAATAGACTTTTTGAATATCTACCTAACAAAAAAAAAATCATTCCAATCGGTTGAAAAATGTAAGTTTTATAAGGGTGCTTCCATCTTAAATGGGTCACACTGTAGGTAGCCAAATAATATAACTATTTACATACATATGCCTGAACCAAGGCCTGGACTGTTCTAAAAGTGATAAAAGAAAAAAGAATTGAATTCGCATACATAAAGATCAAGGCTGTGGATGTTGATGTTATTTATAGCATTATTTATAGCCTATTAATTCGAACTTTAATCAATCATTCTACCCACCTCCACGGCACTATTCAAATTATCTACCTACTTACCATTTACCCAATGTACACAACCATTTCTATGCACCTAATAATTGACATAACATATTAATTATTCACTATTTTTACGTCACCAAATTCAAATAAAAGAGAAGAATATCCTCGAGAATATCTATATATCTGGAATGAACTTATTGTTTTTAATTGAGGCATGGAAATTGTTCTTTTACAATAATTTATAATTGTCTATTGGTACTCATCAGTAGAAAATTAGACTAGGTGGTAAAGGAAATATATTGACCTTGCTAGGTATACTACCCTACTATGGCACGGGAAAAATTGTGACAACATGAGAAATAATATTGCCAGAGACTTGGGAACGGTTCAACAATGGTGCGAAGATAATTATCTGTGTTTTAATCACAAAAAATATAATGGTTTCAGAAATACAAACGAACAGGCCTTATATATATTATAGATTTTACTCACCTCTTCAGGCTGAATATCTTTACTCAATGTTTCCCCCATAATGCCTATGTAACGAAGAAAATAAGGATTAGTGTTTTTGGATAATTTGAATATCATTCAAGTGAAATACTGATGAATCGAGGAATATTCATTTCTAGATTTTTGGGTCTTTACCTCCTCGACTCTATAAATAATAGTCATTTATAATACAAGGGAAAAAAATGTAGATTTTAGCTCCAGGTTGTGGCGCGTCAGGAGACAAAAAACCGTGAGCAGAAATCTAGTATTTTTACCGTGTATAATACACTATTTTTTTTTGTGACAGAAGAAAGGACGAATCAATATTGAGAAGATATTACAATATTTTGAAATCTGAGAATTATCGACGTGAAATTTTAAGTTTTTAACAGTAGGGACACCTGCGTTGTATAGGCATCTTTAATCATTTATTTGAAGTAATCAAATATCTGATGTTACTTCTGTCAGTCCAATTCTGTGATTTGATTTCGAAAAATTGCGAATTCAGTGGTTGTTTAGTAATATACGTAACCGCGAAGTCGAATGGAAGATAAAAGGACTTGCAGTTCTTTCTCGGAGACGGTATTATTGACTCATTTTTCGGAACTATAGCACAAAAAAAGCCATCAACAGTGTATATATATATGTGATATATATCCGGGCAAAAAGTAGGTACTCACTTTCTTCCCACGGGAAAAAACTAATGTAAGAAAAGTGACATTTTATAGCCTGCTAACAGAGATGAAATGCCAAACTTTTTTCCCGTCACAGAAAAAAGTTATTTATGAAAAGTGACATTTCATAACCTGTCAGCAGAGATGAAATTGCAAAACTTTTTCCCTGTCACAGAAAAACAATATTTATAATCTTCCGAGTAATCTCCTGTTGATATAATCGACCAAGTTAATGGGGAAGACCACTGATTTTTAAAAACGACATCATCGTGAACTCTATACTGAAAAACTACCAGTGAATTAATTTTGAATTTTTTCATTCATGCTAAGACGATGAAAAAAATAAATTAGTATATGTCCATTTCAAAACACACAATTCTTGCGCCATTTGAAATTTCATCAATTCATTGGTGTGACTGGTGCGACGTCTTAGTCCCAACACGCCTATTGTCCTTGAACTGACCAATCACACTGCAACACTGCAGAATGACGAGGTATCAGAGAGAGATAGCTACAAGTCGGAGCTAATACGTCACGACTCCACCATCATATTTGGCTGTTTGAAATATCGAATGAAATATGCAGATTTCGAAACGATATAGATTCGATTCCCTTCAACTTCAACTCATAATATTGATTGTACATAAAATGTAAATCATGATTCGTCGATTGAAAGAGGTTTGCACGGATTTCTTCCCTCAGTGGTCTTCCCCAGGAGGTCAGGTCCATCAATATCTTTGAATCTGCTTCAAATAATAGTGTTTCATTCCGAGTATAACAGCCCTTTCATTATAGGATTATAGGTACTTTGCTAAGACAGTAAGGCATATAGGGCATAGGTATAATTCTCAAAAGATAGTGGTAAAGTGGTAAAGTTCCCAAAAATTAATATAGCCTACTACAATGAGTAGTTATGATTCCAAAATACCTACCAAATACGAATAAGAAGTTCATAAACTATGAATTGTATTTCTGGAATTTCATCTAAAGAATAACATCTATTTCTCTGCATTGTGATAATGTCAGATTAACGATATTGCTATAATCGTGTAGTGAAAAACTTTTTTTTTAACGAAAACCGTGCACCAGATTGAAAAAATTGTAGCGATCAAATTTGCTTAGAAATGATTGAAAATTTCAGGAATGGTTTCAATTTCGAGATTAATCAGTGGCGTACCATCAATGTCTGCCAAAATAGGTATGTGAAATTCCATACGAACGCCACTGGTGGCAACCAAAAAAAAAATGTGCTCCACTAACTGATGCCTCTTGATACATAGTACATGTATGCCAAATTTCATTAGAATATCTGAAGTGGTATTACAGATATTAATAAAAAACTATTAACTTTGAGAACTTTACCATCCTGTATCTCAAAAGTTAGGACGTATAGGTCATACGCTCATATCAAATTTTCTTCTTAGAATGGGCGTAAGAATCGCCTTCCCAAATATTGACATTCAATTAGGAAACACCCTGTATACATATAAGAAAAACGAGTTTTTTTTATTTGGATATCAAGACAACTTGGATGAATATTTTCTATACCTGTATAACAACCAATTCGGATAGTTTTAATTTCATCACTTTATACAGGCGATGAAGGACTCGTTCTCATTAATTAATTATTCATGGTGCCTCTAGTGGTGCCTTCTGATGATGTCACCTCCAATGCTTTAGTATTCCAGTCAATTACTTGCTTTGCCATTTTGGATCATCAACAAATCGGTCAAATTCATATCAATAGAATAGGATATGCCTAATACCAGATAACTTTCATATACTTATCCTCATCCCTATCATATCAAACAAAGTGATTGCACGATTTTTTTTCAGAATCGCCCTGCATCTACAGGGTGATTCAGGTTTTAAGGCACAAACTGAAATGGAAGATAGATCTCATCATTTTAATCAAAAAAGTTTATATAAACATTAGTCCGATCTCGTTCAATAGCGGAGCTACAGGGTGTCAAAGCTGAATTATTTTCTTCTATTAGTCGAAATATCTCGCTTACTTGTCAAGATATCATTTTGAAATTCGGTGTGGTCAATACTTCCTAGAAGATGATCATTTCAAGCCATCTGAAGATTTTCAAAATTAACTGAAAAACTAACTTGACTTTTTACCATCTGTGTCCCCAAAACTGATCCCGATTGGACTCGTGATTGCAATTTTAGTGAGTACATTTCATTGCATTTTCAACGAAAATAAAATGTAAGCGAAACATAGGCAAAATTAACATGTTTTAGAACGTATATGCTTATTTATCTCAAAACCGGTTTGTTTCTCGAAAAAAATGGAAGAGCGAAAAAGCCTGTAAATTGAACGAACCACACAATTTGACCACTGAAAGATGCCAGAGATGTACAACGAAAAAGTTTGGGGGGGATAAAGAAGCCTCTATCACTAATCTTTGAATGGCTTTAAATGATGATCTTCTAGAAAGTATTGACCACACCGAATTTCAAAACGATATCTTGAAAAGTAAGCCAGATATTTCAATTGATAGAAAAAAATAATTAAACTTTGACCCCCTGTAGCTCCGCTAATAAACGAGATCGGACTTATGTTTATATAAACTTTTTTGATCAAAATGGTGAGATGTATCTCCCATTTTAGTTTGTGCCTTAAAACCTGAATCACCCTGTATACTAAAATATTAGAAAGAGGAAAGATATTATGATTGTTTGTTTGTTTGTACGTATGTATTGTATAGGCTCCGAAACTACTGGATCGATTTGTCTGAAAATTGGTGAGGAGGTAGCTTAGAAACTGTGCTTAGAACCAGGAGAAGGTTATATTATTATGATACTTTTTATCTTGGTACCATTAGGAAATTCAAGATGGCGGATCTAATATATCGGACGAGTTTTGTCATTATGCTCCGATTCTATTCAAAATTGGTATCTGAGGGTTTTCGGGGTCGGAGATTATGATTCTTTCGTCAGAATTTGAAAATTCGGGCGGAATTTGGAAATCAAAGATGGCGGAACCAATATGGCGGAGGAGTTTTGTAATTATAATCCTATTCTTTTGAAAATTGGTACTTAGGGGTTTTCGTGATCGGGGATTATGATTCCTTCGTCAAAATTAAGAAATTCAAAATGGCGGATTCAAAATGGCGGATTTTGTAAATAGGATCCAATTTTATTCAAATTTGGTATCTGGTGGTTCTCGGGGTCGGCGATTATGATTCTTTCGTCAAAATTAGGAAATTCGAGATGGCGAACCCAATATGGCGGACGAGTATTGTAATTATGATCCGACTCTCTTCAAAATTGTTATCTGGGTGTTTTCGGGATCGGTGATTATGATTCTTTTGTCAAAATTTGAAAAGGCTGGGATTTGTAAATTCAAGATGGTGGAAACAATATACCGGACGAGTTTTATAATTATGTAATTATATACCAATTCTATTCAAAATTATTAAGTGGGCGTTTTCGGGATCAAAAATTATGATTCCTTCGTCAAAATTAGGGAATTCAAGATGGTAGATCCAATATTGCGGACGAGTTTAGTAATTATGTTCCGATTCCATTCAAAATTTCCATCTGGGGTTTAATGAGTCGGATAATATGATTCTTTCGTCAAAATTGGGAAATTCAAGTGAACTAAGAAGAAGTTTAAATGAATGGTAGTTTGAAAAACTTAAGAAACACGCTTTTATAATCAGCGACACAAAAAAGAAGTGGAAAATAAAATAATATTAGTGTCTTGATGAATATTGAACTGAACAAATATATTATTGAAAATAATGTATACCGGGTGTAACAGGATCATGGTACACCAAACTAATTTGATGAACTCAATTTGGTGCTAAATCAAGGAACTTTTGACAGAATTAATTTTTTTTAGCATTATAACAGTCGATATGAGTACATTAGACTCGATCAGAATAGTTACGGCACACTTTGATGGAAAATCAAAAATTGAATTAAAATCAATATCAAAGTTTGAAATGTCATTTGTGTAGTGTCATCGGATTCAAAATTGTAGAATTCGAAAATGCAATAATATACAGGGCGAGATACAGGGTGTTCCATTTGAAAATCAAAAGTTATTACCACTTCTTGTGAAACTGGAAGTGAAAAATACAACATGTTCATGTCAAAACATCACGTTTATCAAGTTGATGGTTAATTCCAAATTTGAATCACTTACCTCTAAAACTAAAAGAGAAAAAGGGGGTCTACCATGATCCTGTTACACCCGGTATAGCAAAACAACGTTTGCGAGGTCTGCTGTAATGTAATTCAATGAAATGAGTGGTTTCGTATGGGTTATCCTGTCCTATTGGTATTAAACCGGTGATGTTTTTTAAATAGATCATCGAAGCATAATTCCTCGACTAGTATTTATACAGTCGCTCTGCTCTATCGGACGCGAGATCGGACGTCATTACTTCTGACATGGAATCATAAATTCTAGCTGCTCTTTTACAGCATTGACCTGAATTCCGAAACACCGCAAATCGCAAACCGCATTAACCTAACCAAAATAGTTTGCCACGCCTTAAGACTTCCACGATTTTTTTGCAATATGAATTTGGATTATTGGATTTTGGCTATGCTATGTCGGATTCGGAGGGTCAAAGCAGTGTTGCCAATGAGGCAGTCTAAAATTCTCCACCACAAAGTTGCGAATTCTCCGAATTACACAAAATCCTCCGCTCATCAGAGACATCACAGAAAATTCAATTCCTGCTGTGACACAATCCTGAGAATCGAATTATCATCCTTATAAATGATCCTAAACAGTTATCCATGTTCCCTATTCGAAAAATAGTTTGGTCCTTGGTTCGATTAAAAAAATAAAACGATTTTAACCTATACCTGTTGGGTTTCTCAAATCATAGCCGAGGGGTGAACCGCGGTCAAAATTGTGTACACCAAACATCAATTTGTACACCAGAATTATACCGCACTTCACACAAGAAATTCCAGGGAATCCAAGGAAATCAAAGGAATTTCAAGGAAATCAAAGGAATTCTAAGGAAGTCCAAGGAAATCCAAGAAATTCTAAGGAAATCCAAGAAATTCCCAGGAAATCCGAGGAATTTCAAGGAAATCCAAGAAATTCCAAGGAAATCCAAGGAATCCCAAGGAAATCCAAGAAAATCCAAGGAATTCCAAGGACATCTAAGGGAATTCAAGGAAATCCAAGGAATTCCAAAGAAATCCAAGAAATTCCAAGGAAATCCAAGGAATTCCAAGGAATCCAAGGAATCCAAGAAAGTCCAAGGAAATCCAAGGAAATCCAAAGAATTCCAAGGCAATCCAAGAAATTACAAGGAAATCCAAGGAATTCCAAGGAATTCCAAGGAATTCCAAGGAAATCCAAGGAATCCCAAGGAAATCCAAGAAAATCCAAGGAATTCCAAGGACATCGAAGGGAATTCAAGAAAATCCAAGAAATTCCAAGGAAATCCAAGAAAATCCAAGAAATTCCAAGGAAATTCAAGGAAATTCCAAGGAAATTCAAGGGAATCCAAGGAAATTCAAGGGAATCCAAGGTAATTCAAGAAATGCCAAGGAAATCTAAGGAATTTCAAGGAAATCCAAGGGAATCCAAGGAATTCCAAATTCCAAGGAATCCAAGGAATTCCAAGGAATCCAAGGAATTCCAAGGAATCCAAGGAAGTCCAAGGAAATCTAAGGAAATCCAAGGAAATCCAAGGAAATCCAAAGAATTCCAAGGAAATCCAAGAAATTACAAGGAAATCCAAGGAATTCCAAGGAAGTCCAAGGAATTCCAAGGAAATCCACGGGAATCCAAGGAAATCCAAGAAATTCTAAGGAAATCCGAGGAAATCCGAGAAATTCCAAGGAAATCCAAGGAAATCCAAGGAATCCCAAGGAAATCCAAGGAAATCCAAGGAAATCCAATGAATTTCAAAGTAATCCAAGGAAATCCACGAAATTCCAAGGAAATCCAAGAAATTCTAAGGAAATCCAAGGAATTCCAAGAAAATCCAAAAAATTCCAAGGAAATTCAAGGAATTCCAAGGAAATCCAAGGAAATCCAAGGGAATCATCTGAAAATTCAATAAAATACAGGGTGTTCTACTTGAAATAAGGAAGTAGATAATAATTCCGGAATAACTGAAAAAGTGGCAACATCGACCAAAACATTTTCAAATCCACCACGTTTTGAAATTACCTTGTACATATATTCAGAAAGATCTAACAAACGGTTACCGAGATATTCACCTGGTTCCATACTTTTGCCCAACCCTGTATATCATTTTGTTATCAGACGACGGTAGAAATCTGAAACCGGCTCTCCTATTAGTATAGCCAGAATGATGTGCATGGAATCGATAATAATTCAGTTGCTGTAGATCCATAGTAACCCCAACCCATTTCTGTCGATCTATTTTTATAGTGGGCGATTCATGTTGCCATGTTACAAGGCCGATATTCAGCAAATAACGGAGTAAATTGAATATTTTAATCCGAGGCGCAGCCGAGGATTATTACAACCGAATCTGTTATTTGCGTATCGGCCGTGTGTCATTCATATACGTATTAATAATCAATACGGATAATCTCTATCTGTTTCTATAGCGAAACATGAAGCCGATTTTTGAAGACAAATGACTATCCATAAGGAAAAGTGCTCGGAAAAGTGAGATACGATCAGACACATACTTTTTTGATTGAAAGGCTAGTAAACGTCATTGTCCACCGAAACGCATGTCTTTGATGACTACGTATCATGCCACCAAATCCTTATGGATATTCATTTGTTTCATATTTTCGCGAGTATTTTTGGCTTCATCCTGGCACCCGCGTTATGATCCGTATTGTTTATTAATACGTATATGGTGTCATTCAAGAGTTTTCCTAATCCCGCTGAAAGATTACGAAAATGATATAACGAGTGAAATCAGTACCTATATCTATATATCATGAAAAATAACCAAGTAGGTACCTGTTTTCAGTTGTACAAATAAAAAATCCGAGAAAAAATCGAATTTCTTTATATTTTGGTCTCGATTTTGGTAGAATCAACAGGCAAAAAAGTTCAGTTCAACTGGAATTTCTCGTGGAATTCTTCAGGTCTATGAACGAGTCTATGGAGTACCTAAATAAGTTATATAGCTTTTTCTACTCAATCACAGAAGAACAGCACCACCCTCGCCACCGCCACACCCATCTAAGTTTTCCCATTATTACAAATTAGTTAGGGACCACTCAAGACATTTATTTTTTTCTGTGACGGGAAAAAAGATCGAAATTTCATCTCTGTTGACAGGTTATAAATGTCAGTTTTCATTAATTACTTTTTTTCTACTACTGCTTTGAAAAGTAGCGCATTTATCATAGCTTACTTAGTTTCAAAACCATCTATTGCCCATACTGTGAGAAATATTTTTTTTCTGCAACCGACACAAAAGTCGTCCATTTTGATACCAAAATTAGTTCTTAAATTGACGTTTCTATTACTGACAAAAAATATGTATGTTGCTAGGCAACATATTTAGTTCCTAGGAGCTAAAGTTGAATTTTAGTTCCTAGGAGCTAAAGTTGAACTTTAGCTCCTAGGAACTAAAAAGGATCTACTGGACGTCATGAAGAATAATTAACATTGTGACGGTTGGTTATTTGGGTTGAGACGCATACCTGATTTTTTTCCGATTTCAGCAGATTTGGCATTTCATACCCATGCTGGAGATATAAATACACCTTATTATAGTTTAGTATTGGAATTATAAAAATATTATTATCTCAGTTAAGTATTTTTGTTTTGATCAGGGAAGCCTTCAAGATTCAAATACTTGCTTGATCTGTATTTCATTCGTTATTCTCGTTATTCTTTGGTCACAATATTCAATGTGGCATAGTGCCAAATTATAAAATGAATACCAATAAGTTACATTACTCGGATTCTTTGAATCAGTGCAGTTGTAGAAAAAGTATAGTGTGCAACATGTGGGGAAAATTTGAACTTTTCCCACTTGTTGCACAATATACTATTTCCCACGGGAAAACTGTAGAGAGTCCATTCCAACTTGGCCACAAACAACATCTGTATCACATTCACATGGATGAAAACATTATTTATGGGAGTCTATGAAATCTAGCAAGGAAACTAGTAGATTCAATTAAACTAACAATTTGGAATTATCAATTAACAATCACCGATTAATAATCATGAGGGTGTTTATACATATCTGATAATAATTATTAATTAATAAAAATGTTGAAGAAGTGATTTTGGTCTCCACAATTCGTGAATCCATAAAAACTATTCCAATTAAATATCACCAATCTACATTTGAACAATAACAAATCACAATATCACAAATCCAATCTTCATGTTCTGCCTCCAGAGTTTCCTAATTCTTAGTTGTTAAGTTAAAAGTTGGCCAACTTTATAATTCTTAATTCTTAATTTAAATGACAGATGTAAATGTATAAACCCTCATAGATATCTCCTTGTATTCAACTTTTTAAATTCATATTTGTTAGTTTAATTCTTAGTTCAGTTGAATCTATAAACCCAGCATCGAAAGACATTTCACATATTAATTAATATCAGATAATATGTATAAACACCCTCATGATTATTAATTGTTAATTCCTTATTGTTAGTTTAATTGAATAAACCCAATAAATATTCTAAAATCATGCATGCATTATTATTATTAGCACGATTAGGTGCTTATAATTTATCTCTATTTCATTTTGTTCTTTTGGGCTTTGGCCGTTGGATCCGGGCTTTGGCCGTTGGATCCATGATTTCATGTTTTATGTTCCAAAATAGGTAGGTAAAGGTAGGGTCCCTTGATGGAAATTGACGTTAAAGTCATCATAACAGGGTACGGACAGATCCTCGTCTCCTCTCACTCTAAAGTGTTTGTGAAACAGTTATATATTTCCATCCTTATTCAATTCTGGGGATAAACACTAGATTTTTGACATTCGTTGTTTTTTAGGTTATATTGAGGTCACTGGCGTATCATACGTAATTTCCATATGGAATTCCTGATTCAACTATACCAAGATATAGATGAACAATCCTTTAGTTTTGGAGTATAATCTTTGCGATTTAGGGAACATATAAGTTGTACTGAAAGCTCAATATATTACACCAAAAGAGACTGTTCTTAGACTGTATACCAGGGTCGACTGAACTGACTGAATAAATTCTGATTTCAAGCTGAGCAGTAGTTTACCTATGAGCTGAATGAGCTGAGCCTTATGATTGAAAAATGGTGGAAACCTCGATGTGGGTATCTGGACTACTGTACTCATGTCATGTGTGCTAAATGTATTTTCAGAAATCCAACTCGGAGAAGAATTCATCGAGGAATTCATGGAGTTACTAATATCACACTATGTATAAAACTTCGTCTAGGGCGAAAAGTAGGCTGATGAATATTAATACGTAAAATGTGCAGGAAAATAAATAATAGAATATACTTCACCCCCATGTTATACACATGATTTTTCAGTCTCTTTTGAATAAAGAGTCATTTTCGAATAATTTATTGATTCAAGTAACAAAGAAGTAGGTATTCGCTAAGTATATACGCAGTATAACTTATAGGCACGTTATTTTCACTCTTGCATCCTACATATTTTCTATTTATGGTAGAGTAATAATTATATAAACTAATGTCTTTCGCCATATTGGATCCGTCATCTTGAATGTTTCAATTTTTGGCGAAACAATCATTATCTCCTACCCCGGAAATCCCCAGATACCAATTTTGATTTCTTGAATAGAATCGGATCATATATGATTTCGTTCGCCATATTGGATCCGCTATCTTGAATTTCCCAATTTTGGCAAAAACTCATTAAGTTCGACCCCGAAAACCCTCAGATACCAATCTTAAAAAGAATCAGATCATAATTAGAAATTTCGTTTGCTATATATTGGATCCGTCATCTTGATTTTTCCAAGTTTGACGAAACAATCATCATCTCCAACCCCGGAAACCCACAACCCACATACCTTTCAATTTTGAATAGAATCGGATCATAATTATAAAACTCGTTCGGCATATGATTTTCCTCAACAAGCAAATACCCTGTACATAACTATAATTAAAATTTTGAATGATTTTCTGTAGCGCCCATGGATGTGACGTGACAGCAATGTCAGGGATGCCAGTAGACAAAACTAAAACCTCTAGATCATTAAAAAAGAATGCAGCTATGATCTGTCCGTACCCTGTTAGGATGACTTTAACGTCAAATTCCATCAAGGGACCCTAGGTAAAGGTAAGTAAAAGTGTAGGGATTATAATATAGTTAATTAGTTAATCATATATGAAATGCTTTTACTTGCCGGTTTGTGCGCAATCCACCCGAAATCTGGGAGTTCTAATTGATATCCCAAGACGCCAAGGTCACTCAACAACGTCAAGCACAATAATTCTATTTCACTACTCCACCCTGTCAATTTCGACACACGAAATCCTCTGTCAAGTTGTCTAGCCTACTAGTTGTGTTTGTGTAGCTACAGCAACCGAGAACATTACAAGGTGAACGGGAGCCCCTTGGCCTCTTGCGATTTTGCGATGATGAAAATGGAGACCTGCACCACTATGAACGACGCGGCAGTGTTGCCAGCTGCTGAACATGAAATGTCTCAAAAAGATACGAAAAAAGTCGGTATAGTGAGCGAAGCGAGCAGATAGCCCGGTGGTAACCGATAACCTCTTGCGAGAAAGAGCGAAATTTTTGATTATATTTCTTAATTTTCAGTTAATTTATAACATCAGATAAAAACTCGTAGATAACTTATTTATTCAGAATCTGTTCTCAATAAAAACAGCACATTATGAAAAATAAAATGAATATGAATATGTTCCTATAAAATTTCAGTCGGTACTATGAAATCGTATCGATCAAATCACACACATCATTAATAAACCTGTCAAACCATGTCAACTCATATTTCTAGATCAACATCATACAAATCTGCGACTTCATTGCTATTAAGTCACATTATGGTTCCTATAAGTTTCAATACTGATTTAGAGGCAAAATAAAACCTCCACAAGCTATATAATTGATGATATAAATGATATAATTCTTTAAACCATATCGAATAGCTATGAAATATTATTTAGAAGCGGCAGAAGTGGCACAAATGATGAAAACATAACCCTGTACCCTGTCATGTCACTCTCTTCTTTTCTTATTTCTTCGATCGTCTCCAATGTTTCAATTCAGTGTGAACTGGAGAAATATATTTTATCAATTTAACTCTCCCCTTGTATCAATTAATTCTGATTAAACTGTTTCTTTCATTGTACTGCATATTTAATTTTTTTTGTTTCCCTCTATAAACATTGTATGTTTCTTGGGATCAATAAATGTTATTATTATTATTATTATTATATCCGTCATCACCATCACCAATTGATGTGACCAGAATCAATATATCTCCAAATAAACCGCTATGACTATGTTGAAAACGCTAGAATTCCGACACATCGCAAATCAACTTAAAATGGCGTATTCGCCCGCATTCATCTACCCTGAAAACTCTAGATTTAGCGACAAAACCGCTAAGATGGCAACCCTGACAGACGCGGTACAAAAAGAGAGCGAGTGCGCTTGGAAAAAGACGAGAACATCAAGTGTTTTTTTATAGGCAGGGTCGGGCCCAAAAATTCTATCAGTTCGAAAATGCGCATTCGAGATTTTCGAAATTTTATTCATTCACAGAATATTCCAATTCATAGAGCACGTGCAAATGTAGGTACCATGAATTGAGATAGAATGAAATTAATGGGTTGAATTATAGAAAAGAAGAAAACCAAAAAATATATTTTGGAAGATTCTGGAAGTTTGCCTGGAATTTTTGTGAATCATTGATCAGACAGGCTTGCTTTTGGCGAAGTCAGAAGCACTTGAAGTTTCATATTAACTTATTTGGCAATGTTGCCGGACGTTCAATAATAGTTCAAAGATGTGGCAGATGGTTATGACCATGTTTTTGCCTTTTTCTTCTCCACGTGAGTACCAATTCGTTACACTGGATATACCTACTTATTGTTTCGTTGTTCTTTGTAGAATAATTTCTTTCTGGCTGATGATGGATACCGTTTGGGTCCGAAACATGCCCCCCCTTACTTGAATATGAAATTGAACGTTATGGAGACTACTACTACTTGGAGAGTTTTTTTATTATATTTTAACTACAGTTCTCTATTTCGAAGACCTGTATTTTTTGAAAAAATTCACCGTCTTCATGCGGTTTTCGATATCAAATGTGATGTTTCATCGGCTTCAAAGAGAGCTAGAACACTCTGAAAAAGTCCGCAGAACAAAACTTACACAGGGTGTAAAGTGGAACCATTACACCAAGGTCTACATTTCCAATGCTGCCAGAACTCGAGAAATTTTTTTCTGATCAAAAGTCAGTCATATTATGATACACTGGGACCTCATCTCGGGACGTTTTCGTGATTTCTCCTTTATTGGCCATTTGAACAAAAATTCGATTTTTTTTCGAAAGTCTTGCATTTTTTGAATTTTTTCTCTAGAACTCCACTTGAGCTGACTATTGGGGAGAACTATTCTCATGTTTTGTGGAGGACAATGAAAGACGAAAAAAGCACTTTTGTGGAATATACAGTATGATAAGAAAATAGGACAAAATCTCATTTCAGTAAAAAAAATCAAAAATGGTGACAAAAACCATGGCCCATTCGATTCAGTATATTCGGAAACGGCCTTCTCGATATCCATTATTTATATTAGACTATTATCTCGAGATGTTTTCGAAAATTCGCCTCTAATTTAAATACAGGTTGAAAATTTTCAATTCAAACTTGTTTCCTGATATCGATGATTCTTATATCAACTGATTTCCAATATTTACCGCCCAAAGTATGAGACACAGAGTATTGTTGTTCAATATATTGAGTGTTCCCCAACTTATCTGACAAATTACGAACTCTAGAAAACAATAATGTTAGAAGAATGTGGTGACCAGCATTATCTCCAGATCTGAATTTGATTGAACATGTGTGGAGCCGAATGAAACTTAACCTATCGAGAAGGCGAGAGGCACCCCAAAATAATGACAACCTTTTTCAAGCTGCATCAGAAGAATGGGAGGCAATATCAATAGACTTCATCAACAACCTCATAGAATCTATGCCAAACGGATTTCATGAGGTTTTGTTAAATCAGGGAAGTACTGAAATTTAGGATATGGGACTTTCTAGTTGGATCTCCATAATGTTGAAGAATTCACTAATGTCATATTTCGCCAATATTGCCCTTTTCGAATATTTTTAGTGGATATAAAGTGTAACAAATTTTATTTTCCATCTCGTTTTACTTCTATAAAATTCTTTTTGTGATAGACTTCTTATGTAATATCGTAGGTGTGGTTGAAATTTGTCAGATGAGTTGTAAAACACTCAGTATATTGAACAACAATACTCTGTGTCTCATACTTGGGTAATAAATATTGGAAATCATTGATATCAGGAAACAAGTTTGAATTGAAAATTTCCATCCTGTATTTCAATTAGAGGCGAATTTTCGAAAACGTCTCGAGTTAAGTCTAATATAAATAATGGATATCGAGAAGGCCGTCTCTGAATATACTGAATCGAATGGGCCATAGTTTTAGTCACCATTTTTGATTTTTCTTACTGAAATGAGATTTTGTCCTATTTTCCTATCATCCTGAATATCCTAAAAAAGTGCTTTTTTCGTCTTTCATTGTCCTCCAGAAAACATGAGAATGGTTCTTCCCAATAGTCAGTTCAAGTCGAGTTCCAGAGAAGAAGTTCAAGAAATGCAAGCCTTTCGAAAAACAATCGAATTTTTGTTCCAATGGCTAATTAAGGAGAAATCACGAAAACGCCCCGAGATGAGGTCCCATAATATGACTGACTTTTGATTAGAAAAAAATTCTCGAGTTCTGGCAGCATTGGAAATGTAGACCATAGTGTAATGGTTCCATTTTACGCCCTGTGTAAGTTTAAGTATAAACCTATTTTTTTTTTGTTATATGATAAATACGAATTCTCATTGTATTTCTTTGAATATATCTGAGAATATTCCTTTTTTCAATATAAACCTATCCTCATGCAATAATTTTTTTATCTGATAATCCTGGATTGTTGAATCAATATTAATAATATTCTTTCAATCTGAACTAACTGAAATATTTCACTAGAACTGAACTGAATCGTTCTTTCGAATGACGTTCATTATGTTCAATGCATGTCAACTGATTCAGTTCAGTCATAGATCTATGGTTCATTTCAAGTGAAATATGTCAGGTAGTTTTCAGAATGAAAGAATATCACTATAATTACATATACCTACTCGTAATATATAACTCAATTTTATCCACCCTGTAAATTATGTTACGTAACCTTCGTCTAGCCTGATATGGCCAATGGCCAATGGAGTATGGAGTGGTATGGACCTGGCGCCATGTCATCAAACAACCTTTTTCAGATCGCCAAAAATTAAACAGGCAGGACCGTCTCTAGGGTAATATGGGATCTGAATTCCATCGCAATATTAATTGTTCCTTATTTAATTCAAACTACTCACTTTCACATTACAAAACTTATTTATTCGAATGAAGAATTGAAAAAATATCTACTATCTTGGTGCAAGTTCAATAATTCAAATGTACTTAAAGAATTTGGCCGACTATTTCTTGATAATGAAGTGAATCAGTTGTGATATCTTGTGTCTCTTATCAAGTTCACTGATTGGTTCATATTTATTATAAGGAAATAGTCAATAATGGTCATCGAAATATCACAAAAAAAGTTAGTGTACAACTTTACACAATAATAAGTGCGTTTCACAAATTTGTGCGTTATCCTTGTCATTGACTATTAATCAGTCTAAAGTCATTTACATTCCATGATAAATGATATAAATAGTTCGTACTATGATGAAGACTTGTTCCCTTCAGAATATTTACCATTCACCAACGACTTTCACAACGACAGTGTCATGTGAAAACGGCGTTCATCTTGAAGGAGATTCACATTTCAAACGATTTTTCCACTGACAGTCGCAATGTCGGTCGTTCTCCTTTGACTTTCACATCGCTTTTCCGAATTTTCTAGTGTTCGTTTGGAATTTTCTACAAATTCCATGAGACCTCTGGACATGTAGTACGGTTTTTCGGCTCCGTCGTTTTGTTCACAATCCTCGCAGAAGCACAAAAATATCGTATCAATGGTCATCTAAAACATATTAGAATTTGATTATTTCAGACAAGTTAATCGATTTTTCAATATCGATATTTTGAACTCACTTCGTAAGTTGAAATAAAACAGTGCGCTATAAAATAAGCGAATAGTCCCGATAGAGTTACTGGTACCCACATGTGATGGATTTCATCTTTGAACTGCAAACAAAAAGAAAAACAAGTTGAATCATTACGTATTTCAAAAGTACCTATGCTCAATTTTGATTATTGTTTTTCATCCATTCTCTATGAGTCATGAATGTGAAGAAAACGGCCAGAAATATTATTCAAATGCAATATAATTTGATCAACACTAAATACACCAACCTGCAACAATTTGATCCCGATTAGAACAGTAGCTACGACGACTAACGCTTTTCCCAAAAACAGAACAAAGTCTCCAACGGAATTGATGGCTGCCACTCTGAGCACATTTGAGGACAAAAGTTTGAATGCTTGCCGGCCTGCCTTGCAAAACGGATATCCATTTATCGCTAAAAACATTTCACTCATCATAACATTAATCACTCTTGTTGTCTATATTCCTAGTAGGTCAGGTTAGGTTAGGTTACCATACCTATACTTACCTACTTCAATATACGCATTCCTGCTGAGATACTTCAAGATTTTCTCGAAGCAATACAGGCAACATTGGCAAAATTTCAAGGCACAATTCACGCATTTTCCTTGCCTTTTACCAAGATACTTTTCTATCGCCTTCAATATAACTCTAAGGAATTGCACCAGCGCTACAATGAAAGAACCCAGGGCTATGGATCCCAAATGATAACGAATAAGGTTTCCAGCACTTTGCATTGCTGACAGTCTCACTTCTGATTTATTCCTAAAATATATATAGATTATGAAATATATGTTGTTTAGTTCCAGGGTACACAGAACAAAAATTCAGATAATATGGTAAATATCTACAGATTGAAATGAAGAAATGAAAGAAGTACCTAGCCCAAAGGGTAGTTCAATCTTTCCTAACTTCTAGGCTATAATAAAGCCAAAATGGTTAGGTTAGAAATGGAAGTGAATGAAATTTGAAAATCCCGGTTTTCCGATGATACCTACCTGTTGAAGTACCAAATGCTGACGGCTCCAGCAATGACCATGTGCTGACATCCTATGACGAATTGCGTCATCCAAAGCATGCCGAAGAAATTGTACCATCTGGCGAATCTCATCCAGCCGTCTTTTTCGTAGTAGTAAACCAGCTGACGTTTCTCCACCAACACCCCAGAGCTCTCGATCCACAAGGAGAAGTAGCACCACAGGAACAGCACTGCTCCCAAACATAGGAAAGTCTACAAAAATTAGGAGTTTTCGTGAAACCATTAGGTAGAGGTAAGTTGAGTTTGGATAAATTATTGAACTTCAACATGGCGCTAATGAAGGTAGTGCAACTATACCGCTCTCAGACCTATCGACCCCTTTCTCCCCCATGCATTATTATTCTCAACTGGAATACCTGTCAAACCCAACGTAGTTTGACGATTATGTGACGTTACTGTGGCAGTTTTCTTAACGTTTTTGTGATGTATTTCACGCTTCGACAATCCAGTGTTTTTCTCTGACGTTCTTGTGACGTTTTGCGACATTCTTGTTTTATTCTATACGAGCGGGTTTGTCAAATCATCAAATCGTCACAGGAACGTCACAAATTGCCACAGAAACGTCACAGTATCGACAAACTACGTTTGGCCCCAGGCAACGAGATGACGTTTCAGTGACGTATTTTTAGGTCAGTTGGATGACCAAGGTGATGTAAGGAGTTGACGTCGTATGACATGATAGATGACGTTAATAAGTCACATCCCAATGACGTCCTATTACCCACGTTTATTGATGTCAGTCATTCACCTAACGGTGGCGTCGAAATGACGTCAGAATACATGAAAATGACGTCAAAATACATGAAAATGACGTTCAAATTTGGTGATGAAACGTAAAAAAGTTTCCTCAAACATAGTGTGATAAACACCACGGATCTCTGAAGACATATAATATTGATTATGCATTGTTGAGACTAAGGCTGGGCAAAAATATCGATATGCATCATTCATTCATTCCTTGTAGCGAGACGGAATGAAAAATAGCAAACGGAATCGAAAAAGTTGCAAATAAAACGACACATTAAAGTGATTCTGGTGGCAGAAACGAATAAATAAAACGCAACTATACAGAACTATAGAGAAACATTACGTTGACACGACGTCACTACAACGTCATGAAACTGACGTCATATTTTACCCATCCAAAAGACGTTTACTCAACGTCGTAATGATGACGTGATTATCACATTATAGAAAATACGCCAAAGTGACGTCAGAAATTGGTGTGTGACGTCTCCAATCACCAATTGGGTACGTCACAGTGACGTAAGCATTCGTTATCTGGTTGCCTGGGGCTGGGTTCCCAGATAAAAAGGCATAGGTGCACTATCCTGATGTATTTTACCAGTATTGGTTGGAATAGTAAAACGGGCATTGCTGCTACAGCTTTTCCAGATTCTTTGAATAATTGGACGACCAGTTTGATCCTTTTTCTCATCACTATTATTATCAGACTGATGACCAAAGTGGCGATACTGGCCAATATTGCGAAAGCAAAATACGTATTCGTTTTTCGAAACTCTATATCTGTAAGGCCCAATGTTGTATTATCGTTTTCCATTTTGGAATTCCTCCACATGGTCCTGCAAAAATAAAATCTATAATTCTCGTCATTCTCATAAAAAAAATTATTTTGATATCGAAATATGCGGTTCAGCTGAATCATAGAGGTGCCTCAAGGTTCCGATATGAGGCCTTTCGTTAGTTGCATTTACCATAGAATGACGGTGCCTGTTATGCTAGCGGCAATTGAACCCAAAAGTACCACCCATACCACCACCCCAATAACGTATCTGAACAGAACTAGGATGGTCAAGGAACATCCTGAAAGAACATAATAGTAGATTGTTTTATTAGGATCAAAAGTGACACTTTGTTTGACAAGCGTTTAGCGAAGCCGAGCGAAAGCAAAATTTGCGAGTCGAACAAAGTCACTTTTGATCCGAATGAAACATGCTATTTTTTCTGCAACCGAAACAATTAACTCAAATGAACATGTGAAGTAACCACCAATGCCGTGCCATATGTATGCAATGCAACAAATATTGACAAATAATCCATGTAGTGAGAATATTCTACCTGCATTAACAGCAGGTTAGGTTTTCTAGGATGTTCGAATTGTAGTTTCAATATAAATTCAACTACAGAGTGACATATTTGTGTATGGACCAGGTGCTCTAATGGCAAATACCGCGCCAGTGCCAGCTATAGGAACAAGACGTGGGAAATGTTAGGTTAGTGAACATATCAACAATGATAATAGTGATTATTTATTCCTCTCCATACTACACTTAGTGAACATATCAACAATGATAATAGTGATTATTTATTCCTCTCCATACTACACTGTGTTTGACTTGATAATCAAATGAAGCTAAACAACATCGTTGTTTGAGACAAAAAACCGATTGCTTACCGTGATTATTCAAAAACAAGTTATCCATCCCGAGAATAACGAATGAAATACAGATCAAGCAAGTATTTGAATCTTGAAGGCTTTCCTGATCAAAACAAAAATACTTAACTGAGATGTTTATAATTCCAATACCAAACTATTATAATAAGGTGTATTTATATCTCCAGCATGGGCATGAAATGCCAAATCTGCTGAAATCGGAAACAAATCAGGTATGCGTCTCAACCCAAATAACCAACCTTCACAATGTTGTTCCTTCTCGATGACGTCCAGTACATTCTTTTTAGTTCCTAGGAGCTAAAGTTCAACTTTAGCTCCTAGGAACTAAAATTCAACTTTAGCTCCTAGGAACTAAATATGTTGCCTAGCAACATACCTATTTTTGTGTCAGTAATAGAAACGTCAATTTACCCAGCAAACACATCTGTTATATTTACATCACTGTTATATAAAATCAACGGAACTTTTTTATATAGAAAATTTACGTAAATATTCCATAATACTTCTGAAATATGTGAACCTCCCGAGGGGTAAACAGCTGTGGATTTATGGTGTACACCAATATGGAATTCCATGGATTTCCATGGATTTCCATGGATTTCCATGGAATTCCATGGATTTCCATGGATTTCCGTGGATTTCCATGGATTTCCTCGGATTTCCGTGGATTTAAATGGATTTATATGGATTTATATAGATTTCCATGTACGACGCAGATGCAACAGCGCATGCGCAAACGCATGCGCTGTTGCATGTTAAATAACTGTTAGTAAACAGCAGAACTCAAGTAGAGTGCAAGTGCATTTAGATCTCGATTCAGATGAATCCCTACTAATCGAATAACGAGAAATAACTGAGTAAGTATGTGGAAACGATTATAGAATAGAATACTATCTGTGGCAATGTTAGTGATAAGTATGTTCAAAAAATCATGATTGAAAATTGAGAAAAATATATTTCTATAGGCTTATTCGATTACCACTGAATTATATCACGTGAATTTTTCAGTTTTCTTCGTTTCCAAGTTTCAATTCTTGTATGACGTCCTGTCTGATGAACATTCAGTTGATTCATATCAATAGAAAATAATCTTTAGAGAACTGAGGAACAACTTGAGTACCCAACTCCATCATCATTTATAATTCTATGTTATATACGACTGATATCGAAAATATAGTGTCCCGACAATAGGGACGTTTTCTGAATTGAAGATATTATATTCTCGTGAAATTCAAAAAATCAAATTGAATATGTATATTTTATAGGTATACAGTATGTCTGACAAAGTTGCCAACAAAGGGACAACTCATTCATTTCAAATTTTTTGAAAAAAAGTCATTATTCATGAAAGTCCTGCAAGATGTAATACAATACCGAAGAAGCAAATATCAAATACCGAATTTATCTAGTCGTATACGAGGTATGTCGAAAGATATGTATTTGGTTCCAGATCAAAGTATGTACCTACCTATATTTTCAAATTGTTCTCAATAAAAGTTGACTAGAATTGAAAATTACGTACAAATATCTGATCACATATATCTACGATGAAAATCAGGTCTGATCATTTTTTATCTCGCTTTTATAATTTCTTCAACTTTTTTATTATCATTTCTACGAAAAATTACGTTTTTTAGTAAGATTGATGATTAGGAAGTTTTTATTTTCAATCGATCATTCAAAAATTTCAAAGAATGATAATACCTGATTTTCATAGTAGATAGAAGTATTCAGATTATTGGAAATAATGTTCAATACTAGTCAACTTCCCCAAAAATGATTCTCTATTTAGTCGAAAATGAAGGTATTGCAGAATTGATATTTTTTCAAATGCTTCGTATATACGACTGGAAAGATTTGATGTATGATATTTGCATTTCTGGTTCGAGGCCTCACAGAACTTTTGACAAGGAATGCCTTCAATTTGTTTTCAACTGTTCAACTTTTTCAGACATATCACTAAAAATCCAATGAAGATATGTATCACGTTAAACTAAGAAGTGATGATGATGAACCTCTTCAAATTGCGCTCAGATCAATTCAATTCGTAGAGCGTTTAATGCACAGAAATTGATTTATCATACTTGTATGGCTTTTTCATGTATTTTCTTCCTCCTAATTTTGATGAATAGCAGTGTCTTCAGTAAGTTTTTTTCTCGAGCTTTCTTTATCAATATCGATCAGGAAGTTGAGTTATCAATGAGAAATCTCCTTTAGATAATCTGTCCAATTTACACGAGATTTCTTTATTCAGAATGGACCACGAGGCAGACTTTGAGTCAGAACACAAGCAAAAAATCAAATTCCGAATCTTCAGATGATGACGAATCGAGTGTTGAATACGATGATAGTACAGACACTGAGAATTTTTCTGATGAAACTGATGAAAATATGATTTCTTCTGATGAAATTCCTCCCGGTCAACTTACAGTTGATGAGACAAATAGCAACTTGGCAGATTATATTCAACCGGAATGTGGAAAATTCTATGCTATTTATTACGAAGAACGATGGTATCTGGGCTCAATATCTAGAATCGTTGATAGTGAATATGTCGTGAAATTTCTGAGAAAAAAACGAGGGAGTGAAACAAAATTCTTGTGGAAGAAACCAGATGATATTTCCACAGTTTTGGGAAAATACATTTTTTATGGACCAATAGAGGCCGATGAACACATTGAAGTCTTACAACTGAGTGATTTGCAGCTAGCTGAAATCAATCAAATTTATTCAAAAATGAAGAACAAATAAGCTTTCATGTCATTTTTTTATATCCATTTGTTGTTTGTTTTCTTCTGTTAAAATGTTTTGTTAATTTTGTTTTCGTTCAAGGTTCAAGTTCTAGTTCGTTCAATCTTGCATAGGCGATACTTATTTTATGTGTGAAAGTTTGAATAAAACCTGCGTGATTGAAATTCCACAATATCAATTATCCTATCCAGATAACTGAAATAATCCTTTCTCGATGATTTGAACATACAAAATATTTGTGGATTTCCATATGGATTTCCATGGATTTCCATGGATTTCCATGGATTTCCATGGATTTCCATGGATTTCCATGGATTTCCATAGATTTCCATGGATTTCTATGGATATCTATGGATTTCCATGGATGTTCGAATGGATTTCCATGGATTTCTGGATTTATTCCACAAAAATGGATTTCTGGTGTACACATTTTGGTCAGCTGTTTACCCCTCGGAACCTCCTATTTATATAAAATATTTACGTAAATATTCCGTAACAATTCTGAAATATGTGAACCTCATAATTATATAAAAATGTAACGTAACTATGATGTAAATGATATGTGACAATTTGATATCAATATAAAAGCTTATATGATAGCTACATGACTTTACTAGGACTCTCGGCCGTAAATTCTCTGCAGACTTGATTCTGCGTCAATTAAGGATATTCGTTGGGATGATCAGTACCCGTGGTCTCGCGCTGTAATGTTCCCCCACCGCGATGATTATTATTTTTCGCTCTCGCACTGTAGCGTTTCTCCGTGACCACTCTGAGGTTATAAGTATTGAGTGAAGACTTGGAGACTGAAAGCATTTTCAGTATTTTCTTACTATTCCGAGTGATTTTCTTGTTTCCACCAATTTTCTGCGCTGCAGTGGTCCCCCATCCCACATGCCCAATTCCTATTGGTCGACTACTTTGAGGTTATGAGTTATAATTATAAGTGTTAAGTGAAGACGAGACCATAAACAAACTACACTGAAGGCATTTTCGGTATTTTATAACTAGGTATTTCGAGTGTTTTTCTTGTTTCTACCTGTTGTGTTTGATAAATTAAACTGAACTAAAAGTGTTAATAAGAATAAGTGGAGGTGAGTGAGAATAAAACATGCCTTGAGATTTTCCTAACCTCTGTGAAAACAACAAGAAAGAAATAGTTACATAAAATATCTATCCTGGACCTCTTAAATATGCCTAGAATAAATGATGAGTCTGGTAGGTATTGATAGAATCCGAGGTATAATCTGGTCAAACTCCAATTCTCATATGAAATTGAACAAAAGCCAGTGATTGATTATGATGGCTGATGAAAACCCCAGTGAAAACCCCAAAGTGCCTCACATTCTGGATTAAAGTTATTATTATTGGTTATGGAAATTTGATCATTTTGTCAGTGATTATCATTTTTTGTTTCATAAATAAGTTCATGAAGAACCCCAATAAGATGAATCCTGAAATGTATACTTTTCCAGGTAGGTACATCTTTTCAAAACTCAAGGTGGTAAAGATGGGAGAGACTATCTATATAGGGGCCACACAATGTTCCTGGTAAGGGCAGAGGGGAAACATTGAAGTCAGAGATTTGAAATCAATCGAAATATCATCATCTGGTAATATATATTTTAGATTTCAATTTGAAAAATGAAAAACAAAGCAATATTTTTTCAGACTCCATCATTATCACACACCCTTCGATATCTTACTCTGATAGATAAACCAGCAGGAAGGTGGTTCTGATATAGTCACCAGAGGTTAAATGGAGCGTTGAATTTTGAGATCAAGAAGAAATATATAATTTGATTACTCACAATTTTGATTTTTGAACTTTCGAAGTATACATAAATGGTCTCACTATTTTCAAAGAAAAATAAAGGTCATGTTTTTAATTTGATAGTTAATGTTGTTTTATTTGGAACAGAAAGTCTTAAAAATTTTCCAGCAGAGTTTTTTTGTCCATGAGGAGAATTGAAGTGAATACTGAATGATATAGGAGATAATAAACCATCAAGCATTTTATGACTAATCTGTCTCTGTTACATTTTCTCCCACACAATCAAAAATTGCCAAATAACTTCTTTTTCACACTAGCCCACTTCCAACTCTCATGCACATTTCTATAACCATATATCATCATCAGTAATATCAGTATAGATATTATGGAGTGTAGAGTTTGGATCACCTATTGAGATGATTGTACTTAGTTATCAATATGTGCATATGCCTGTGAAGTGAGTTAGTGAAGTGAAGAGGTTATTCGTGAAATTCCGATATTCATTTCAGATATTAGTCAAGTAGTTTCATCAATATTATATTAAAATGGAGTCATATTTGTAGCTGACATTTTTACATAATAGGGATGTAAATTTTACATAACATCTAGAGAATGTTATGTAATATTTATGTCAGTTTGTTATATACGTAACATCTTATTTATAGCAATGATATTATGTAAAATATATATAAAATAGTGACATAACTGTTACGTAATAATCATGTAGTATTTGTGGCGGACATTTCGCCATAACAGTGATGTAAGTCTTACATAACATAGTTACATAACACGTATTGTCAGTTATGTAACACTTATGTCAATTTTACATAATTGTGTTTGCTGGGTAAGAGCTAATTTTGGTATCAAAATGGACGACTTTTGTGTCGGTTGCAGAAAAATAGTTTTTAGCGATTCTCCGATTATAGACAGTTCAAGTTTATAGTTTACCTAGTGATATGAGACATAGATAACACATTTCTTGCCAGCATAATTGAAAATCCTCCGAAACTTCCTGGAATCAAACACTCGAAATTATTTATATCTATAAAGAGATTATACAGGGTAGAACAGATCAACTCACTGAGAAGAAATTTTTCAGGCCAGTTCTCGAAAATAGATTATTGACTACCTTTCCTGTCCTATTTTGAATGCACCTGTTGAAGACTGGTTTACTGGAAAAGTAAATTGAAAATGATAATGAGTTCTTTATAGTGTCGTATCTGGCAAATGTGGTCCCGTATCGAAAATGTATATACAGGGTGAGTTATGACTAACCGGTCATAGCCTAATGGTAGAAAGAGGAAGTCAAGGTGAGCTGACAAAATATGTTACCTATGAGTAACAGAAATATACAGGGTATTATTTGAGTTCGGAGCGTAAATTCGATGAACGATATTTCAGAAACGTCTTGGTGTTTTCGCCTGAAATTCACCAGCAATTTCGAGAGCAATTTACATCTACTGACACACCACACGATGGCCTACTATGGAAGAAAAATTCCAGAAACGGACTCGGAAAAATCATTTTCTTTTTAAATGTCAAAATTTCGACTTTCTGAATCGTATTGTACAAAAACTTTCATCAGAATCAGAAAGATCAGGAAAAATACTACAAGAGTAGTAATTCAATTTGTACATCTTATGGATATACTATGGATATCCATCAAGGATATTGTGGATGTCCATAAGATATCCGAAAAAGGCTCTGGTATATACCTATGGACGTCCATAGGATGTGACAGTGTGACCTTTTTGGATGTTTTAAAGATATTCATTATGGATATCCATAAGATATCAACTACGGATATGGATAAGAGATAGTATACCTAATTTTATCGAAATTTTACAAGACACAAAAAACACTCGAGAATGATTGAACACTTGAAGGAAAATAGATAAGAAGTCATTAGCGCACGTACAAAAAAATATGGGGGTAAGTGTGTATATGACCCCCAGAGAGTATTCTGAATATTTGACAGTTATTTTCCGTTTTGTTCTCCTCACACGATGTTACATTTTGTGCTGAAGTAATGTACCAATTTTGAGATTAATATCTTATTAAATACGCGAGTTATTAAAAAAACAGTTTTAAATTTCCAACTTTGACACCCTGTATATCGAATATGAAGGGCCAAAATGGAAAATGGTATTCAGAAACTCATATTGTTTTTGTTCAAGGAATATATGGTTAATGGATCGACCTCCTTTTAGCGGACACTCTGTATATCAACGCAACTTGACTTCCTCTATCCGCCACTAGGTAATGGCTGGTTAATCATGACTCACCCTGTATAGACCACTTTACGACCGTTTCTATATTTGTACCAATTCTATTTGTACAACATACATAGTTTTATTTGATTGAATAAGTTTGATTACAACAAAATGATTGTTCAGCCGTTCATCTCAATTTTTATAAACGTAGGTTATTTGGGATCATTCTATTCATAACAATAATGTTGTTTTATAATATTATATTATCTTGTGAACTTTTTATTGCACGAAAATATTTTCAGAAAGTGGAAATTTAATAATAACTTATAGGTACTCACTATCCGTTATATTTGCTACAATCAGAAACACAAAGCTTATCTATCTCTTTGGACCCATCATTCGTTACCATGATATGGTACCTAAAAAGAAGCTATTGAAAATCATTCGTATTTTCTGAGTGGATATTACCGTTCCTCTATTTTATTGTAATCCCTACAATCTTGATTACTTCTTTGAGATCCCGGAAAATTGTTTGGTTTTCCACATACATATCCGCAGTTATCATATCCATTTAGTGTACGGAAAATATCCCCATAGAAAACACAATACCCCAAAAAACACAACTAAAATGAGACACCAGAGACACATTAGACAATAATAATGTACTATTTTCTATATTCTTATGCACATGGTATGGTATTATACGGTTTACAGGGTCCTGAATCTCACCTCCCGTCATCTATAGCTTAGTTATCAGTTGAGTCAGGACTTAGATCTATATGGTCAGGATTTGGATATTTTGCAGACTTCAATAATTGTATCATGGGCATACCAGGAAAATTATTTCGATACATTGTTAGCTCATTATTATAAATTTTTTGAGCAGTTTATAACAAAATATTGTTTTTGTCATGATTATAATATGTTCTGACCAGTTGTGCAAAATTGAATTTTTTTTTATATTTTTTTTGCGTGAATATCACTGGACCGATTTCAATCAAATTCCAGCAGTATGTAGGTAACCACTAAACGCACCCAAATGTTCGATAAAATATATGGCATGCCATTTGAAAAATATATCATTATGACGTCACACTTTTTTGGGACACCCTGTATAATCAAAATCATTTTCCTGGTATGCGCCCTATGAGAGAATTGAAGTCTGCGAAATATCAAAATCCTGACTCTACTGATGACTGAGCTATGGAAGACGGGAGGTGAGATGACCCTGTATACATCTATACATATGTATAGGTAATTTGTTGTATTTCTTTTATAATATCAGAAAAAAAAACAATCAAAAATATGTAGGATGTTTGATTCTGAAGAATATAAATTGCGCCGAAAATATTGTCAAAAAATTGGTATGTAAAGAATAATGTGATGATAGAAAATGCGTTTTTATACTCACCAAACCTATAAGGAAAATCGTGAAGAAAATCAACCAAATACCATCAGTGAAGGAACGTGTTTTATTCGTGATTGATTCAGCACTGCTTCGCTGAAAAGGGTACACAACTGATGAGTGGACTAAAATGTTTCAAAAGAATATGGATAATTATATGTAAGTAATATATTGAGTACAAAAATCATTGATACAGTACAAGAATAAAATGATAAATTCTCATTTAAAATGATATGAAATAGCATAGTGTTTGGGATCACACGTTAAAAGGTAAGGCCCCCGTCATTCCTTGCTCGCACAAGACTTTCGAAGACTTTTGAGGGTTGCTCGTAAGGGGGCAACCGAATGACGGATAGAACAAATTTTAGAACAATTTTTTTTTTAGCATGGATTAAAAGAGTCATACGAAAAAAGTAAAGTATATTTATAATTGAAGGGTGTGTAGCCCTAGCTAGCTTTCATAAAAAGTAGGTATATGATATGCAGTTTTTCTCACCTCGGTAGGCTGTATTCTACTACTCCTTCTAGAATATGTCGCCATATCATCACTGAACCTCAAAAAATGAAATGAAAAGGTAGAGTTGCGGTCAGCTTGCAATCATATCGTGCTCATATCACATAATGAAACCGCATTGTCAATTTCCGGGGTTTCTTCAAAAGGAAAACATCTAATGATAGAAAATGAGTTGTTGCATTATGCATGATACACAGTCTGGCTCAACAACCCCTTTTCTTGGGTTGGTAAACCGAAGGGAACATATACAGGAAGACCCTCTGGAGTTTTTCGAGTTTCTCTCATATGTAATAGTAATAGAAAAATTGTATCACAAGTCGACAGCTTGTAGCCTAATAATTTCGCAGAAAGTCGTTGTTTATCAACACTTTCGAGTTGTAATCGAGTAGTTTTGGAACAATATCATGAGCGAAATTAAAGCAGCAAGCTGGAGTATGACAATCGACGAATATTTGCAAGAAAAATTGTATCACGAGTTGTATTCGTATAAGTAGACAGCTTGTTGCCCAATAATTTCGCCGAATGACATTGTTTATCAAAACTTTCGAGCCGTAATCGAGTAGTTTTGGAACAATATCATGAGCGAAATTAAAGCAGCAAGCTGGAGTTTGACAATCGACGAATATTTGCAAGAAAAATTGTATCACGAGTTGTATTCGTATGGATATTCCGTGAATGAGAGCGGCTCACGAGAGTTGCGTTCACTGCATCCATCATTTTGCTTCAAACTCAAAAATTCTGACATTTTACTCAATTATACCTCAATAGTTCACCACTTTTGAATTTGTTTTCTCAGTTCTTAGTAGGTAATGATATGTATCAAATAACCTTTCAAGTTAATCCGTTACACTGTATTTTAATGTAGATATTCTGCTTATTTTCCGAAAATGAAGGTTTATCAAGGTAATTCTAATCCTTCCGGTTGAGAAACTAGGATATATACAGGGTGACATTTTGAAAACGAGAAATCGAAAAAACAGGTAGATTTTATTTTCGAGGGGGACACTTGAAATGATTAGTTTTTGCCCTCATGTTTCAACCCCCTAGGAGGGGTAGATGTTATCCTTAGAACCTAATATGAAAAGGGAGGTCAAGATGCACATCATTTTGAAGGGCGTTCGAGTCTTTTCAACTATACCCTTGATTTTCATTTATTGATGAGCAGTTTCCGAAAAAATGCCAGGAGCACAAAACCAATAGAAATTAGAGCATTAAATTATGCGTTATCTTAATAAAACATTCATATGTCAGTAACGCGTGTGACAATTTCAAAAAATGTTTTACAGTATCGAGAAAACATATGAAGCAATATGTTTTGGACCCCAAAAAACAATAGAAACATTTTTCTTTCAAACAGGAGGCGTTTGAAATTTTTGGAAAAATGCACAGCTTTGATTATCATCCTGTAGAATCTCATCCGGAAAAGATGAAATAGTCATATCCATAGGTACGATAGTCAATGAAACGAGCTTTCAGAAACTGGAAAAAAATTTGAAATTGGTTGAGGAAATCGAAAGTTATGATGTTTCGAATTTGATCGAAAAAATGCGATTTTACGTTTCATGTGTTGAGCAGTTTAGTTACTAACAATTTTATCGATGTATTCTAATTGAAAATTCGTCAAAGTATGAGGTACTTACCACTAAATTTTCACTGGTTATTCCATCTAAGAATGCTCCACAAATGAATTGTCCAATAATTGTAATTGGATCCGAGATTGATGACTAGTCTTCAGTTTTGTCCACCCGACAAAAATGAAATTATCCCATTATATTACTCCCACACTCGTCCGCTTGTATGATACAATGTATGTACTCTCATTTTCTCATTTTCAGTAACCAAGTCCAGGACATATCTTCACGTAATGTTTTTTTTTTCGTTATTGGAAGATTTTGATCGCGCGGGAATGTCGTATATAGTTCAGTAGGCTATGGTTGAATGTTGAATAAACAAACGAACGTTGCCCTGGCAACTGAAGTATGTACACCTTGTATGCGTCCGATCCGATATGAGGGTGTGAATTATTACAGATGGACAGTTATTGTGTATACAATACAATTATATAAGGGGTTCTTCTTACTATGGAATATAATCGATTTTCAGGAAAATTATGAAATGAAATATGTCAGTATTTTTTACGGCGCGTCTGAAACTGTAACTGCTGTAAATTAGTCAGAGAAATCTTTTTGTATAGATATCTCCTAATTTGTGCTAATTTACAGTTGCAACTGTAAATGACTCAAATATTCGTGAAATGAGTTTCTTTAGGTAGGCACTAATTTTCACAAATCGAACTATTTTGAAATTTAGTGGAACACAGGCAGAAATATTTATACAGAGAAGTGCACAAAAAACGGCATTTACTGTAACTCTTGAATTATTCGAGATAGGGTTTTGAAAATTGGTAGGCAGCTAGAGTATACCAAATTGCTCATTAATTGACGAAACAATTTTTGTTCCATCACTTCCGGTTTTACTGGAAACGAGCCCAACTTTCGATTTTTAAATGAGACACCCTGTATTGTACATAATTGGTTAGGGATTGTCACAACGAATTCATCGATACCGGGTTTGATAGGATTATTTCAAACGATTACGCAGAAAGTCGCGTTCTGAGTGGTTTCCATATGCTCAATGAGTGTGACAGAGAAATAAGTTTTGATATTGCGAAGTGATAGGGCGTCTCAAGAAAATAAAAAAGTCCCCATGAACAAAAGGCGTAGTAGGCTTCGTTCGCGAGATTGTAGTAAAATTGTACAGGGTAATAAAGTCGAAAATGAAAATAATTCTCATGGAATTTCTAGATAACCGCTGAACAAAAATTCTTGATATTCTGGTGCATGTTTCAGTACCTGAGAGTGATTGAATGACTTTAGTTAATCTGAATCCCAGTGGCACCCTTTAGGGGTGTTGTTGCGTGGTTTTCCAGAAAAAAATATGGGTAGCTGTGAAAGTTTTCGATATTTTATTCGAAAATATGAAAGAGGATGCAATTATGTAGAAAAAAGCACCAAATGTTGATCAAACTTCACACGAGGGAGGAAATGGATACCTTTATTTCCTTATTGATATGTAATATACAGGGTGATTCATGAAAAATGGGGAATCTCTGAACTACAGATAGTTAACACAAAAATGATGAGATTTAGCCCAATATGATGCCTGATGAGAATTTTGCTGGCTTAGAAGATACAGGGTGTTCTAAATCAGCAACATTCTCATAAGGCATATTGGGCTAAATCTCATTATTTTTGTGTTTACTATCTGTAGTTCAGAGATTTCCCATTCTCAATTAATCACCCTGTATAAATAGCTATTATTAAAGGCACTAGATGATATTAGTAGATTTTTTTTATTATGAAATTTGACTCCATCACATTTTTTTAAAACTGAACTGTCAGTCATTTTTACGTCAAAACAATCCTGATAGGAATATGTGCGATAAACCTTCCGCTATTGAATCCCAAAATTAATAAAAAATCGTTTCGAGATAGTAGCAGGAGAAACAGCCAGAAAATATTATTCATGTTTGCTAATGATCTTAAATTCACTCTACATAGTGGAGATGAAATACCTATGGTTGGACGTAAGTACAAAAATGGTTTTATTATTTGAATCTTTTATTTAATTCATGTATACACAGGTGAGTTTGTTTGGTAGATCGTAGAAAAATATTATTATTTCAGTTGGTACTTCTGGTATAACCGGAAAATCATTGGCCAAAGAAGTGCTGGATTTCGCTTTGGAAGCTGGATACCGACTTATAGGTAGTACAGCAATCCCAATCGGAGGGGGATTAATTTAATTTCACAAATGTATCTATCTATATACACACTTTCAGACACATCTCCGATGTATGGAAACGAATCAGACATCGGAAAAGCTCTGAAAGAGGTTCTCCAGAAACACGGTTTGACAAGAAAGGACGTTTTCATTAGTACCAAGTTACGTAAGTTCTTAGAATCTGTGGTAAAACTGCACTTATAATAGTTATAATGACGTATTTTTGTCTGAAAAACACTGATTTGATGATGAATATTTGAAACAAACTAATGAGAAAAAGAATCTTGGGATTTGGTTTGATGATAAATTAAAGTGGGACAAACACATATATATGTTTTGACCAAAAAAATATCTACTATTATTGGAGCCCTTAAAAGATGCCCCAAGCTGGATAAAAAAGTCGCAAATATAATTCTATATTCTCATATACTCAGTCGTATTAACTATTTGATAAATGTTTGGGATACTGTAAAAAAAATAATTTCAATAAATTATCTGCATTATGTAAAAAGACATTGAAAATACTGTATCGTTAATCATATTATACACCAACAAATCAATCAAAATAACTGAATCATTCTCATTAGAAGAAATGTTCAAAATTGAAAATATGAAAATTACATACAATATCATGAATGAAAGATTGAAATCCAATTTCATTTTAACAAGAAACAATGAAATTCATTATAATAACCAAACTAGAACAACATGGTTTATTTTATCTTGATATCGCTAATTCAACTTTTGATTCATATCCAAATTGATTGTTGCTCACTAATATGAAATGATTTTTCAAAATTTAATTCTAAATGTATTCAAATATTATATTATTTATAAGTTTATTATAATTCTATAGTTTTAGGTATTGTTGTTAACTATACTTCCTTATACCAGAACTTGATTCTGACTGGAAGGCACATTTTCAATAAATAATAAAAACATAATAAATAAAAATAATGAATAATTATAAAAAAATGTGAACAAATCATTCTTCATTGAGATATTTCACTATAAAGTTACAAATTTCACCTTCTTTTCCGCCTGTCTTCTAGATTGCATTTAGAGCAATTTGCCCTTATTTTTTCATCATTGGACAATTTATATGACACAATGTACTTGTACACATTTTTTTATCATATTCAACTAGAAATATGATTTTCTTGCGATTTATCCATATTCATTTAAAATAATGGCATGTGTAATGTCATTCCAAAGCAATCTGTTGAAATTTGACATCTCGTTTTTGGATTGACTATTGATTAAATGGCCGTCATCTGGTATGATTGTTCACTAAATATGAAAAACTCGCCATAAAAATCATATTTCGTGTTGAATTTTCTGAATAAAGATGTTTCATTGAAGTTCATCATGAGTATATAAAGTGTTCAATGACAAAATAAAAAGATCAAGTAGCTGTAAATGCATCCAACACAAGGGGAAAAAGAAGGCAAAACTTCGAACTTTTTCTTGAAATATCTCGATAAACAGTGGTTTGTTCACATTTTCACTATCAAATTAATGTTTTTCAGACATAAATACGTGAGTACCAAAAAAAATTTTCGAAAATAAAAACCATCGCATGATGAGTTCCGTTTTTACCGAATCTGTTAGTTAGGTGTGATTTTGAATACGTTACCATATGGCTACAGTCGATTCAGCCAAGTTGGCTTGCTTGAATATACTACTGAATGAGTGATGTTCTATGTCCGTTTGATTCTTTCTTTCCATTATCACTATTTGGCTATACTTCTTGCTCAATTTCCCTCAATAATTCTATGTTAACAGATCCTGACGACCACGGAGATAGGGCCGTCAAAGCTATTCATAAATCTCTGCAGAAACTCCAATGCGAATACATCGACTTATACATGATCAACTGGCCAGGAGCGTATGGGGTAAGTAATTATACCTACCCATGCATACAAAAAATTGTCACTTATAATATCACGAGAGCTTCAATTATTTCCGGAAATTAATTATTCGGTAAGAAAAGTTCACACTGAAATATTATATTGCAAATATACCTACATAATATTACATGATGAATTGTTGATAAATGATTTTCATTTATTGAGTTATAGAATGAACTTGAAATAATCTGAAGTTATACGTCCGTATAACCAGGCGCTGAAGTGCCGTTTTACGACCGCAAAAACGGGCGTTAAAGTGCTACTTTACGTCCGATCGTGCATAAAAATATGTTCAATTCGATAATGATTTTTAGGTGAGCACCTCGAGCAAAGAGAATGTCGTGTTGCGGGACAAGAGCTGGCAGCACATGGTAAAGGCGGTCCAAGAGGGGCTGATCAGGAACATCGGCGTATCCAGCTACACTCCAAGACACATGAAGCAGCTGCTGCAGAACAATCACGGCATCAAGCCCAGCGTCAATCAGGTCACAGTTGATATATAGAGTGGTCAAACATAGAGAGGGGACATCTGAAATAGTTATTTATGTACCAAGGACGAAACACTTTATTATAGTCGAGTCTGCAATTGATAGCCGAGGCCTTAGCCTTGTTGTCAACTCACTCTCCGCGGGGACCAGGGTTGCCAGATCAATTTTTATTCCATCAATAAATACCTTGTCAAAAATTCTGATCTATTTTATACGATACGAATTCCAAGAAAGGATACGGCGTCAAAACATTATGTACTTTTAGTAAACAGAAAAGTAACCTAACCTTTTTTGTCGGGGAGTATATTTAAATAGAACATGACAAATAATGTTGGATTGAATTATATTTTCAGATAGAGTGGCATCCGTTTTGTCATGACAAGAAAATATACGAGCTCTGTCAGAAAGAGAATATTTTAGTTCAGGCTTACCAGTCATTAGGAGGACCAGATAATAATGATCTTCTAGAACATAGCGATGTCGTTCGAATTGCTAAGATGTTGGATAAGCAACCGGCACAGGTAATCCAGTCACCTTGTACATTATGCCTTGCATGGTTTGGGGTAGTAGGTTTCTTTTTTTCATATTGTTTGGGATAGTACAGACCTCGGTGACATTCCGGATCACCGCCATATAACATTTAAACGGCTAAAAATTCGCACTTTTTTCAGATTTCGCCATTTTTGACCTAGAAGGAGTACTTTTTCAACAGAGACAGCTCTATTTATTTTTAGACTACATAAAATTTCCTTAATACTGTGCTAAATATGATTACTGTAGGCCTAATAGGTTACGAGATACAGCTTTTCAAAGTTGGTCACAAAAGGGTAACATTTAATGAGAAACAAAGACAACTACTCTTACAAATTGGGGATATTCCCGTCCAACTGGAAAACTGCAAGAGTACAACCATCAGTTCCTTGAAAAGGCGGAAAAAAAAACCTACCTAGCAAAACTACAGACCGATCGCACTGCTATCTATTATTTCAAAGATCATGGAGCTCATGAAATACCTGGAATATTCAGGTATTATCAACGATAGGCAATATGGCTTCCGTCATCAGAGATCAACTGGTGACCTGCTCGCTTACGTCTCACATATATGGCAGCAATCTCTATTGAAAAATATGGTGAAACTTTAGCCGTGGCACTTGATATCTCCAAGGCATTCGATCGAGTCTGGCACCACGGACTCCTCGCCAAGCTTCCATCATATGGTTTTCTCTCAAACAAGTCTCTCCATGTAGTGATCGACGGAGTTTCATCTGACTCTCTTATCATAAATGCAGGTGTTCCGCAAGGATCAATTCTAGCACCAACACTATTTCTACTCCATATTCCAGTACACAGCTTCGCAGATGATAGTACCCTCCATACCGCCTTCTCTTCCAGGGCTCCAATATCAGCCAGACAAATTAGAAACGAACGAGGGATAGCCCAGGAACGGCGTCGTCAGAAGGGGGTGATAGTTGCGCTAAATGAGGTAGAAGATTTTTTTGTTTTATCTTGTATATGTTGTAGAAAAGGTAAAGAATCCAAGTTTTCGACCTTCCAACCCCTGGCAAAATTTCGTGGGGCGGGCGGGCCAAAAAAACCACAAAATTCTTGCACTTTTTTCAGTTTTTGGCCTAGAACTTGAAAATAACGCATCCTAGCAAAATATCACCCATTATCAAAATGAAAGAGCATTAGATTACGCGTCGAATGAGTATTTAAAAGTTGAAATTCCATCTAGGGGTATGGCGTAATCGGAAGTAGAAGTAGAAAAGTTGTAGAGCATGACATTTCACATTTATAGACTACCTAGCTTTCCAATTTTGGTCAATATCAAGCTTATACATACACCCAGATTAAGCTCATAATTATCCAGTTTTCTTGTCGGTCACAGTTCGTTTTCAACGAGTTTCAGTTTGCAGAAGTGTTTGTACCTCCTTTAGGTATAGAGTTATTTATAGATGTGGCCAACGCAGATGTGGGATACCAAAGGGATCCTACCTGAGACCCATCCTTAATTGATTCATCCCCCTTTGGAACGTGGTCTTCAGTGGCGGCTCCTCAGAGGAGGCAACGGAGGCTGAGCCTCCTCAAGAATTTCCATACATCAAATAATTCGATATACTTGTACAAAATATACACAGAAATATCTATGATTCGTTCATTTCATCGGTTTTATTTCCTGATATCAAAATAGCGTTTGTCACGGAACTACAGAATTTGAGTTGGCAACAATGCTTAAAAGTATTCAGAATAGAATCAAAGTTTGCGACTTGGCAACATCCAACGGAGGCAAGCCTCTGACCAATGAAATTTGCGACAGACCGAGATAGTGAGAGAGAGAGCACGTGTGAAATCTCAGGTTTTATTTTATTTCAGTTGTGAGATTGACTAGTCCGAAATGAGTTCTCCCCAACGTAGGGAGGTGTGTTTCATATGCCAAGGTAGTTTGATAGATGGTGATGTGGTTACAGTGCGACAAAAAGGCGTGAAAACTCTAATAAGCTCTAGTGTTCAAAGGAAAAACAACGAGCATCGTCGTTATTTAACTAATTTGAGTGAAGTTAAAGTGCACAGTGCTTGCCAGAAGCATTACAATAATCCGAAATTGATTTCTTCGTATCTGAAAAGAGCCTCCGAACCATCAACGTCAACACGTAGGTCGAATGTATTTGATTTGAGAAAACACTGCTTTTATTGTGGGAAAGAAGCTGATGATAATTGGGAGGAAAACCTTCGCAGACTTCCCTATGCCAAGCGAAATTTAATTCATAAAGTGATGAAGCTTGAACTAAGAGATAGCGTTATTGAGGTTGCTCGAAGGAGAGGTGACAACTGGGCAAGTGAAGTATGGCAACGTATCAGTGACGAAGATCTTTGTGCAAGAGATGCGTGGTATCACAGATTTTGTCAGAGGGATTTTTACCGGCCAGTCAGGAGCGGAGGAGAAAAGGGACGTCCTCTATCGAAAGATGTTGACGAAGCAATGGAAATGATTTTTTCCTATATAGAAAACAATCCAGAGGAATGCCAATTCTCTTTAGAGGAACTGATGAACCAGATTACGACTGAAAACGTTCCACAGGCTAGGACAGTGAAAACCCGACTCTTGGAGAAATACGATGAAGACATTTTGATAGTTGAAACTAAAAAGAAGAAGACAGTAGTTTGTTTTAAAAATACTGGCTATAAAATATTGAGTGATAGTTTCTATCAGAGCAGGCTGTTAGATCCAAGAGAAGAGCGCCTCAGAATCGTAAGTGCTGCTGCAGATATCATTCGAGAGGACATCCGATCACAGGTCTATGAGATATCGCAATATCCCCCACCTGATGATTTCTTGAAGGATGTCGAATCGGTGATCCCTGAATCATTGCTCCATTTCTTTGAGTCATTGATTCTGAAAAATAAACGAGGGACACTGGAAAAATGGAAAAAAAGGTGTGTGGCATTGTCACATGCAGTGATTTCTGCAGTGAGACCACGATCGTTTCTATCATCTCTTTTAATAGGGCTAAGCACGTTCATATATAAACGATTTGGTTCAAGACTTCTTGTTGACGCTCTCAGCGCAATTGGATTTGTGGCTACGTATGCTGAAACTACCCTACTTGAGATGTCATCGATAGTACGACCTGAGCAACCTAGGGTAACCACTGATGGATTCCTCCAATTCATTTTTGACAACGCGGATTTCAATATTAACACCATTGACGGATTGAATACTTTCCACTCTATGGGAGGAATCATGGTCGTCACTCCTCACTCGGCCATCGAGTCAGAAAGAAACATTGATCGGCAAGTGAGGATGTCATCTTCTGATGTGTTGACCTCAGTTGGTGTACCTCAATTGACCACCTTCCACAGGACAGATAATGGTGGTTTAAATACCATAATTATGAAGGACCTCAATCTCAATGACCCAGTGGCCTTGGAAGTGACTCTCTCTGGCTGTGAGATTTTGTGGCTTTACGGAAAGTGGACGAAACGTGCCGATGTGCCAGGATGGGGTGGATACATGGAAGAAGCAACCAATCACGGACAATCTCCTACTTCAAAGATATTGTGTCTCCCATTCTTGAACTACCCTCCCACTTTATACGACACAATATATACATCGCTGCTAACGGCATCTAAAAAATGTGTGGAACTTGGACAACAGTCGTGCTTTGTCACATTTGACCAGCCATTGTATGTGAAGGCAAAGGATATAGTGAGCAGTGATGACAGTGATTTAAAAAATGTCATTGTACGATTAGGTGGATTCCACCTTCTCATGTCCTTCATGGGCTGCATCGGCGTGATAATGGCAGGAAGCGGCTTGAGAGACTTACTTTCCATTATATTCGCCGAGAACAGTTTGGATAAAATATTGAGTGGACATGCATATGCTCGAGCAGTGAGAGCTCATATGCTAGTCCACATGGTGTTGTCATTTTACATATTTCAGGAGATTGAGTTCACGGATGGTGAAAAAGAAGTTATGGAAGAATTGCTGCTTTTTGAAAACAGACCATCAGTACTCACATGTCACGAAAACAAAATGTATAAGCATGTGATGATCAAGTTTAACAAAGCGCTTCACACCATTGCAGGTAGAGGACCAACTGCAAAACTATGGACTCAGTATTTCTACATGGTGACAATTATGAAGCAGTTCATTGAGGCAGAGCGGATGGGCAACTGGCTTCTGCATTTGGATACCATTAAAAAAATGCTTCCTTACTTTCATTCTGCTGGCCATTTTCAATATGCTAAAAGTGCTCACCTTTACTTGCAAGAAATGCTCACATTGGAAGAGCAAATGGATCCAACAGAATTCAAAAAATTCACAACAGAGGGCTTTTTCACCATCAGGCGCAGTGACAAATTTTGGTGTGGAGTCTGGTCAGATATGACCATCGAACAGACACTAATGAAGACAATGAAAGTAAAAGGCGGTTTAACTCACGGGCGTGGGTTTTCAGACTCAGTTCTTACAAAGTGGACTTCAGGGATGGCAACTCTGCATGATGTTTGTCAGAGGATTGAAGAATTCTGTGATATATCAACAGGTACAAGTGAGCAACACGTAGACTTGAGACCTTCACGCAGAGATCGAAATGCAGCAGACAGTGAGAAACTGAATAATTGGCTATTGCAACACCCCCCATTTCCACCATGTAATGTTCTCATGTCAGTGAGCAGTGGAGTAATTGGTGGTCCTGAAGTTAACTGTCATTTGTCTGTAGAAGTTGGAAGTATGGGGATTGCCAAAATTATGGGACAGGACTTCAAAAACGTATCATTCAAACGCAAAGATAAGGTTGTTACACTTGCATCCTGCACTGCTCTGAAGATAGGGGGAAAGACGATAGCTACTATCAACCCGTTAACACTGTTTCATAGACTGTGCGTTGTGAAACAATCCGATGAAGATTTGAAATACTGTTTCTCATTTGAACTTGCTCCATACCCCATGTCTATGTTCACGGAAGAAGGTCTCCGTAAGGGTACAAAGTCTTCGCTGTATGATGCATTCACACCTCTCCAAAATGCTACACCCTCTATAAAAAGTTTTGTTGTCGATGGTGGATACCTTCTGCATAAGGTTGTTTGGTCCCGTAATGAAAAATTTGGATCTATCTGCAGAAAGTATGAAACCTACTTGAGAAAACACTATCAAGCCGATATCACGGTTATATTCGACGGATACCCAAGTGATGCTTCGGAGAGGGGAACAAAGTCTTCTGAAAGGTCTCGTCGATTGAAGACATCTGGTTCATCAGCAGATATCATTTTCAATGAAGACACAGATGCTGCAGTGTCCCAGGAAAAGTTTCTTGCGAATGAGGGTAACAAAAATCGTTTAATTTTTATGCTTATGCATAAATTCAAGGAAGGAGGTATCTCAGTCCAACAGGCAGAGGAAGATGCAGATTTATTAATTGTAGAAACAGCTATTTCCCAAGCAGCAAAATCCGTATGTGTGGCTATTGTGAGTGAGGACATTGACGTTCTTGTTCTCTTAACCGACCTTGGGAAAGAGTACCAGAACTTGTACTTCCACAAACCAGGAAAAGGCAAAAAATCAGCTTCATGGTATTCCAGCACTTCCTTCTGCTTTGATCCCACTCACGTCCTCTTCATCCACGCCTTTACTGGATGTGATGTCACATCATCATTTTTTGGTCATGGGAAAGGGAAATTGCCAACCCTCCTCGAGCAACATCCTAAACTGAAAGAGCAAGCAGCTGCATTCCTCAAACCCTCAGTCTCTCAAGACGAGATAGCACAGGCAGGGGAACAGCTGATCATGTCTCTATATGGAAAAATGGACAGTGGGACTCTCGATGAGCTGAGATACGAGCTCTTCGTCGAATCTGCATCAAAAAAGTCGTTCAACCTAGCACGGCTACCACCTACATCAGATGCAGCAAGATGGCACTCAATGCGAGTATACCAGCAGGTGCAAACTTGGCTGGGGTGTCCAATAAGCCCATGCCAATGGGGTTGGAGAAAACTTCCATCCGGCTTAGTACCTATTCAAACTACTAAAGATGCTGCTTCCGACATGTTACTAAAAATGATTTTTTGTACTTGCAAAAAAGGTTGCACTGCAGCATGCGGGTGTCGAAAATCTGGCCTCAACTGCTCTTCTGCATGCAAGCATTGCTCCGGCCTCTCCTGCGAAAATGCTCCTGAGATGGAGTTGGGAGAAGACGAGGACGAAGAGTTTTCCGAGTCAGAAGAAATTTCCGATGCTGCTGCAATGGACCACGAAGTGAGGATGCCAGACACGGACATTGCAGAGCCCCAGCCCAAACGATTTCGCCTATAAATGGCAATTATTCCCATTTTTCCATGTACTTGAAATGTCATGCTCTAAAACTATCTTCACAATACAACTATTGATTATCATAACTAAATTTTTATTTCGTGGATTTTTTCATTTAGGTACCCGTTTCAGAGCTGGGGACGTGATAAAGGTCACTTGGTGTGAATTTCTTCAGAGTTGGTAAAAATTGTCGTTTTTCTACTTCCGATTACGCCATACCCCTGAATGGAATTTCAACTTTCAAATACTCATTCGACGCGTAATTTGATGCTCTTTCATTTTGATAATGGGTGATATTTTGCTAGGATGCGTTATTTTCAAGTTCTAGGCCAAAAACTGAAAAAAGTGCAAGAATTTTGTGGTTTTTTTGGCCCCACGAAATTTTGCCAGGGGTTGGGAGGTCGAAAACTTGGATTCTTTACCTTCTCTATAATATATACAAGATAAAACAAAAAAATCTTCTACCTCATTTAGCGCATCTATATATTACCCCGTTGCTGGACTAGGAGAAATGTTGACAACATAAATATGGACTTGGCAACAATTCTTGAATGGGGATCCAATAACTTGGTAAATTTCAATGCAAACAAAACACAAGCATGCCTTTTCTCTAGAAAAGCCGATCTCACTGTGCCAAACATAGGCATGCCAGGAGTAACCATACCTTTGAAGACATCTATTTCGATGCTTGGTATTACTATCAGCAATAACCTTTCTTGGGAATATCACGTGAGATCAATTGCTAAAAGTGCATCCCAAAAACTTGGTTTTCTGTTTCGGGCCAGGAGCTATTTCACTTCCAGTCAGCTGCTTATGATCTATAAGGCACAGATCCGACCTGTCCTGGAATACTGCTCCCATATTTATAGTGCAACATACCCTGAAACTGTTGGATTCTGTCCAAAAAAGGGCAATTCGTCTCGTGGGTGATGCCTCGCTCACAAACTCACTCACTTCTCTGGAACACCGTAGGAAAGTTGGCGATCTGGCTCTATTTTATAGATATTTTCATGGACGATGCTCTTCTGAAATATCAACAATTGTTCCTTCCTTGGCAGTCCCCGCGAGATTAACCTGTCGAGTTGAGGCTTCGCACCCCTTCGTGGTCACTTTGGAGACCTGCAGAACATCTCTTTCCAAAGACTCGTTCATCCAACGAACAGCGAGGCTCTGGAACACATTGCCAAAGGAGGTGTTCCCCGAGGCATATAACCTCCAGAAATTTAAGAAGAACACCAATTCCTACCTTATTTTCCTTGGTTCTCACGATGTTGCGTTGCATTAGGCTTGGTAGAAAACGCTGATTTCTCCAGTAGATCGAAATTCTTTTGAATAGTTTGGAGAAACTTGCCTTTTCCTTGGCCAAAAAAGGAGGACGTGGAATCACATCCACTAAAGGCGTAGATGAAAGGGATGAGATGGTGGTCTGAAGCTATTGATGAGGTGTTTGAAAAGAAGATATCTGATGATTTTCCTCTTCCACATTTTTGAAGGAAGATGTTATTTTGTGCGGGATTCGTGAGGCCATCACCAACAAGTCTACGTCTTCACCTACAATGAACACTTCTTCAAAATCAGAGGCCTTTGCGATGGCTATAGTGACAATCAGCCTGTCAGCATCTTCTTCAGCCTGGAAAACCTGAATGCATGTTTTTCATTTCCATCTTGGCCTTCAGTAGTTGAATGAATCTCAACTTGTTTTTATCATATTGCATGAGAACTTTTCTTGGGAAATCTGAGGTATAGTTGTTTCTCCAAATATCACGTCTGGAGAACACTGTGCCCCAGCTCTTTAGGCTACAGTAATTATATTTAGCTCAGTATTTAGGACATTTTATGTAATTTGAAAATGAATAGGGCTGTCTTTGTTGAAAAAGTACTCCTTCTGGGTCAAAAATTGGATTTGGCATCTCTGTACTATCCCGAACAATATAAAAAAACCTACTACCCCAAACCATGTAAGGTGGACCCCTTTTTGATGACAAGGTTACTGGATTGAGGTGAAAAATTGATAGAATAAACGTAATAGTTCGAAGATTTCTCTGGCTTGCTTTCAGGTATTATTGCGATGGGCGCTTCAGCAAAATGTGTCTGTCATACCGAAATCGAAAACGAAAGCGCGCATTTTCGCTAATATGGAGTTGAAGTTCACCATTCCAGAATCCGACATGAAAGTGCTAAGTAACTTCAAGAAGAAAATTCGATACGACTGGGATCCCGAACAAATTGTCTGAAATTAATATTCTTAATTTCTTCAATATAAAAGATAGGATCTGATACGTATAGTATAGGTTGTCTTATACATAGCAGCTTGAATAATATATTTACACTCCAAATGTATCGATTACAAATAAATTTTATAATTTATACAGGGTGTCCCGAAATTAGCCTCAGAAGGGACATGTTTCGGTCTTATAAAAGACCATCTTCAGCCTAATTGAAAGTTTTGAAGTTGAAAAAATGTGATGCTACTAGTTGTGAAATAAAAAACCGGATTCATTTATAAACTCGATTTTTCGACTATGGGCATTTCACTACTAGTAGCATCACATTTTTTCAACTCAAACACTTCCCAGCGAGCACAAACATCCCTGGGATGTTTTGGGATGTTTTGAAAATGTTGGCATGAAGATGTTATTTTGAGACGTAATATGCACTGACCAAAGAGGTCTTTGATGGATATTAATAATAATATTGAAGTATTGTTTTTGTTCTTCTGTGGCATTTCATTGTTTGCCTACTGAGAGGTATCCCTGGGATGTTTGGGGATGTTTCAGAAATGTAGCGGCATGAGGATGTTTTTTTGAGGCGTAATATGCACTTCCCAAAGAGGTCTTAGAAGGATATTGAAAGTATTGTTTTTGTTCTTTTGTGCCCTTTCTTTGTTTGCCCCACCACAAAACGTCTCATGATTACGTCACAATACGATGAATTCTGATTTGTTTTCGATTTTGTTCTTCTTGTTCGCAATTGGCATTCGCGTTTGCAGCGTGTCACGCTTGCATCACGCTGCTAACGAACAGAAAGGAATTTGGTGAAGTTTATTGTGTTAGAAGACTTATTTAGTTTGTAATAATGACCATCAGATGCAAGATGTGTTGTTCGGTGCCTCAGTGTAATCAATATATAAAAGTACGAATTTATCAATACACAGCTTCTCCGCAGTTGCAAAATTATGCATGCATTGTGGAGAACATTTCAAAAATTGGGAAACCTATTTCCAATTATATGTCTGTATGTAGTTAGCACTACTCAGAAACCGATTAACAAGGTAATTTCATATCAAGAAAATATTTTTATGTTCAATCTATTTTTAATGCATTTTTTCATTCAAGGGAAATGGAATCCTAATGCAAAAGTTCATTTTGACAAAAGGCTTCAGAAAAGTACCTCGAAAATGGTTTTTTACAGCGATTCAATGTGCGCAAGACGCGTTGAAAATGTTCTGTTGTGTCCATGAAAAGGCTTTAAAAAGAACTAGGGAGAAGGTAGTTTTGTGACATATCAAGGACATCTCGATAATTGCCGCCTGCGGCGGACATTGGCTGTTCTATAATAGTTCTATTCATGTGTGAACAGAACATCGCAGTGGAGGTTCAATGTCTCGAAATCTCGTACTTTTAACATCTCTGAGATGTTTTTGTGCTCGCTGGGTTTCAATTAGGCTGAATAAGATGGTCTAACAGCACCATTAAAATTTGTGAAGATGACTTCGAGCAATCATTTCTTCCTTCCTTGAGTAATACAGAGACTTCCGAGGAGACTTCTATCAAATATTGATTCATTTGAACCACCACTTGAATTATTTCGCATTAATTATCTTATTGGTTTTTCGAGAATTTTAATGAGAAATTGTTTACATGAAACTCGATAACCTTCTACTTGTTTGTTTCTTAAAGTCGATTAACAATCAAATATAAATTCAAGTTCATCGGTATTGTTACCTAGTCAATCTGCCGGTGTCGAACAAACCCATCAATACTTCTTGAATGATGGCGCGCCTTTTTTTGATTCCCATTTTGTTGCTGAGCCTCTTCAACCCAGCATTTTTCGAAGAAATTGTAGCAGCCAAGGACCAGAAATATACTTTGAATAATGGAGCTTCTATTCCAATGGTTGGATGTAAGAAAGATTTTTTATTTTCTATTACCACAGCTATTACTCTACCGGGTGTCAACGAATCTATTAGACAAGTCATAACTTCTAGACCATAAGGTGTATCAGAATGAGATTTGGTATAGGTAAATGGTATGTGAAGAGGAGAGTTTTCACATATTTTTCACTTCCCGATCACTTCCGGTTTCACCGGAAATGGCTCCGGTTCTAAATTTTTAAATGGAACACCCTGTATATTGTAACATTTTTGGAATTCTGAGACAATTCTAGATCATAATATGACATTTTAAAAAGTTTTTATGCCTACTTATTTTTTTCGGAGTCACTTATTTTGAGATTACATCTAGGTGGCCATGATCGGAAGTAAACTAATCTAAGGACCTCAGGTGATATCAGAAAATTACAATCGCGAAGTTTTAGTGACAAGTATGATAGATATGAATAAGACAAGTTGGCAAAATTACATTTTCGTGTCTAACTATTATTTTTCAAATGATGACCATTTTTTGACAAGCACTTTCCGAAAAAAGGATATTTTGACGAATCTAACGATACTAATTTATTTGCAATTGGATTACAAATAAGAACATAAATCGAATATTACTGACGAGAATACTTCATAATAATCTATTTACTTTTGTCAAGTGTGCCGATGAAAGGCATGATGCATAATATTTTGCAGTTATATCGATCAGGTCTTCTTGGGAGAACAAAACACTCACTTACGTAAAATTTTCTTGATTTTCGTTAAATTTAAGTTTAATTTTCCGTCAAAATAATGTATACTCAAAGTGAAAAAGTGGATATGTTGTTATTGTTTAGAGAATGTCACAGAAATTCAAGGACTGCTGCTGAGTTGTATGCTCAGAGATATCCCAATCGACAACATCCATCCCATCAGTATTTTCCGTATGTTGAGAATCGTTTTAGGCAAGAGGGAAATCGAGAGGCAGAACAGAGGTTTATCACAAATCAGGAGACTGAAATTAACGTTCTTGCTATGGTTGAGGTTAACAAAACGGTTCCTTTAAGAGAAATTCACGAATCAGCAAGAACAATATTGAAAAAGCACGGATATCGAGCATTTTGAATATCAGTTACATCAACATTTGTATGCTGACGATGGCGATAGACGAGTAGTGTTTTGTGATTTTCTATTTTCCGACGAATCACGATTTACAAATAATGGCTTGTTTAATAAGCAAAATTCTCGGTACTGAGCCCAACAAAATCAACAACAAATTTCTTGATCCAATCGCAAATAAATTAGTATCGTTAGATTCGTCAAAATATCCTTTTTTCGGGAAGTGCTTACAAAATTAAATGAATTATTATCCATGGCACAGAAATAAATAAATTATTTTGAAGTATTCTCGTCAGTTATATTCAATTTATGTTCTTATTTGTAATCCAATCGCAAATGAATTAGTATCGTTAGATTCGTCAAAATATCGTTTTTTCGGAAAGTGCTTGTCAAAAAATGGTCGCCATTTGAAAAATAATAGTTAGACACGAAAATGTAATTTTGCCAACTTGTCTTATTCATATCTATCATACTTGTCACTAAAACTTCACGATTGTAATTTTCTGATATCACCTGAGGTCCTTAGATTAGTTTACTTCCGATCATGGCCACCTAGATGTAATTTCAAATGTGACTCCGAAAAAAATGAGTAGGCACGAAAACTTCCGGAAATGTTACAATCTGATCTAGAATCGTCTCAGAAATCCAAAAATGTTACAATATACAGGGTGTTCCATTTAAAAATTCAGAATTGGAGCCTTTTCCGGTGAAACCGGAAGTGACCGGAAAGTGAAAGGTATGTGAAAACTCTCCTCTTTACATACCATTCATCTACACCAAATCTCATTTTGATACACCTAATGGACTAGAAGTCAATGAAAACATTTCCATTCAATCTGAAATTGAATCAATGTTTGTTCAGCAGGATTGGTTATTGAAGGATACAATATTCACTAATTTGTTTGAACCTACTAATAACTAAAATGCCTGATTGAAATATAGATCGTTCAGGACTAGGTTGATCATGAAATCGAGATTTATGTATACAGAGAAGTGCACAAAAAACGGCCAGGATTGAAACTTTTGAATTATTCTAGATAGGGTTTTGAAAATTGGTGGGTAGCAAGTATACCAAATTGTTCATTAATTGATTACACAATTTTTCTTCTATCACTTCCACTTTCACCGGAAACGACCCAAACTTTCGATTTTTCAATGGGACACCCTGTATTGAATCCCATAATCGGTTAGGGATTATCATGACGAATACAACGATACCAGGTTTGATAGGGTTATTTCAAACAATTACAAAGATATTTGCGTTCGAAGTTTCCATATGCTCATGGGTGTGGCTTCGCAATATCAGAACTTCTATCTCTGTCCCACTCATTGAGCATATGGAATCTTAGAACACGAATATCTGCGTAATCGTTTAAAATAACCCTATCAAACCCGGTATCGATGAATTCGTTATGACCGATTATAGAATACAAAACAGGGTGTCCCATTTAAAAATCAAAAGTTTCGGTCGTTTCCGGTGAAAGTGGAAGTTATAGAAGAAAAATTATGTAATCAATTAATGAACAATTTGGTATACTAGCTACCCACCAATTTTCAAAATCCTATCTAGAATAATTCAAAAGTTACACTCCTGGCCGTTTTTTGTACACTTCTCTGTATACCTGAGTTCGTTCTATTGGAACCGTTTTATTTTTTTCAGTTGGTACTTGGCAGATACAGGGTGCTGATTTAATCAAACAAGTACTGGATGATGCTTTAGCTGCAGGATACAGACTGATAGGTAAAATAAGATGGTAACGTAGGAAAGCGAAGTTTTATTATTTTTTTCTGATTTGTTTAGATTCGGCCACCTTATATGGAAACGAGGCAGACATTGGTAAAGCTCTGAAAGAATTGTTGCCCAAACACAATCTATCCAGGAAAGACATCTTTATCACTTCAAAACTGTGTAAGTGTACCTATACATACAGAGTGGCCAATTTGAAAGCGGCGACCACGGATAACAAGTTGAAACAAACAGCAAATGAAATACTTATGGTATATTGTCCCCTTTCCGAAAATCTAAACGTGTCGCGATTCCAACTGATCTAAGTTAGAGGCAGAGCGTCAATACTTCCAAGAATATTTCGCCCCCCTCTAAAGATAATATCCGATGGACCAGTTTTCACACTGCGGTCCATCGAATATTATCTTTAGACGAAGGCGAAATATTCACGGATAGGCATCACAGGTGCCGTTCGATAAATTATAATGTTTTCACTCTTCTTTGGGACATACAGAGAAATGCACAAAAAACGGCCAGGACTGATGTAACTCTCGAATTATTAGAGATAGGGTTCTGCAAATTGGTGGGCAGCTAGTATACCAAATTTCTCATTAATTGACGAAACAATTTTTGTTCCATCACTTTCGGTTTGACTGATGGAAATGACCCTAACTTTTGATTTTCAAATGGGACACCCTGTATTGTATTCCATAATCGGTTAGGGATTGTCATAACGAATTCATCGATACCGAGTTTGATAAGGGTTATACGCATTCTAAGTTTCCATATCCAAAGTAAATATCTTTGTAATCGTTTGAAATAACCCTATCAAACCCGGTATCGTTGAATTCGTCATGATAACCCCTAACCGATTATGGAATACAATACAGGGTGTCCCTTTCAAGAATCAAAAGTTAGGGTCGTTTCCGGTGGAACTGGATAAGATAGAAGAAAAATGGTTCCATCAATTAATGAGCAATTTGGTATACTTGCTACCAACCAAATCTCAAAACCCTATCTAGAATAGTTCAGAAGTTACAATACTGGCCGTTTTTTGTGCACTTCGTTATCAGATGACGATAAAAATCAGCAGCCGGCTTTCCTACTAATATTTATGTGCAAAGATTTCGTATAGATCTCTTTTAGGGACACCCTGGGTGTGAAGACAAAACATCAAAAACAAAATATTCAAAAAATCTGTATTGAACATCTTTTGAGAAAAGTTATTCTTATAAGCATTCCAGTTCTCTGAATTAACTCATTCATAATGAGTAATAATGTTTTGAAATTTTTGAATTCACGAATTATTCGGAAACCTATAAAGATATACTATTTTTATTATTTAGCACCAGCCGATCATGGAGAGAAAGCCTACCAAGCCTTGGAAAGCTCTCTGAAAAACCTGGATTCCGGCTACATAGACCTGTACCTGATCCATTGGCCTGCTTCTTTCGCCTTGAACGCATCTGATCCTAAAAACGCGGAATTGAGAGACGAAAGTTGGAAGCAGCTGGTCAAGGGTGTCAAAAACGGTCTGACAAAGAGTATCGGAGTGTCCAACTACAATGTGAGGCATCTGAAGGAACTGTTGAAGAACGACCATGGCATCAAACCGGTTGTCAACCAGGTATGCACACGAAAAACACGTTTTTTCGTGGCTCCCTCTGTACTTGTAGGTATAACATTGCATGATGATGTGGAAATTTTGCAGGTTGAATGGCATCCCAACTACCATCAAAATGAACTTTTGGAATTGTGCAAGAAGGAGAACATCTTACTTCAGGCCTACTCTTCTCTGGGAGGAACTGGAAACAAAAACTTGTTAGAAAATGCTGAAATCAAAAAGATTGCTGACAAACTGGGAAAGTCTCCAGCACAGGTAATAACAATAATAAACGTCACTCGATGGATAGCCAAAGAAATCTTTATGGTTTTACATAATCTATTATTTATTCGGAAATTCCCATTTGTATGGCACTATACATTCTTTATTAACGAGTGGAATACATATATTTTTTTGTAGGTACTTCTCCGTTGGTCTCTTCAACAAAATATTGCAATAATTCCAAAGGCTCGTTCTGCAAAGTACATCAAACAAAATATTGATTTGGATTTCATTATTCCAAACGAGGACATGGAGATATTGAACAACTTCAACCAAGCGAAATATATCGTGAATCCAAATAAAAAATATATCTGGAATCCAGATACAGTTGCTTGATACTCATTAATCATTGGTTCCTTTCGTAGATGAGGACCTATCTATCTGCTTTTTGAACTTTTGATAATTTACGAGTCGTAGATACGAACTAATGTATGAATAAAAAGAATATTTGAATACATAATATGAGATCGATTTATTCCAACGTCCACTGTTTCTGATGAATACTTATCACGCTGATGGGTTATTCAGACAGTCTAAATATTTAGCCGTCATTAATCCAGGAGTGCCTACGTCATTCTGTTCTGGAACACACTCAGTGTGCACCGATATTATCAAAGGAAATTACTCACCAACAGCGTTGCCAGTCCAAGCCCAGCAACTCAAAATGTACTAAACAATCACCGAAAAAAGTACTAGTATTTCGAGAAAAGTACTAGTTTAGATTTTCATTCCGTCTTCCTACTGTTGAGTAAGGAAAGGGATGGTATGGGGGAATAGACAAGGAAAAAATAATGAAAACTCATTTACTGAATATTGTGGATATCTCATTTCTCATTAGTCAAAACACCTCAGAAGAGTCAATCGTCATTCTGTGATTAATTTCAATCATTAAAATCATAAATCATTATTACTTTGGATAACGTGAAAACTGAAAGTGACAGATACTTGTGAGCAGACTTCGACAGATATTTCGACCCATTATCCTGCTGAAAATGCTGACTATCGAAAGGTAGTGTGGCTTCAGTGAACTGTCATTTATTCTAGAGGGGAAAGGAATTTCGCATTTATCTCGGTTGTTTTCTAAACAGTAAGTCTTGTCGTATCAATAATAAATTAATAATATACAAATTTCACCAGCCGATCAACTGCTGCTGAATACTGATGAAAACCATGAAAACGCGTTCCGAATTACAGCACTGTTATTTTTGATTTGTTTCATATTCCGGAACACAGACCTTCAGCAGAGTCAATGGATTGACTGAGAGAGTACTGAAAGTTGTTTGGATAGTAGACAAAAATGACAGTTTACCGATATTGTGCATTGAGCTTCTCTTTGGCTCATTTCGGTAATGTCAATATTTCGATATTTCAAGTCGAAACGTGGAGAACGTACGAATTTTGCGATAGGCCAATGACGGCTAAATATCTAGACTGTCTGACGAGTTATACATCACCGTACTCGCGTACTAGAAAGAGTGAGGAGGGAGGTATTAGATCTAGTACGAAAGTACTAGGTCTGGCAACGCTGCTCGCGAAAAACGGTTACTTTTGACAAGTGTTATCTGTCACTGATCATAAAAAACCCGCCATTTGAAGAGGGAAGGTGAGTCGAAGTGTTGTTTTTCATTATTTTACTGTGCGTTTTCTGGAGTTTGTTGTGGTTTTGGTATCTTCCTGCTGATCTTTGGTTTTTGGTATAAATTTGAAACTTCGTGCACAGTTTGAGGCCTACAGAATCCTCATTCCTCGTTTAGTCCTGTTTCAAGAATCATCCCAACAAGTTCGCAATGTCTGGACGCGGCAAAGGAGGCAAAAGTAAAGCAAAGTCCAAGTCCCGTTCCAATCGCGCCGGCTTGCAGTTTCCAGTCGGCAGAATCCACCGTTTGCTGAGGAAAGGCCACTATGCCGAAAGAGTGGGTGCCGGGGCCCCAGTCTACCTGGCCGCCGTGATGGAATATTTGGCCGCAGAAGTCTTGGAGTTGGCCGGCAACGCGGCCAGAGACAACAAGAAGACCAGGATCATGCCCCGGCATTTGCAGTTGGCCATCAGGAACGATGAGGAGCTGAACAAACTGTTGGCTGGGGTGACCATTGCACAGGGAGGTGTGCTGCCTAATATCCAGGCCGTTTTACTGCCCAAGAAGACAGGAAGCGGGTCCGGTTCGGGAGGGAAATCTGCCAAGTCACAGTCCCAAGACTATTGAGGAGGTCTTTAAGTTTGTTCAATTGTGTTCTCTTTGTATTTATAGTTTTGTTTGTAACATTTATACATCTAATTTTTCATTAAATCATTCAAATGGATTCCTTTATACTTTTATTCCTTAGAAATGACCAACATTTTCATTGTGTATAGAATGATGCTAGGTTTATAGATTCAATTAAACTATCTATTAGGAATTAACAATCAACAATTGATAATCATGAGGGTGTTCATACATATCTGATAATAATAAGGAATTAGATTTGAAATGTCTGTTGATTGTAGATCAAAATGATGGTATAAATTGATTTTGGTCTCCACAATTCATGAATCCATAAAAAATATTCCAATTAAATTTGACTAAACTCCACTTGAGTAAGTTCATAGTTATTAGTTTAAGGTGGGTTTATACAGCAAATAAAATAAGGAATAAGATGAGATAATTTAATAAGGAAAGTTTTGCTCATGAAGCTAGTTTACTATACTTCCTAATGGATAATTTTGTCTCACAAGTCAGAGATTTGTGAAAATTATTCTAAATAATCCTGCCATAATATATATCAATCAACAGCGTTAGCTACACAAGACATTTAGTCTTTATTGCTGCTTATTTACGGTTTCCAATTTTTGATTACATGCAAATGATTGCTGCAATTAATTTCTCCGGCAATTATTATAATGATAATCAAGTTATTCTACACTGAATCGGAATTACTATCTAGCTTGCAATGTAATTTTTGTCAAAAAATCTGTGTTATAATTCTTATCAGGACTTGTGTTTGGTAGAAAACAATGAGAACAGTAATAATATTCAATATGTATCAAATCATGCATACATGTTGTAGGAAATACCGAAAATTCAACATTTAATCCCTATATTTCCAATAAAAATAGGTACGGACGTAATCGCATTTCCTGCAATGCAATGAAAAATTTCGACAGTTGTTCAAAATGGCACAAGTGCGTAGGCACGCAATGAAAATTGCTGCTGGTTTTTTTCGGGAAATTGCGAACTGTAAAGCAGCTCCTACAAGTAATGAAAAGCGCAATCTTTTCCGAGAAGTCGCAAAGGCGCAAAACCAAGTTGAAAAGCGCAATTATTGCGCTTTTTGCGCCTCATTGGCAACACTGTAAGAAATTAACCAATCCAATCATGGCATTGATAAGTTGATGACAATGATGTTTCAGCGTTTCAGGTTCCATGAAGTATGAATAAAATAAAATGATAAAAGTTGGTCATCATTTATTTTATTCTTATTCTAAACTTATTTCCTGTATGAACGGTTCAATGAAAATGCCCATGTTGAACTTTCTTATTTTATCCTATTTTCATTCCTTATTTTGTTTTATTTGCTGTATAAACTCACCTTTAAGGTGTTTTATGGCGGATTTATGCAACATTTGCATAATGGCATAGTCCTAGCACAGAACTCAGTAGAGAGTTGTAGTGTTGCCACGAACGTTAACGTAGAAATTGACAGCTACACATGCGCATTTTTCAATTCTTCACATTCGCGTTGGTAGTCGGCTTACGGGTGTACATTATCTCACGATTCTCACGTACTTTCACGTATACCTTAAATATCAACGTACGTTAACCGAACCAAACTCGAAATATGCCGATGAGTCAAAATCATGAAATTCGGGATCCTTAAGGAGTTCTGCATCAGGGCAACCTTCCATTTTAACACGAATAAATGTTCTGATCTGAACAAACAACCAAAACTGACCAATACAAACCGATAACATAATTTGTTATAACGTTACGATGACAGTGACTACTTCAACTCAATTTGAAGACAATATACGTACACGTTATTTTTCGTACTTTAACGTTTACGTGGAGGTCTACGTACAGTGATTACTTCAACTCTCTAATAAGTAATAGAGGGTTGAAGTGTTGTCCTGAACGTTAACGTAAACGTAGAAATTGACAGGTACGCATGCGCATTTTCCAATTCTTCACGTTTGCGTTGTTAGTGGGCCTACGGGTGTACGTTATCTCACGTTCCTCCACATATGCCGATGAGTCAAAATTATCAAATTCGAGATCACCAACGAGTTCTGCATCAAGGAGTCCTCTAATTTTGACAGAAATAAATGTTCGAATCTAAACACACAACCAAAAATGACCAATAAAAACTGGAAACAAAATGTATTATTACGTTATGATGACAGTGACGACCAAAGTGGCGACTTCAACTCAATTTAACGACAATACGTAAACGTTATTTTTCGTACGTTAACGTCTACGTGGAGGTCTACGTACAGTGATTACTTCAACTCTCTATTATGAGTTCTGTGAGTCCTAGTCTCAGTTCTAAGTATAGTCTTAGGGCCTATTTATGCATCATTGTCTTAGTCTTAGTCACAGTCTTTGTTTTAATCATAAAATCAAGTTATGAGCATACATTTCAATAGGTGAATTCATGCAACATTTTTAGTCTTAGTCTTAATCATAATCATTAAATCATGACCCTGAAAGTTACAAACTTTCAATTTTTATGCTTATGATTGAGACCAGATAAGAATTCAATTTTGTGTTTGTCTCAAAACTATGAAGATTCTGTAGATATTTAGATATTTGAGTGAATTGTTTATGCTCTGAAGAAAGATGAAAACACAAATGAGAAGAACAATTTTTATTGCTTTAGTACCAGGAAATATGTACACTGAATATAAATAAAATAGAAAACATTACAAAATATAACTTCAATAAGTGACTAATTTTAATTAAAAACTAAAAATCTTACTAGTTTTATACAAAAAATAACATCAAGACACACATCTAAATAAATACTTGTACAAAAATAATAACCTTAATAACTATTTTACAAGTAAAATAAATTTTCCCTAGTTAAAGAATAATGTTCAGGTTTTTTGGAATCCAAAATTAAATCAAATTTGGATAGGAATATTCAGTATTAAATTTTTTGATCTAGATCATACAGGTTGTGCTCTAAATTTCAAAGAATTAAACATCAAATTTTGTTCAAAATAGAATGCCAGTAGTTAGCATTAGTGGTATTTGATGAACACCCTGTATGCTCGTAAATCTTCATTCATTGAAATAATTATTCAACTCAATTCTCAAAATGAATTCAATTTCTAGCACAGTTTTAGTTTTTTTGAAAGAACTGGTGGAGTGGAAAAAAGATATACTGAGGGTTCTTACCACTCCATCAGTCTTGATGTATGATAAATACTCTATTGAAAGTTTTGATAGGAAATCTCATTGAATAGATTTATTGATTATATAAAAAATACGCCCTGTCCACAACCTTTCTATGAATATTTTTACAAAATAACCTCTCCAACTGTACTTTTATAATAGGAAGTATTTTCTTTTAGATTTATAAAATAGTATAAATGAAAAACTGACCAAACTTCTTTTCATAACATGTATGAAAATGACACAGTCTCTTGAAACCAAAGAGATATTACTTGATAATATTAAAGTTTTTCTAGGTTAGTTCATTTGCTTGAAATATACAGGGTGATTCACGGTGGATGGCACTTGAGACGTTTCTGGAGAAGGTAACTTGGGATTATTCTGAAAATTTGGTGCCTTGAATAATTAGTTGTGCCCTATCGACCTAAAACATTCACAGCGCTGCGACGTTGCCGCTTATATTGAAAAGTAGCAACAACTTTGATTTTTTAAATGGGACACCCTGTATATTATTCCGTTTTCAGATTATCCCTGAAGAGCTGATTTCATCGATGTATCACACTTGGGGTCTAGCGGGAATGATACCAAAGATATAGGGTGTGAAAAAACGAAATTTATCAACTTTAAGAATTTTTTGTGTCGAAACAATTCATAATTGGTCAAAACGGGTTTCATGTCCCTATCTTAACTTTTCATGTACTATCAATTGATATTTAATTGAAATAGATACAGGGTGGTCAAAAATCTCAATTCTGAACCACCCTGTATTTATTTGTTATCATTCTCGCTAGACCCCAAGTGTGATAGATCGATGAAATCAGCTCTTCAGGGAGAATCTGAAAATGGAATAATATACAGGGTGTCCTATTCAAAAAAATCAAAGTTGTTGCTACTTTTCGATATAAGCGGCAACGTCGCAGCGCTGATAATAATTTAGGACAAAAGAGCACAACTAATTATCTAAAGCACCAAAGTTACGTTCTCCAGAATCGTTTAATGTGCCATGCACCGTGAATCACCCTGTATAAAAGAAAACACATCAGATGTCAGAAAATACTTTCAAGTCCAGTTGAATGGGTCCAACAGGTAATGAGTTAAATGCATTTGCTTTGATCCAGCGATTAAATATTGTTTAAGTATGTTCAAGGTATCCAAAATAAACCAAGTGAAATTCCGAATCAAGTTCATGATAAGCCCAGACAGCACTGGATATTCCTAGAATATTCTCTAAATATGCTAAAAGGGAAGAATATATTCCGAATATCCTTCGAATATTCTTAGAATATATACGTGCCTCTGGAACATTCAAGGAATATTCAAATGTGAATATTCTAGTAATATTCCAAAATGAATATACAGGGAATATTCCAGAAGGAATATTCTGAAGTGAATATTCCTAGAATATTCCAGTTGGATAGTGCAGGGAATATTCAGGTATAAATATTCCAGGAATATTCCCAATTGAATATTCTGTTCCTGTATATTCATGGAATATTTCAATTATATTCCCATGTGTTTCAATGAAATTTAAAAGTATGAAAATTAACCAATCACAATTTTATAGATGTGAGTATTAAACATTGATTTTGAAATCTGTGGTAGAAGTCCATCGTATTTCAAAGTTAAGTGGTTATGTTACCAGGGATCAAAAACAAAAAGTCGTCTCCACAATTTTGATAGTGATCAAAATTTTCCCCACCAGCACATTCAGGGAATATTTCATAGTTGATATGTATATCCCTGGCATGTTCATGAATATTCGCAATATCCAAAAAGAATATTCTATGAATATTCATGGAATATCTGGTGCTGTCTGGGAGGTTATTAAAATATTGAAAAAATTAAACTTGAGATGGACAGGCACATATTCTGGAAAATTAAACATTTATCAGTGTACCACATGAAATATTTCCATCTAGAATATAAACTTTGGAACCTTTATTATGTGTAATAATGAAATAATAAATGCATTTTCGACCGCGGGATCAATTTGCAAAATGTTACATCACAATAAAATGATGTATGAGTATTGTTAAAAATTTCCAATGAAGATCATTTCATTTTTGATTAAAAGTGAAATGATGTCCTCATTCTGCATTAATTTATAATCATAAGATAGATTTTATTATTAGGCCATCCAGACTTGATCAAGAAAAAATAATTGATGTCTGAATCGACCCTGTACATAGTAATTTCCTCAACTTGTAGGGTCAGTTACATAGAATCGTACTTCAATATCACCAAAGAAAATAACGATTCTTTCTCCAAATGACATTAAAAGTGATTTTTCAATGACACTCAACTGGTAAAAAAGGTGTGCTTTTACTGCCTAGGCAGAAAAAGTTTGTTGCTATGCAACGTTCCAAGTAATTTGAATCAAATTGGTAATCAAAATTGACAATGACTTTGGGTGAACAAAAAATGATGGATTATTTGGACTTTGCGTGAAATTGAAAAGAATTTGGAGAAAAAAATTATATGTTTCACATGGCAGAAAAGAAGATGTAATGCCTTGGTTGGTTTCCTCGCCTCGGCTACGCCTACAATATTCGTTTTACTAGGCAGAAAAGTACAAGATTTTCTCTTCTGCCATGTAAAACATATAATTTTTTCCCAAATTCTTTTCGATTTCACGCAAAGTCCAAATAATCCATCATTTTTTCTTCACCCAAAGTCATTGTCAATTTTGATTACCTATTTGATTCAAATTACTTGGAACGTTGCATAGTAACAAACTTTTTTTGCCTAAGCTGTAAAAGCACACCTTTTTTGCCTGTTAAGTGTCATTAAAAATCCACTTTTAATGTCATTTGGAGAAAAATAATTATTATGTAAGAGACCTATGAAGTTGTAGAATCAAGTGTAGGTTTTGGATACCTAATGATGAAATATTTGTTGCTATAAATAGACGCATAAAGGGACCATTTTCCCCCTTTTCGTCAACGAAATGTAATTCTTACCTATTATGAATACAAAGTGGCCCATTGAAAACGAAACAGAGGCTCTGTTGGTCGCCAGAACCGGATTATGAAAAAACACTGGAACACGTCAACTAAATTTCCGAGGAGGTTATCGTTCCAAAATATTTTCAGCGCTGCGGCGTTGCCGCTTCTAGCGAAAAGTAGCAACAACTTTGGTATTTCAAATGGAACACCCTGTATTTCATTGCATTTTTAGATTCTCCCTGAAGAGCTGATTTCATCAATGCATCACACTTGGGGTCTAGCGGGAATGATTACAGAGATATTGGGTGTTCAAAATCGAGATTTTTCAACTTTGGGATTTTTTTGGGTCATAACTATTCATTTTTGGTCAAAACCGCTTTTATGCCTCTATCCCAACTCTTGATTTACTTTCTACGTACATTTAATAATTGAAACAGATACAAGGGTGATCAGAGTTCTGAATCTTGAACCACCCTGTATTTGTTCCAATTAAATGTCAGTAGATTTAGTGAATCAAAAGTTGGGATATGGACATGAAAATCGTTTAGACCAATAAGGAAGTTTCGACAAAAAAAATCCTACAGTGTTATGCATTGATGAAATTTAGGGAGAATCTATAAATGCAATGAAATACAGATTTTTTTTTTTGAAAATTTGTACAGGGTGATTCACCATAAATGTCCCCCCCTCTAGCTCACTTATTTTTGAACCGATTTAAAAATTCGAAAAATTATTCCAAATGATTTTTTAGAATTGTTTTTCCCGTTGCATCAGAAAATACAGGGTGCTCGGAACAAATGATCTACAGAGTACTACTTGATTTTTTCAAATAGAACACCCTGTATTTCATTGTATTTTCAGATTCTTGCTGAAGAGCTGATTTTATCAGTGCATCACACTTGGGGTCTAGCGGGAATGATTACAGAGATATAGGGTGTTCAAAATCGAGATTCTTTTATAGTTTAGGATTTTTTTGTCTCGAAACTATTCATTATTGGTCGAAACGGCTCCTATGTTTCCATCTTAACTTTTGATTTACTGTCTACTAACATTTGATTGGAACATTTACAGGGTGGTTCAAGATTCAGAATTTTGATACCCCGTAATAATTCCAATTATTAAATGTCAGAAGATAGTAAATCAAAAGTTAAGATATGGACATGAAAGCCGTTTTGACCGATGATGAATAGTTTCGTCTCGAAAAAATCCTAAAGCTGAAAAATCTCGATTTTAAACACCCTATATCTATGTTATCATTCCCGCTAGACCCCAAGTGTGATACATCGATGAGATCAGCTCTTCAGCAAGAATCTAAAAATACAATGAAAAATAGGGTGTTCCATATAAAATAATCAAATAGTACCCTCTAGATCGTTTGTTCCGAGCACCCTGTATTTTCTGATGCAGCGGAAAAAAACTTCATCGAAAATCATTCAAGATGATATTTCAAATTTAGAAATCGGTTTGAAAATAACTGAACTAGAGGGGGGGGCATTTATGGTGAATCACCCTGTACATCGCTATTTTAAAGTTGGGAACCAACTCCCCAGAAGTTGAAACTTGTGTGGGGTTAGGAAGAGCGGGACCTACAGCTTATAGTGGAAAATGAACCACTTCCTAAGCGCTGAAAATATTTTAGAATGATGTCCATCTCGAAAATTTAGTTGACGTGTGTGTTCCAGTATTTTTTTATGATCCGGTTCTGGCGACCTACAGAGCTTCTGTTTGGGCCACTCTGTATAAAGAAATTGGGTAGTAATAGTGACACTGGATTCTCACCTACACCTCAGAAAAATCAATAAATAATCAGTCATTTCAGGCAAACTTAATCCAGAAAATTTAACAGAAGAAAAGATTCGAAAAAAATTCTCGTCTCTTTGGAGATCATTATGTATTTCATCTTTTACATAGATTTTCGAAATTTGTTAATATTATAATTACAGGCCCTTGAATCAGGCAACACTCAACAACATTCACACACACACAATAACAATGGAAATTTACAAAAAAGTAGTGAGAGTGCTGTCAATTCAGATTTTCCAGTTTCAAATTTACAAATTTTTTCCAGTTTCACTGATTTGAATGGAACTTTAGATTCCATTTATCAGTTTTAGATCTGTTCAACGAGCAAACAGTGCGGTATCAAAATTTTGTACAGGGTGCGCCTCTTACAATAGAACCACCCCTGTTCAAATGCCATTCTAACATTTTGGAACACATCCCTTGGAATATATCGGCATTTTGCATTTTATTTGACTTTATGTTTACCGTTTACCCTGTAGTGGGTGGAAAAAAAGTCTTGTACAGGTGAATACTACTGACTGAGACTGTTTATTTGAAGCATCACAAAGAGGTAGTGCCATTTGACATTTCAAAGTTGGGGTGTGTCGCGCCGACGGGGTGACTCATCCCTTGACCGAAATATGGTGGTTCTTGTTCCCCTTAACTCTTTAGCATTTTTGCCAAACGGCGTTTTTCTAACTTTCTTCTTTCGCGAGATATTCGCATTGGAAGTTTTCAAATTTTTACCCTGTATATTCAACTTTGGTACCCTGTATCTCAAAAGTCAGGAATTTTACGACAAACGTTCATGAGAAGTTTTATTCTTGAAATGGGTCCAAGAATCGCCGCCTTGAATATTAGCATGTCATTGACCCTGTATATCAGTCGAGTAACTGGAAACTGAAAAATCTGAACGGAACTAGACCAGCCCACCCACTTTCAAACAAACAAACAAAAAACTGACGACGGCGACAGACACGCGTCCATAAAATATCAATAAAAAGACAACAAGTGAACATCCATACTTGCAACTGAGAACATTTTCCTGAACGATTTTCGGAATTTCAAGGAACGAAAATAATATTAGATTAGTTGAATTAGCTTCCCTTCCACTAGATAAAAAAATAAACACTCTGTATATTGCAAAACGTATACTTATTACTTACAGAATGCTACTTTGCTCAGTGCATTCTCATGGTTCAGATTTTAGGCTGAAGAATTAGGAGCTGAAAGTGACACTTTCATGAATTATATCGAGCAATTCGAATTGTTTGTATGTCAGAGTTTGCCTGGTACACTTTTAAAACGCAATATTTGAGGCTATCAAGCCTTCTTGAATACCTGCACGATGATACACTTTTGGGGTCATACAAACTATGAAACCCTGTATATCGGAAACGAAGCTCCCATGCATTGTATTGCTCCATCCTTATTCAATTCTGGAGATAAACACTAGATTTCTGGCATTTGTTTTTTTTAGTTAGTTTTCAATTTTTCAACTCCAGCATAATCTTTGTGAGGCAGTGAGGGAAAAAAAATTTATGAAAAAGTGATATTTTGTAATTCGTTCGTTATTCCCGTCACAGAAAAAACACATATTTCAAGATGGAAACCTCATTAAACATGTTAGCGTAGGAGCTTCGTTTCCGATATACAGGGTTTCAAAGTTTGAGATTTTGTTATCATTATTCATTTTCCCAGTTTTCTCCTACATTTTCCAAAATAATGTATTGGAATTTGGTACATGCCTGGTACAATTTGAAAACGCAATATTTGAGGCTATCAAGCCTTCTTGAATACCTGCAGGATGATACACTTTTGAGGTAATACAAACTATAAAACCCTGTATATCGGAAACGAAGCTCCCATGCATTGTATTGCTCCATCCTTATTCAATTCTGGAGATAAACACTAGATTTCTGGCATTTGTTTTTTTTAGTTAGTTTTCAATTTTTCAACTCCAGCATAATCTTTGTGAGGCAGTGAGGGAAAAAAAATTGACGAAAAAGTGATATTTTGTAACCTTCCACAGAAAAGACACACATTTTAAGATGGGAACCTCATTAAATATGTTTGCGTAGGGACTTCGTTTCCGATATACAGGGTTTCAAAGTTTGAGATTTTGTTATCATTATTCATTTTCCCAGTTTTCTCCTACATTTTCCAAAATAATGAATTGGAATTTGGTACATGCCTGGTACACTTTGAATACGCAATATTTGAGGCTATCAAGCCTTCTTGAATACCTGCAGGATGATACACTTTTGGGGTCATACAAACTATGAAACCCTGTATATCGGAAACGAAGCTCCCACGCATTGTATTGCTCCATACTTATTCAATTCTGGAGATAAACACTAGATTTCTGGCATTTGTTTTTTTTTGTTAGTTTTCAATTTTTCAACTCCAGCATAATCTTTGTGAGGCAGTGAGGGGAAGAAAGAAATTGATGAAAAAGTGATATTTTGTAACCATTCAACAAAGATAAAATGTGCGTTATTGCCGTCACAGAAAAAACACATATTTTGAGATGGAAACCTCAGTAAACATGTCTGCGTGGGGACTTCGTTTCCGATATACAGGGTTTCAAAGTTTGAGATTTTGTTATCATTATTTATTTTTCCAGTTTTCTCATACATTTCCCAAAATAATGAATTGGAATTTGGTAAATGCCTGGTACACTTTGAAAACGCAATATTTGAGGCTATCAAGCTTTCTTGAATACCTACAGGATGATACACTTTTGGGGTCGTGCAAACTATGAAACCCTGTATATCGGAAACGAAGTTCCCACGCATTGTATTGCTGCATCCTTATTCAATTCTGGAGATAAACACTAGATTTCTGGCATTTGTTTTTTTTTAGTTACTTTTCCATTTTTCAACTCCAGCATAATCTTTGTGAGGCAGTGAGGAAAAAAGAATTGATGAAAAAGTGATATTTTGTAACCTTTCAACAAAGATGAAATGTCTGTTATTCCCGTCACAGAAAAAACACATATTTTAAGATGGAAACCTCATTAAACATGTTTGCGTAGGGACTTCGTATTCGATATACAGGGTTTCAAAGTTTGAGATTTTGTTATCATTATTTATTTTTCCAGTTTTCTCCTACATTTTCCAAAATAATGAATTGGAATTTGGTACATGCCTGGTACACTTTGAAAACGCAATATTTGAGGCTATCAAGCCTTCTTGAATACCTGCAGGATGATACACTTTTGAGGTCATACAAACTATGAAACCCTGTATATCGGAAACGAAGCTCCCATGCATTGTATTGCTCCATCCTTATTCAATTCTGGAGATAAACACTAGATTTCTGGCATTTGTTTGTTTTTTTAGTTAGTTTTCGATTTTTCAACTCCAGCATAATCTTTGTGAGACAGTGAGGGGAAAAAAGAAATTGATGAAAAAGTGATATTTTGTAACCTTTCAACAAAGATAAAATGTCTGTTATTCCCGTCACAGAAAAAACAAATATTTTAAGATGGAAACCTCATTAAACATGTTTGCGTAGGGACTTCGTTTCCGATATACAGGGTTTCAAAGTTTGAGATTTTGTTATCATTATTAATTTTCCCAGTTTTCTCCTATATTTTCCATAATAATGAATTGGAATTCGGTACATGCCTGGTACACTTTGAAAACGCAATATTTGAGGCTATCAAGCTTTACCTGCAAGATTATATACTTTTGGGGTCGTGCAAACTATGAAACCCTGTATATCGGAAACGAAGCTCCCACGCATTGTATTGCTCCATCCTTATTCAATTCTGGAGATGAACACTTGATTTTCGGAATTTTTTTTTTCAGTTAGTTTTCGATATACAGGGTTCCAAAGTTTGAGATTTTGTTATCATTATTCATTTTTCCAATTTTCTCCTACATTTTCGAAAATAATGAATTGGAATTTGGTACATGCCTGGTACACTTTGAAAACGCAATATTTCAGGCTATCAAGCCTTCTTGAATACCTACAGGATGATACACTTTTGGGGTCGTGCAAACTATGAAACCCTGTATATCGGAAACGAAGCTCCCACGCATTGTATTGCTCCATCCTTATTCAATTCTGGAGATGAACACTTGATTTTTGGAATTTTTTTTTTTCAGTTAGTTTTCGATATACAGGGTTCCAAAGTTTGAGATTTTGTTATCATTATTTATTTTTCCAGTTTCCTCCTACATTTTTCAAATTAATGAATTGAAATTTGGTACATGCCTGGTACACTTTGAAAACGCAATATTTGAGGCTATCAAGCCTTCTTGAATACCTACAGGATGATACACGTTTGGTGTCGCGCAAACTATGAAACCCTGTATATCGGAAACGATGCTCCCACGCATATACAGGGTGTGGCATTGAAATGTTTAAGTGAGATAAAGGCTTCGCTGTTTGAAATAGATGAAAAAACATGTTGTGATGGTCTGGCCTGTGATGCCACACTCGGAAATGGTCGCATAATTAGAGAACAAATATTTCTTTTGTTTTGCCACTCTTTTGCATTTTTTCTCTGCAAAATAACCAAAATTGTTGATATTCACATTTTTAACAATGTTGCCGGCATTGTACGAGGGGACAAATTTGTATAGTTCCATTCAACACCAAAATACAACTTCTATAAAAGTTTGAAATGCTCTGTTGCCTTTTTTCTCCATTTTTGCTAAAGTGATTAGCCTAATTAGCAAACATTCTCTGTATCAGCCAAGAAATCCCGCAAAATCGCATCCTGTCGCCAATAAAAAATGTTCCTAGTTGCAGACGCGTTGTGTACGGACGAATAAAGACCGAAGAAAAACTCAATAAAAAGACAACAGCTACTCGCCGCCGGACTCTTGATCCGAAGACGCGGAAGAGGAGGAGGAAGAAGAGTCGCCCTCTTCCTCCTCGAAGGGCTGTTTCTCGTCCGGGTCGTAAAACACCTCGGCCCCGGGAAAGACGTACCGACTGGGAGGCACCAGGTGGAAGGAGTTCGTTGGTAGTCGGTCAGCCAGGCTCTTCTTCACCTATAGATAAGGGATGTTCACTTCAACATGGTGAATCTTTTTTATTGCATAAAAAATATTTTTTCTACAAGCGTGCGTGATTCACCCTATACCCGCACGCAATTTAGTTTGGGAAGTGTCATTTTCACATACACCTACTAAACATTAGAGTTCCTAAATGTATTTGACACTGCTGATTTTGACTTTTTTTGTATATCAGAGTAGGGCACTATGACAAGCACTGACAATCAGACATAACCACAAATAAATTGATGGAAAAAGCGGGAACTGACAGTACGCGACATACATTTCAAAGGTTTGACAAATTGAGAGAATTAGGAGGAAGATGCAAGTTTGTGCAGTTTTCAACTGTGAGAACACGGCGGAAATTATGGTCCGATTGTATTCAAAATTTCTATCTGGGTGTTTTCTGGGTCGAAAGTCATGATTCTTCCATCAAAATTGAGAAATTCAAGATGGCTGCTGCGAAATGGCGGATGCGTTTCGTGATTATGGTCCGATTATACTGAAAATTGGTATGTTTCTGCTTCATTTGTCGAATATTCTCAATTTTTTTCTTTTTAGTGCATTTTTACGAAAGTTTGTTTTCTGTACCTTGGGTTGCCAGTAGCCACGAAGGTCCGTGTGGCTTTCGCCGGTAGAGGGACACCGCTCCTCGACCGAGGTGGACGGCTCATTGCAAATCTCCAACGAGAAGCTGTCCCCGCTGCCGTTGTTCTCTTCCGCGTCGTCGTATTTGTTGTCTTCGGTGAAATTGGAATTTTCCCCGATGCCGGAATCACGGGCCGAATCGATCGACATGTGTCGCTCTTTGCCCGTACTACCGCATCTCGACTAACACACAAAAATCATACTTATGAAAAGAAACATCACCTTTTACTTTCAAATAATTGAAGGAAAAGGTTATGATGTCATAGGAAATGGTGGAGGAGCCATGTTACTCTTTTATTTGTTTGCCAATTTACAGTTGTTGATATATTTTGAATGATGCTATGTTCACCTATAGGTATATAATTATGTACTTCCTTATACCAGAGCCTATTCTGTCTGGAAGTTATTTGTTCAATAAATAAATAAATAAAAAAGAAAAAAAAAAAAAAAGAAAAAAAAAAACGTATATATTATTTTTTTACAAACTAAACAGTGAAATAAAAACCTCAATACAAGAAACTTCCCCATTTCATAAACATTAAACTTACTCGTTAATACGAGGTCGCCGGAAAATACGATCATTGAACTGAAAGAAACAAAGAATACTACTCAATCAAAACTCCCATAATTACCTCTCTGTCCTCCTCGACCAGCTTCGGGCACGTACAATAATTACAGGCCAGAACGTCTGTGTCCGTTGTTGCACGAGTGACGTCACATCGACAAATGCTACTACTACTGCCACCTACATCCTCCAGCAAGTAATCCGTCGATTTGACAGATGAATCTTTTTCCAAAGGCAGCAGCGTTTGACACTGGTGCAACTCCTGCTCATCGCTGGAGATCCCCTCCTCCCACTTGTTCCCCAATCTAAGAGAAAAAACAACATCGGTAATTTTCTTGTCAAACAACCTTCGAAATATCCGTGTTTGACATGCAATTCAGAACTGTCACATACAAAATACTGACTTGCATCTCTGAATTTTGAGATGAAACCTCCAACATCCACAAAAAAATAATGACGTGTTGCAATCCTAGAATTTTTACATTCATAATTCCTCACTTAAGGACCTACTTATCAAAAATTCAACCATTGAGCTATATTCATTCTATTGCAGCGTATATATCTTGCTCAACAAGCGACAACACCGCATTTCTTCAATGAATTGTTTGAAGCCAAATTTCGACTTAGTTCTTGGCTGGTTCTTAGGCGGCGCTAGCAAAATATGGCCGATTTGTCTATACTCTCGGAATCTGCACGAGTCCATCTATCTGCAAGTTGCTCAACTATCTAGGAATATTGTCAAGAAGTACAAACGCTTATGGAATAACATCACTCAAACTTGCGTTCATTTCAAGATCTTTAATTATAAATCAACTTTTCCAAATTAAAGCATCCAGTACAGTGTACTTTCGATCAGGTCAGCGGAGTTCATAGTCTTCAGTTCCTGTAGAATTTGTAAAAAAACGTTTACCGTGCGATGATACCTAGGTAAGCAATATCGAAACGTAACGGCCATTCCCATTGCGGAAAATTGCGAACCTAACATCGATTCCGAATATAAAGAGTACCGGAGTCGATAAGGCCTTATTATTATTAATACAAGTCGATAAGGCATTATTATTAATAATACAAGTCATTAGTAATTATCAATTGAAAATGTTCGTCGTCTCCCCGACTTCAATCCTGCTAGTAATGTAAGTACTGTTTTTTTCAAGTGTTGTTTTGCGTTGTGTTTCATTTGGCAAGAAATTATGTTCTCTTTCTTTGCTAACCTTCCATGTAGCAAAAATAAACGTCAAATTGAATATAAAAACTGTCTTGACTCTTTACTTGGGGATGAATGTGGTTGGGTGGTGAAATGATCAGAAACCTCTCGTCAAAAAGCCGAGCGAGTAACTAAGTTACGACCAATACGAGGGTCAACATCTGAGTTGCAACAATATCCTTCTTTCTAACTTTGTTGTTCTGTAGGCTTTTAGATACTGAAAATATTCAAATCCGGCCCTGATGCGACTACTGAATAGAATTTCCGGCTTTATTGCTCTCATAAGGATAGTTCAATTTGACAGCTTTGGCATTTCTCTTAACCACAGTTTAATCCTCTAAGAACCAATGTCTTTCCGCTAAAATTTTGTAAATATATCAAATTGACTCGTGACATCTTAATTTTGATTGCATAGAAGACTAAAACGTCAAAGTGATTCGTGATCAAGTCATTGAATAGCTAAAAATCTGAAGGATATCTCGCATGCAGTAATGAATTTGCGCCTTCGAAGTGCTCATCTGATGATAAGTTAGATATTTGTTATTTTCATTTCAGTACCCCGAGACTTACGAGTACCAGAAGACGTATTCTAGTAATTAATATCCCAGGTACTCGGCATTTCTCTTAACCACAGTTTAATCCTCTAAGAACCAATGTCTTTCTGCTAAAATTTTGTAAATATATCAAATTGACTAGTGACATCTTGATTTTGATTGCATAGAAGACTAAAACGTCAAAGTGATTCGTGATCAAGTCATTGAATAGCTAAAAACCTGAAGGATATCTCGCATGCTGTAATGAATTTGCGCCTTCGAAGTGCTCATCTGATGTTAAGTTAGATATTTGTTATTTTCATTTCAGTGCCCCGAGACTTACGAGTACCAGAAGACGTATTCTAGTAATTAATATCCCAGGTACTCGACATTTCTCTTAACCACAGTTTAATCCTCTAAGAACCAATGTCTCTCTGCTGAAATTTTGTAAATATATCAAATTGACTCGTGACATCTTAATTTTGATTGCATAGAAGACTAAAACGTCAAAGTGATTCGTGATCAAGTCATTGAATAGCTAAAAATCTGAAGGATATCTCGCACGCAGTAATAAATTTGCGCCTTCGAAGTACTCATCTGATGATAAGTTAGATATTTGTTATTTTAATTTCAGTACCCCGAGACTTACGAGTACCAGAAGACGTATTCTAGTAATTAATATCCCAGGTACGCGGCATTTCTCTTAACCACAGTTTAATCCTCTAAGAACCAATGTCTTTCTGCTAAAATTTTGTAAATATATCAAATTGACTCGTGACATCTTAATTTTGATTGCATAGAAGACTAAAACGTCAAAGTGATTCGTGATCAAGTCATTGAATAGCTAAAAATCTGAAGGATATCTCGCATGCAGTAATGAATTTGCGCCTTCGAAGTACTCATCTGATGATAAGTTAGATATTTGTTATTTTAATTTCAGTACCCCGAGACTTACGAGTACCAGAAGACGTATTCTAGTAATTAATATCCCAGGTACTCGGCATTTCTCTTAACCACAGTTTAATCCTCTAAGAACCAATGTCTTTCTGCTAAAATTTTGTAAATATATCAAATTGACTCGTGACATCTTGATTTTGATTGCATAGAAGACTAAAACATCAATGTAATTCGTGATCAAGTCATTGAATAGCTAAAAATCTGAAGGATATCTCGCATGCAGTAATGAATTTGCACCTTCGAAGTACTCATCTGATGAAAAGTTAGATATTTGTTATTTTCATTTCAGTACCCCGAGACTTACGAGTACCAGAAGACGTATTCTAGTAACTAATATCCCAGGTACTCGGCATTTCTCTTAACCACAGTTTAATCCTCTAAGAACCAATGTCTTTCTGCTAAAATTTTGTAAATATATCAAATTGACTCGTGACATCTTGATTTTGATTGCATAGAAGACTAAAACGTCAAAGTGATTCGTGATCAAGTCATTGAATAGCTAAAAATCTGAAGGATATCTCGCATGCAGTAATGAATTTGCGCCTTCGAAGTGCTCATCTGATGTTAAGTTAGATATTTGTTATTTTCATTTCAGTACCCCGAGACTTACGAGTACCAGAAGACGTATTCTAGTAATAAATATCCCAGGTACTCGGCATTTCTCTTAACCACAGTTTAATCCTCTAAGAACCAATGTCTTTCTGCTAAAATTTTGTAAATATATCAAATTGACTCGTGACATCTTAATTTTGATTGCATAGAAGACTAAAACGTCAAAGTGATTCGTGATCAAGTCATTGAATAGCTAAAAATCTGAAGGATATCTCGCATGCAGTAATGAATTTGCGCCTTCGAAGTGCTCATCTGATGTTAAGTTAGATATTTGTTATTTTCATTTCAGTACCCCGAGACTTACGAGTACCAGAAGACGTATTCTAGTAATAAATATCCCAGGTACTCGGCATTTCTCTTAACCACAGTTTAATCCTCTAAGAACCAATGTCTTTCTGCTAAAATTTTGTAAATATATCAAATTGACTCGTGACATCTTAATTTTGATTGCATAGAAGACTAAAACGTCAAAGTGATTCGTGATCAACTAATTGAATAGCTAAAAATCTGAAGGATATCTCGCATGCAGTAATGAATTTGCGCCTTCGAAGTGCTCATCTTTAGCACTCTACTGTCTTAACCATTGAATGGCGGTGTTGCCACGAAACCAATTTGTAGTTTTGAAGGGTAGTTCACATTGATTTTCATGATTGTCATCAACATTTTGAATAAAATCGAGAGAAAAACCACTTACAATCGACAGAGATGATTGATGATGACGTCGCAATCGCCGAGAAGCTCCACATCGAAGTGGCAATGCGGTAACGGTTCCCTGTTGATGAGTATTTGGGGCACGTGGGCGGGCAGTGAGCTGGGAATGAGTGCGACCGGGCGAACTTTGAGGGAGCTGCCAATCACCAACAGAAGATCGCATTCGGATTTGTCTCGTGCTATGGCCTCGTGGAAGGTGTCCGGCAGGCCTTCGCCGAAAAAGACTATGTCCGGCTTCATTATCCCGGATGCCACCAGTTCCCTTGATAAGATATTTGGTCAGTGGGTGAGTTACTAAGAGAATTAGTAACTTTCAACCAATGAAATTTGTGCGATTTTCATCATCTTTTCCACTCACCTAAAATCCCTGCCTTCTGCCAACGATTTCAAATCGTCAGTGGTGACGGCACTTTCTTTGCCCAGGTGGCACACCGAGCACAACGGGATTTTTTGTGCCAAAACAATGTCTCTGATCGCGTCCGCCGTCACTTTATGTCCGCATTTGGTGCACGTGGCAGTGGCAAAAGAACCGTGACATTCGATGACGCTTTCGATGTGTGCCTCCTTCTCCAAAGTGTCGATATTTTGCGTGTAGTTGCGCAGAAGTTTCCTGTGTTTCTCCATCAGCTTTATAAACCTGAAAGAAATCACGTCGAAAAATCCGAATCAGAAGTGGGATTTTTGCGAAATCAGAAGTGGGATCATTATGAAATCAGAAGTGGGATCATAAAAAGCTAGAAATAGGATCAACCACAAATCAGAATGAGCAAATTTCCAACATTCAAATTTTGTTTATGATGTATGATGAACTGCCTTTCATCATATAGGCCTGGAAGGAAATTCTGAATTGGGAAAACCAAATTTTGTGGGCCAAAACGATGTTTCTGATCGCGTCCACCGTCACTTTGTGCCAAAGGAATCGTGAAATTAGAGCACGTATTCTCTTAAGTGTCTATATTTTGCGTGTAGTTGCGCAGAAGTTTCCTGTGTTTCTCCATCAGCTTTATAAACCTGGAAGAAATCACGTCGAAATATCCGAATCAGAAGTGGGATCTTACCGAAATCAGAAGTGGGATCACTATGAAATCTTAAGTGGGATCATAACGAAATCAGAAGTGGGATCATAACAAAATCAGAAGTGGGATGAAATAAAACTCGATTTATTAGGTACCTGTGACAAGGGCTGGGCTTGAATTTTCCTGGATAGATGTCCCTGGCGAATTTGAAGAACGGTCTCGGGTCCTGGCTGAAAAAGCTGATGTCGAACATGGCCTGGGGATCTGGAAGATTAGGGAAATCGATGGCCAGTCTGGAATAGATGCCGTCCCTGGATCGGAAGTCGGGAATGCCGCAAGATACCGAAACACCAGCTCCTGTCAGAACAATTATATTTTGGGCACCTGAAAAAACAATAACAAGTTTTGAAAAATGAGATGATTCGAAACATTGAATACTCTTTAATGTATTTTACAATGATAGAACCTGACCTTTTAATAATCTTACGACATCATCTAGAGTATTGACGTGTCTCAGCTTATTTCTGCGTGGAGGTTCAGCCAACATGTTTATAACAATTTTCCATATGGTGACGTCATCCACGTAGTCTGGTATTTGGCCATAGTCAACACCCAATTCCGACAGCAATTCCCTAGGGTTGACACCCTTCTGCATTTGCTGTTGAATCTGAAAAATTTGAAACTTCTTATACTAAGGATTTATTTCAGTGTGTTTTGAAATAACTGAAGTTCTGTAGTGAAGTAGGAATTAGATTAGATTTCTAGTATTCAATGATGAGATATTTGTGAAACATGATATATAAATTATTTTTAATGAGTAAGAAAATATCAGAAACATTTATAAAATAATATCCTTTTTACTACAGAGACCATAGAATTTCAAAATTTTCAACAAGGAACACTGAGAATACTTATTTTACATTAATAAACTGTTCAACAAAGTTATGATCATTCAAAATTGATTGAAAAAATGCGCTTTAACGTTACATGTATTGAGCAATCTATGTACAGTGTGTCCAGTTTTCGATGCTTTTGCATGATATCTCAGTTATCTTTGGAGATAGAACATTGCAGTTTTCGCGGTCCTATGCCACTTTTTTGTGAAACTCAAGATGGCCTTATCAGATTTTGCATAACTGTTTCCGTTTCTGAATGACAGGGCGATTCTGAAATTTTATACTTCTTGGACCCTCTATAGCTATGCAAAATCTTAATTCTGAACCACCCTGTATTTATTTCAATTGAATATCAATTGATAGTACATGAATAGTTGAGATAGGGACATGAACCGTTTTGACCAATTATGTATAGTTTATTTATTTTTCACACCCTATATCTTTGTTATCATTCTTGCTAGACCCCAAGTGTGATAGATCGATGAAATCAGCTCTTCAGGGAGAATCCGAAAATGGAATGATGTACAGGGTGTTCCATTGAAAAAATCAAAGTTGTTGCTACTTTTCAATATGAGCGGCAACGTCGCAACGCTAAGAATATTTTAGGTCGATAGAACACAACTAATTATCGCCAGCGTGGATATGAAACTGGAGAGTTCCGAGCTTATTTTAGGAAAATTCATCTGAAGGAAACTTCCCCATTTCGAAGCGTTGTAAATCAAGTTGAAATGTCGCATTCACCTACCCTAAACACTCTAGATTTAGCGACAAAACCGCTAGAATGGCAACCCTGGAGTACTCACCCATATCATGCTGCCGGCCATCGGCTTCCAATCCTGTCCCGACAGGTCCGACAGTCCGCTCAGCTGACTGACAGTTGACGCATCGTCATCGTCATCCTCGTCATTCTCGTCCGCCTCAAGGCCGTCCTGGCTGACGTCCAACGCGTCGGATTGTGATGACGGAGTTTGCCGGAAACAGTCGGACACGCCCGACACGCTCTCGGCGTGCGGCGACTTGTGGTAGGAGGAGCAGGGGGTCGGCATGGACTCCAGGGTGGACGCCTCGTAGCCCGAATCGCCATCGGCAGAGATGCCTGGATAATGTACAGGACTAGTTTTATCGGTAATTTTGCACTTATCATGCGATAGGTTTTTTTTCGAAAAATTTTTTTGGTACTTACGTATTTTTGTCTGAAAAACACGAATTTGATAATGAAAATGTGAACAAACCATTATTTATTAAGATATTTCACTATAAAGTTACAAATTTCACCTTCTTTTCCGCCCGTCTTTGGGGCGCATTTAGAACAATTTGCCCTTCTTTTTCCATCATTGGACAATTTATATATATCACACAATGTTGGACACATTTTTTTTATTATATGAGTCAACTAGAAATATGATTTTATTGTGATTTATCCATGTTTAGTGAAAAGAAGGAAGAATATCATTTGAAATAATGGCGTGTGTGATGTCATTCCAAAGCAATCTATTGACATTTGACATCTCCTATTTGGATTAGTGGATTACCCATCGATTAAATGGCGGTCATCTGGTATGCTTGCTCACTAAATAGGAAAAACTCGCCATAAAAATCATATTTCCTGTTGAATTTTCTACCTTAAAATGTATCATTGAAGTACATCATGAGTATATGAAGTGTCCAATGACAAAATAAAAAGAGCAAGTACCTGTAAATGCATCCAACACAAGGGGGAAAATAAGGCAAAATTTCGAACTTTTTCTTGAAATATCTGGATTAATAGTGGTTTGTTCACATTTTCAATATCAAATTCGTGTTTTTCAGACAAAAATACGTAAGTAGTAAGTGCAAAATTACCGTTTTATCAATGTGAACCCCCCTTAATCTTTTTTGTTTTTTACTCATCAAAATAAAATTTGAAGCTGATTTTATACAATTTTAAATACAGATTTCACTCATACTGACAATGACGCAATATCTCTTCAAATATTCAGAGTATACAGAAAATAGTTCTTTTCTCCGATTGGCAGCAAATATTAATTTTGCTGACACATATCAATCAGCAAAGTATTACTTTTCCTGCCTAGGCAGCAAAGTGAGTACTTCGCTGCCTCGGCAGCAAAGTGGTTACTTTGCTGATTCATATGTATCAGCAAAATTAAAAATCCATAAATCGTCTATAATTTCCTTCATATTTCATCCCAGAATTCTCCGGCAACAAATTCAACTCTATATTTTTTGCCACCTCCCTTATTTCTGGAGGTGTAAGTACTTCCAGGTCCATTATATAATAATTTAAATTTACCGATATTTTTCCGCACAACTGTCAGAAATTTCATGAATTGTCAAACTATAATTATTATGGACATTTCCATAGAAACCAACCATTCCATCATCTGCGATTTCTATCAAATTTTATTTTAATTCGTGGTCATTTTGGAGACCTGCAGAACATCTCTTTTCAAAGACCCGTTCATCCAACGAACAGCGAGGGTCTGGAACACATTGCCAAGGGAGGTGTTCCCCGAGGCATATAACCTCCAGAAATTCAAGAAGAAAACAAATTCCTACCCTATTTCACTTGGTTCTCAAAGTTTTCTGAACATTACAGGATATCCCTTTTCGTGGGAACCAAAACATAAAAAAAAACAAGGCGTTTTTCAAGAATGTGAATTCATTCACCGCTATTATTCACTGATTTGAAAAATGTCTATCGTTTTTCTTGAGGAAGTACAACAGTCGTGGACAAATTTTTAGTTTTCTCAATGCTAAATGAGTAATGATAAAACATAATTTTATATATCAGAAACGATAGAAGTCGTGGATAAAGTATAGTATTCTACTCGCATATAATGAGCTATTATATGCTTGTTGAATAATATACTATTACTACCAAGGTTTATATTGAATTTTTTTCACAACTAGCGATGATTTCAATTATTTTAGTTCTCTGAAAGCGAAATATGGACCAATTGAAAGCATGAAAGCACTTATTTTCAATTCTTTGCCATGACCAACTACTAGATTCCAGTGCCATTCCTGCGAATCTCTGATCAGAACAGTACATTCGGGTTAATTACAACAGGGGTTGGTGGCTATATCTTTTTTGACTAGTGGTTCATAAAATGACGAAAACCTTGACAGCAAAAACACACTTTATGCCTCGGAAAGGAGTAAATAATGGTATGTTTTATAGCTAGTGGTGGGAAAAATAAGTAAATTGGACCCAAAATGTACTGTTTTGTCGTGAGAAGAGTTCAAAGTTGACATAAAAAAATACATTTTTGGTCGCTGTTCAGAAATGAGTGAAACAAATTTGACGAAATTTGACAAAAGTGCATTTAAGACGATTACTTTACCTTTCAGTAATCAAAGGAATCCAAAAGAAATTGTAGAAGGATTGAAACTACCCTCACCTCCTGAAATTTTTTTCCGAAAATTCTCAAGGTTGGTAATACGGTTCTCAATTCAACAAGAAGACAGATTCCTTATCTTTATTTTGTTACTCCTGAAAGAACTTCGTAATCCCCATATTTCCGAAGAAAAAAATGTTTTATTCAATAATGCTAACAGATATTTCCGGTACAAGTTTAATAACATATTGTACCTAATACAAAATTTAGTTGACAAAGGCAGCACGTTTTTTATAATAAATGTTCAATATGACGACCACCTTTATCAATACAAAGGTCAATTCGATGATAAAAATTGAAATGCATCTGTTTTTTTTTCATGTAAACTTTGAACTCTTTCACGGACAAACGGTACATTTCGGTATATAAATAAAGTTGTTCCAATCAAGTTATTTTGACCTGTATTACACGTGGTAGGTCTGTGTCCCAGCAATTTTGAGACACCTTGTATATTTGAAATCAGAAGAAAGAGTTCTACCGTTTACGAAAATAAAATACAGGGTGTTCCATTTAAAATATACCAGTGTGAGTAACATTTTTGTTCACTTCATTTTTGTCCATAATAACGTTTCTGTGAGACCTAGCTATTGAGTGAAATATAGCTTATCACCCTGTATTTGTTTACAATTACATCTGTAATGCCTCATACAGTGTCATTCATTTTGAAATACGTTTAATTCGTCAAGTTTTGCTTTAAACAATACTGAAAATGAACAATTCTCAAAAATCGATTCATATCACAAACCGCGCCAAATTTGAAAAAAATACCTGTATTATTGTCTTTTTTCAGATAATATTAAGCGATCACTTGAGAAATATCGTGAATGCAACTAAAAAATATAAAATTTTATGAAAAATTAAATTCCAATAATGAAGCAACATAAGGAACAAAATTATTATATTTTCTCAGTCACAATGATATAAAAAGTTTGAGATCGATATTCGTGCAAAAATAATCAATTGAATCAATCGCATGTTCTAGAAAAATCGATTGGATAATCGATTTGTTATTAGGGCGAACAAGATCGATCTCTGAAAAATCGATTTCAGAATCGGCATCTGAAAAGGTGGTTATTCATATCAGTCCAAATTTGCCAATTATCCTACTAAAAGCTGAGTTATAGAGGGGATACCCTTCAAAGTGAGACATGCTGTATCTGTATGTAACAATCTCACAATAATCAACCTGTACCTGTATTTTTTATGGTTAATTCTTCCAGTGAAGCAACGACAGTGTATACCTACCTAAATACCTAGATGTAAATATTTAGAGGTAGAGGGAGTACTGGGGGACAACCAGACAAATACTAAATTAAATTAAATATAAACATTTCAGGGACAATGACATTTCATGTCAATATGCAAATGTATTCGAGTTGTATAAATAGAAGTTTTTTTAGTATACCCGTAAACCTTAAACACCATACAAATTTGGCAACTCTGCAAGTCCTTAAAATCAACAGAAATATAATTTGACAATCTCAGATTCTCGAGTCAGCATCAGTTTTTCAGTACAATCAAAGAAAGAAGAAGAGTAAAGTGTTTTGAATGGTAAGTCGATGAAAATCAATCATTATTAAGCAGAATTTGGTAGGTATTCATTACAATATACCTACCATAGATTTACCTACCGTGGATTAATCTCCTCTAATTATTATGTACTACGAATTCATGCAACTCAAATTAACATTAATTTAGCATCAGCACTCATTCCTCAGAATGAATATTTGTCAAGTTCAACCATGTATCAGAATTCTCATTTTATTTATATAAAAAGAATTTCAAATTGCGATGTAGAAATTTAGCAAGTTGACATGCAATTTGTAATTTGAAATTGGCGGCAGGAAGCTACATCATATTTCGAGTTTGCGCATGGCAATTGAAATAAAATGAGCAAAAGGGTCCAAGTCCAAGAAAAATCAAAACAAATATTTAAAATACGATAATAGATAATGCCACTGACTAATCAACATTGCTCAAGGAACAGCCTTGTTCAAGTTGTCAACTGCGTCCTTGAAATGAGGTAAATAAATAAAAACACAAAGTTATAACAAATATGACAATTTTATTTGACCCTTTCATGTTTTGTATAATTTGATAACAGAAGAAACGATGAAAAAGAGCTGAAAACCGAAAATCACCGATGAAAAATGGTATATTTAGGTTAGAAAATAATATTATTTATATTTTTCATCAAGTGTACCACGCCTACAAAATGTCCGAAGTGTCGCCTTTGTTTCTGGTCGCCATATTGGAAGAAAAATTTCGCTCAAACAACCAAACATATTTTTCAAATTTTACCTTCTGAGATGTCAATCGGGCCCGTGGACGATGTGGAAAAACAAGAAAAACCTTCTCCATTGCACAATTCACCAATATTAGACTCTCCGAGATCGAGTTTGATTCTTTTCGCACACGATTCGTGTTCTTGAACGTCAGGATTGGAATCCATCTTTGACACGAATAAAAATCACTTGGAAAATCGTAGTTGCCGGAAAGAGAGTCGTGCTGTGCGCGCGCAGCTGTTATTGGTGTTCTTTGCGAATCGTTGCTTGTCACGGTTTAGCCACAGGTCTAATTTTCGTTTCTGAATTTTATTTGGAAAAACCTGGAAAAATTTGATAAATTGAAGTGCCGTCGTTGAAACCTGCAAAATGCCGAAGAACAAAGGTAAATATATAATTCCTTTCGCTGTTTTTCAGCTACAAACTCATTGCTGGCATATGCAGAGTCCTGCACCCCTTTTGACATTTCCACAATGGCCAAGGAAAAATTAAATGAAAAAAAAGTCAAATGAAAGCCCAGAGGGTCAAACCAGGAACATTTCCACGTTGGAAACTAATAAAAATCCATTACATTTCGAATTGGATGGTGAAATAACACAATGAAAACATTTTAGGTAAAGGAGGTAAAAATCGTAGGAGGGGAAAGAATGAAAACGAAACAGAAAAACGTGAGTTGGTGTTCAAAGAGGACGGTCAAGAGTATGCACAAGTCACCAAAATGTTGGGAAATGGTAGATTGGAAGCTATGTGTTTTGATGGAGTCAAGAGGTTATGTCATATAAGAGGAAAGCTTAGAAAGAAGGTAAGACACTAAAAACCATTGTAAGCTTGAAAATAAATGAAAATGTCTGCTTCTAGGTGTGGATTAATCAAGGGGACATCATCCTCATAGGTCTGAGAGATTACCAGGATGCCAAAGCAGATGTGATTCTCAAGTACACACCAGATGAGGCTCGTAACCTCAAGACCTATGGGGAGTTCCCTGAATCAGTTAGGATCAATGAAACAGTCACTTTTGTTGAGGAGGGCTTTGATGAGGACATTGAGTTTGGGGATGATGTCAGCTCTGCAGATGAGGCTGATATGGTGGATGGCATCTGATGATGGAACAATTCTTAGGACCCCTATTATGAAAATATTGAAATAATAGGTGAGCTTGAAAGGTTCTGAGTATGGACAGACTGAGATAATATACCTATTTCTTCATGAATTTGATTTTATTCAGAACCTTTCAAATTGGCACTTGTGGAAAATTCTGTACTCAAAATAATTCCCATTGTTCTGAAAGCTACTTTCTCTATTGAAATACAAACTTGGTGTTAATATATTGATTTTGTGTTTTTAATGGAAGCATTTTATTTCAGATTAGCTAGGGATGTTATATAATTATTATTGTGGATCTAAGGATGCTATACCTCACCTACAATTTGTTTACAAGATATTGAAACATTGTTATATTTCTCTATTTTTTTTATAGTTTAGTCCTCTGGTATATTGATTTAAAAGAGAAAGGCAACAAAAAAATTGTAAAAACTTTAATAAACCATTGTAACAAAAGCACTAGAGTTCTCAATGTACCTATACAGTGAATTACAAATTCCAAAGTTCTAATCCTTTTCTAGTATTGATTTGATGGGTAATTTCAATATCATGGGTAGGTAACAGTATTTGAAATGATGATTTTATGATTTACTGCTTGTTAAGTCTTAACATTTGAAGATATTGAGCTATTCTGTAGTTCATTGATGGCAAGAAGAACCATTTTTATGTGAACCTTGATATCAACTGCCATCTTCCTAAAGTGGTCAATTTCTTTTTTGAGCAGTCTTAGTCGAATATCAGCATAGCCATCTGCCTCCTTGCAGTCCATTTCCAGCATATAACCTAAACCTATATTAATGTAAGTTCGCTCATAATCACTTATTTCACCAGATGCCATAGTCCCTTGTCCTAAGTCAAACATTACTTTCATGTCCCTGTCTTTCTCCTTGAATTCACAAACTGTCTTAACTACTTGCTTCACATCTTCCCACTCGTTATACTTTGTTGATTTGTCATCCAGGATCTTTTCGATTTCCTTGAGATCCTTCTTCAGCCTGTCCTGCAGGAAGTTCTCATATACTTTGATTTTTTTGGATATGTCTTCAGTGTCCATTGATTCCATTATGGAAAATTCAGTTCAGACACATAGGTGGATAAACATTGTGCTAAAATAACTCGAAATGTTCTCGGAATGGTATGCCGTATTTTCAATTGGTGTTGTTATTTTTTTTTCCATTTTTTCTGACCTAACCTGACTTAATCCTCTTCTATTTTCGGCAGGGAGCGGTGCGGAATCCTAAGCTGAATGTTCCTGTGATCAAGTGGCTATTAGACATTAGGACAGATCACTCAAAGTCCGCTATCAAAAGAGAAGAATAATGACATAGCTGAAGTTACAATTCTGATGAATAAAATAGAAGTAGAATTCGTTGGTGAAGTTTGACGTTTGACGTCGACATTTAGTATTTAGTTGGTAAACTTTTTGGCGATTGATGAACTCGTAGAAACTTTTCAAAACTTCGTTGTTTTTGAAATAAAATGGAATCAGAAAACGGAGCTGATGAAGCTGGAAATGGTCGGAATAATCACGAAGAGAAATTTCACGATGCAGAGGACGGTTTGTGTCGTGGGAATGGAAATCCAGATGAAGGGGATGCTAGAGGCAAACCAGGGTAAATTTCCTTTGTCTTTTTTATCATGGATGTGGATTGATATGAGAATGAGATAAGCATGATTAGAGTGATATTTCCATTTCAGACAGGGTTCTGGAGATATAATTGCACGTATGCCAGTTCCTAAATATGCTACCCACTACAAAATGGATCACAAAAAAAGAGGTCTTGCATACATTTTCAATCACGAATTTTTTCAATGTGGTGGTTTGAAAGCAAGATCGGGTACAAACGAAGATTGTAAAAATTTGAAAGCGTGTCTATTGTTCCTAGGATTTGATGTATTAGAATTCAAAGATTTGAACTATACTGATATTGAGTACCAGATAAGAGAAGGTAGGTATAATAATATTGGCGTTTTGTTCTCAACATCTTTGTAATATCTCTCATTTCCTTTAGTTGCCAGAATGGATCACACTCACCATGACTGTCTTCTAATAGCTGTTCTATCTCATGGTGAGATGGGTATCATTTATGCCAAGGACACTCCATACAAACCTGATTACCTCTGGTCATCTTTTACTGCTGATAGATGCCCCACACTTGCAGGTTTGTATCCATGGAAAAAGATCTCAGTTGGGTTCTAATTATAATTTTTCAGGAAAACCAAAACTGTTCTTTCTGCAGGCCTGCCAAGGGGACAAGCTTGATGGAGGCATTAATCTATCAAAAACTGAGACTGATGGGGAATGCTATAATACTTACAGGATTCCAGTGCAAGCAGATTTTCTCATTGTATATTCAACAGTAAAAGGTGAGTGGTGAAAAATGTTGCATATTTGTTTGAGTTGAGGTTGAATAAAGTGTAAAAACTTCCTTAATTTACAAGGTTACTACTCTTGGCGCAACACCACCAAGGGATCCTGGTTCATCCAATCTCTTTGTGAAGAATTGAAGCAAAAGGCTCTTCACTATGATCTCATGACCATTCTCACTTTTGTGTCTCAAAGGGTGGCTCTGGATTTTGAGAGCAATGTGCCTGATTCTATAACCATGCACAGGCAAAAGCAGATACCCTGTTTGATGAGTATGCTCACCAGACTCATTCAATTCACACCTCCAAAATAGTTATGGTGATCAGGTTCTGGAATTGGCCTATTTAGAGTTATCAATTCAATTGAGAATCTGTGGGTTTTTAGATCAGTTTTAGATTCTTAATTTAATTGTTAATTCTCACTTTTATGGGGTGAAAGGTTAGGGGAAATCTTGTGCTCTCTGCATGAATCAAGCTAAAGAAAATGTGAAGTATAGAGAAAGGTTTTGAGGTACCAATGCTTGCTTGAAAAGTGAGTTTAATGTGTGTATAATTTCATATATAATATTGTTCACCCTTTATAAAGACAATTGGTGATGTTGTCATGAACTGTAATAGAAATTTGATATACAATTAAAGAAAGTCAATGAAAACTATTAATGTTACTCTGAAATATAAAAAATATGATTTATTCTATCAAACTACTATACTAGCTGTATCAAGTGGGAACCAGCCCCATATTCTGTAGACAAATTCCTTCATGATCCGGCTCGAAGGACCATGATACGTCAGAGGACCTGATATTTCATGACAACATCACCAATTGTCTTTATAAAGGGTGAACAATATTATATATGAAATTATACAATGTGTCTACATTGTATTAGTTTAATGTGTTTTAATTGATTATATTAGCTCAAGCTTAGACTATTAATTTATGGATTTTTCTATGTGCTGTCTGTATAAATCAGTTCTTAATATTTTAATACATTTTTTTTCATTTGGTATTTATTTAAAATGTTACTATCGAAGCCCTGTGCTTTCTATGGTCTCTAGTTTATTTGTCAAGTTCAAGTTGTCTAATAAGTTTAAAATTGATAATTTCCTAGACATTGATAAAATAATTGCAACTGTTAATATGTTAATTTAAGATATTAAATGAAACGTCCTATTAATATTGATTATTATATAATATATGAAGTACAATAGGAACAACACATATTTCTGGGTTGCACATGGTGAGTATTGTATGAATAACATTTGGGTATCTTGATATTTTTGGAAATGCTTTTTTCATTGTACTTAAGTAGACTTAAATTTTTGAATGATGTTTAAACAATTCACTGCCTATTATCAGTGAGAATATCATATTTTGAAGCCCTTTTTACATTGCAATGACAAAAATGTTCACATTCCAACTAATAAATGAATAAAGGGTTGCATAAAAATACTTCTGGGATGAATGAAAATTATTAGCTATGATTTTGATTGTGCCATTGTCTTTCAGAAGGCAAATTTTGCTATGACAATTTTTTGTAAGTGATCCCAAGTAGCACATAATTTATCCTGTTGTTAGAATCCTATTCCTTAGTGGTTATAAATAGGAACCCTATAGCTTTTCTGGATCTTCTGAAATGTGAATCTACAAGACCTTTTCAATATGAAGGAAATGTAGAGGTGTCTCCTATCTGTTTTTTTTACCACTTTATTCCACTGATTGTGTATGCTTATTTGGGAAATTTTTGAATAGGATAAGAAATTGTGATATTTTTGATTGTATTTAATAACTAAAATATTCGCCACTAGTTGATAATATCATGTTCCCAGTCAATTTCATCATTATTCAATTCATTCTATTGCATCTTATGGAAATATTTAAATTTGTAATATTTTGTAGAACTTGTATATTTTACCCATATTTTTCACTATACAAAGAAGAGGTAAAGAGTTTGAAATAGTTTTTCAAGTTTATATCAAAATATATAATAAAATAAATATTCTATTGAAGCATTCAGTTCATCATTTATTCCTATACTTTTTGGAAATTTACAACTACAAATCTTCCAAAAAATATCATCCTGGTTTGAATGATTCCTAACAAAGATGTAAGTAATCAAGGCTTAAAATTATGTCTCATTGAAAAAAGGGGTATAAAAGATTGGTTCTTTATTTAAAATAAAAAGGTAAAAAAGAATAATAATACAATGGCAGTGTCTAAACCTATCTAAATTACTTAATCCATAAAATTTACATATGCACAGATTTTTCATATTCTAATAGTATCAGTCGCAAGTCTCAGATACAAATTTTATTGTAAAAGGCACACTTCTTCATTCTGTCATATTTCAGTACGAGCTCGTCCACTTTTTCAGCTTTCTTCTCTATAGTATTCAGCTTGTTTTTGAATATGTGCAAATCATTCTTATAATTCTCCTAAAAAGAGATCTGTCAATATTCTTCAGTAAAACATTATTTAGTCTGGAAACCATGGATCATACCATTGTCTGCTAAATATGGAGAAAAAATCTAGTGAACTGGAACTACTGGTCTTCCCTATAGCTCAGTTGAGTGTATGACCACTAGAGGATGTTACCGTATCGGACGAAATGATCTTCACTTTTTTCTAGAAAATTTTCGAAATTTGTGGTTATGTAAGTTGTCAGTGTCAAGCAAGGTCAGGACAGAACAATATGAGGCAACCTTATGAGTTAAAATAGCCTTGAGTGTCAAGAGCTGTCGTGCCATCATGACTTGTTTCGTATTTCTTTCCTAAAATATCATTCTTTTTCAATTCTCATCGTTCTAATATTCCTTTCGTTTATAGATATAGTTTTGTGTTGTGCTCCCAGTGTTATAATAGTTTATTCTGTTAATAATTTGTAACAAACTCTGTCTCTAATAATCGATACTGCTACCGCTGAGGGAGGCTCAACTCATTTACGATTTTCAAGGTTATGACAGGAAAACAACTGAAATAAGTGTTTCCTCGAGTTGACCATATGGCGGTACTACTGTATCGACCGAAGAACCCTGTAGGTGATTTTCCTTGTTTGAGTAGACCAGATACTCCAGCTCACTAGATTTTTTTCCATATTTAGCAGACAATGGATCATACTCTAGCTGGTATAACATAAAAGATTGCTCTGAGATAGGAATTCAATTTTTTTTAATAAAAGTTTCAATATCTCGAAAACATTGAGGTTTTTACTGAGACTGCTAGAATACGCCCTGAATGAATACTATGGTTTCTTAAACTTACAACATCATTCAGTTTATTCTTTAAAGAACCGATATCTCTGGAAATGGAACTCATATCTTTGTAGACGTTATCCAAATCTCCTTTTGATACGTCGTTTTTGTGACTCTCGTCCATCATCTGAGAAATCAAATACACGGTAAATAAATAATCGATAAAATGATGAAAAAATGCGATCAACACTTTTGGAAATTGTCATTTAACTAATTGAAAAAGTATCTTACGGTTTCCAGTTTCAATAGCCTTTTGTCCAAAATCTCAAATTCTAAATCTTTGGCTTCCAATCCACCTTCATCACCTGAGAACAGAAGAAAATCACAACTTAATATTATTTTTCAAAAGCTTCAGTCCAAATTTATTTATCAACGGTTTGTAAAGGGTTCTCATCATTTTTGAATTGTCATAACTTTGCATTGGATCAAGCAATTTTCAATTTCTTTCAAGATTCTGATAGCTCATTTCATTGAGTACAACGTCAGTTCTTTTTTGTTATTCCACCTATCCGACATGAAGATCTACAGGGTGATATCTGATAATGTGATAAATTTTCGAAGAGTTAGAGATCGCACCTTTTGGCAGGTAATTTTTTACAAGATATTGCATTCTTTTCTGATATATCCAACTAACATAAACTCAACCGAATCTCAGATTAACTCATCTTGCTCAACGCTAGCACTATACAATGTGTAGAAAATTTTCAAACATATACGAAGCTATGAGATTCAAATCAGAATCCCAGGAAAAAATCCCTATCAAAATGTCCAAAATTCAAAAAAAAGTTACTTGGTCCGTGAAGAAGACTCGACCAGAGATTATACACAAATCGAATATATGCAACCAACAATGCTCAGCCAGTTATTGTTTGGTGCCTAGATTTGAATCACCAACTCCTAACCTTCTAACACATGCCCACAGGTGGAACCACTGAGTGATTGAACATCCATTCTACCAACCTTGGATTGAACTAATGAACTATATTCTGATATTCATTATGCAACTATAAATAATAAAGACTATACAATATGCATTTGTAGTATTTGTACACATAAAAATAAATAACAATTATTATATAGACAAGGATATAGGTATCGTTGTGGATGAGCCAATCTAAAATTTTGTTGAAGTTGAGTTCATGGTGGTTATTGTGTTATTGAACTTATCAGATTGTTATTTGTTGTAAAAATTTTCATATATCAATATATCCTCTCGAATCCAAAACCATTTAAAAAATTATCACATATTCAGATTGATGAAGTTGTACTCATCTTGAAAGAAACTGAAAATCGGTTGATCCAATCCACAAAGTTATGACGGTTCGAAAATGGTTGAAATGTTTGCTTGTCCCACTTCAAATGTAGACCAGTTTAGATGATAGTTCAATTTTACATAGGAAATGTTTGGCTTCATGCACATAGAAAACTAATCCGGATATTTTTTCTTCTTGTAACTAGGAGAACGTATTGAATACATGCAATTGCACTTAATTTCTGAAACAAATGAATAGTATTTTTCAACATAAATATGCATATATACTTAATCACACCATCACACTAATCGAGAACATATCAGCTTCAGGTGATAATGTCGAATATAGGCGGATTATAAGCAAAAATTTGTTTTTCAACACAACACAACCCAACCTAATTCATTATACCTTATTAGGTTGTGATGTTACCACGTACATACATACATATGGTGTTTCCTTAGTACGTGTCAAAGAGTAGGGTTTTGGTATTTCCTGAAGAAAAGTTTGTATAACCTTCTGCTACTAATGGAGCTACGGCCCTTTTGAAGAGATCGTCTCCAGTACCAATAAAACAGACATCACCTCCCGTTCGGCACGTACTCAGGTAACCAGCGCCGTTCTTGTGAAATAATCCAACCAAATACCGCTCGCTTTGCCCTCACCTTCCTTCCGGCACGACTGGCCGTCGCTTTGCAGCGTAAAGTCCTCTTTGCACTGACACTCGTAGCTGCCGAGCGAATTGTGACAGATGTGGTCGCACGGTTTCTCTTCCAGGCATTCGTCCACGTCCGTTTCGCAATGGCGACCGGAAAAGCCGATCGGACATCGGCATACCTCGTGACGTACGCATGTGCCGCCGTTTTCGCAGCCGGCCCTGCATCGGGCTGAAAAAAAACGGGATATTGACTTTTCACTGCTTGAGAGATTTTTTGTCTTGAGAGCGTTGTTCCCTTGAAATTTAATGAAAAAAAAAAAATGCGTTGTCCTACGAACTCGTCATTTTTTCTTGCAGGTTTTTGAGTGAATTCCTTAACAACAAAACTCAAATTATAAATGTTTAAACTACTCAACACTAATTTCGTCGCACACCAAAATGTCGCCCCTGTTATAATGTGAATAACTTTTTTCAGTTCACAACAATTTGAATTTGGTTCACACTGTTCGATAGCCCAGTCCTTCAGCTATAATCTCGTACTTCATTGAGACATAAGGGTATTCACATAAAATCTCTACATGGTGTTTTCCGACACTGTGCAAAATTTCGGAATATTCAAAAGGCTCCCAAATGGTGAAAACATTTTTTTCCTCAACTTCGACAACAGAGGCATGAAGATGATCTCATCATTACCTCGAGATATTTCGCGAATTAACTTCCCATCTCTCTTATTTACAGAGTGATCTCAAAAAATCAACTTTTTGGTTTTGCAGCCAACTTTTTTTCACTTCAACCGATTCTGGAAATCTTAGGCTCATTTTGAAGACAAAACTTCAGATGAAGAGATCTGAATATCATAATTGACTCAAGATGGCTATCAAAGATCTAGAGTTTTCTTGAAAGTGACCCAAATCTGGAACGCCCTCCGAATCTCGGTTGGGAGGAGAATTGAATGAAAATCAACGTGTTCTCGGAAGAACAATTCATTCTGGATGCGTCCATATTTTCCTCGCTCTCAGTAGTCAAGAATGTGCGTGAGAAAACACAATTGAAACATGTTCTTGCAGAAACATCAGACCATTTCTCCTCTGTAATGCATGGCCCGTAACCTACGTTACAAGAATCAGAGTAAGTGACTGACAAGTCAGGTTAGAGGTCGTTTTCGAATCATAAACAGATTTCGATAGTTTCGATGCCGCATCTAACGCGAATGTGGGTGACAACTTTGTTCTCGTTGATGACAATGCGAGACCGCATAGGGTTATTGGTACACCATTTATGATGAGCCTTAGCTAGTCGGGTTTGTCAGTCCATTGTGATTCTTGTAACGTTGGTTACGGGCCATGCATTATAGAGGAGAAACGGTCTGATATTTTTGCAAGAACATGTTTCAATTGTGTTTTCTCACGCACAATTCTTGACTACTGAGAGCGAGGAAAATATGGACGCATCCAGAATGAATTGTTTTTCCGAGAACAAGTTGATTTTCATTCAATTCTCCTCCCAACCAAGATTCTGAGGGCGTTTCAGATTTGGGTCACTTTCAAGAAAACTCTAGATCTCTGATAGCCATCTTGAGTCAATTCTGATATTCAGATCTCTTCATCTGAAGTTTTATCTTCAAAATGAGCCTAAGATTTTTAAAATCGGTTGACGTGGAAAAATGTTGTCGAAGTTGAGAAAAAAAATGTTTTCACCATTCGAGAACCTATTGAATATTCCGAAATTTTGCACAGTGTCGGAAAACACCATGTAGAGATTTCATGTGAATACCCTTATGTTTCAATGAAGTACGAGATTATAGTTGAAGGACTGGACTATCGAACAGTGTGAACCAAATTCAAATTGTTCTAAACTGAAAAAAGTTATTCACATTATAACAGGGGCGACATTTTGGTGTGCGACGAAATTAGTGTTGAGTAGTTTAGTTCACTTTGACCCAAAAAATAGCTCAAGTGCAATTCAGTAAGATAATTGTTTACAGTGTTAGCAGCCACTGGTAATTTTTTTTATCATTAATTATATCAAATTGTTTAAATTACACCAAATAATCAGTTGACAATACAGGTTGTATCAAAATAACACCGAAAAAATTCAAGAGGTGATTCCTTGTGATTTTCTAGCAAATAAAGTTCATATAAACATTAGTTTCTAACTTGCTTCGTTTTTGAGATACAGGATGTTGAAGTTGGAAGTCTTTTATTTATAACCCCCCCCCCCCCCCGGTGTAAGCAACACACAACCATATACGTATTAATAATCAATACGGATAATCTCTATCTGTTTCCATAGCGAAACATGAAGCCGATTTTTGAAGACAAATGACTATCCATAAGGAAAAGTTTTGAAACGATCAGACACATACTGCTTTGATTGAAAGGCTAGTAAACGTCATTGTCCACCGAAACGCATGTCTTTGATGACTACTATAATAGCGCATGGCGCATGCGTATCATGCCACCAAATCCTTATGGATATTCATTTGTTTCATATTTTTGGCTTCATCCTGGCACCCGTTATGATCCGTATTGTTTATTAATACGTATATGCACACAACACAACGTTTTATTGAAATAATTGATGAAAAGACAATTGAGAAATGAATATTCTCCTTTATGGCTTGAAAATAAAATGAAACGTTTTTTTATTCCGTTGATTTAGATCAGAAAGAGGATGCAAATTCTCAATATTAGATTGAACAATTCCCTTAATTTTTATACCGGGTGTTCAGAGTCTACGTGTTAGTACCTACCTAGAAAAGTAGCTGTTTTTCTTTTAAAGTTGCTGTTAAATTGAAAAATGTAAAAATTGTGTAATTGACTTCTATTATTTCGTCACCAATAAAAGTATGCTGAAACTTTATACGGAGTGATATTGGCGAATTGGAATATATACCTAATTGGTCCAAAATCAAGTTGAATTCCAATTTTGGAGTATTAAAAAGTGATATGTCCATCGTCCATGGATATGTCAGTTTTAAATATATAGTGCTTCTCAAAAGTCCTCTCCCCTAGACAAATTCAAAAACTTGGACGTCAGATTATTTGACAACTATCCAGAGGCGGGGCTTGAATTTTCAATTTTAGTATTAACTGATTGAATTTATCACAGCACTGCGTTTTTTAAAAGCGACTTGCCAATACTGTCATAAACACAAACAAAATTAGTATCACAGAATACCTTTTAAAGAGATCATCTTTGACGATTTCGTCACTAGTAGAGAGTTCAACCTTCAACATTCAGTTTCCACATTTCACTTGTTCATGAACAACATTTCCAAAAATAAAAGGGAGGGAGGCGACTTTTGAGAAACACTGTATGTATACCTGGATTATTTCTATTCACTTACGCTTATTTAGATCTATTTCACATTGAACTCCTCCAAATCCTTTTGGACAGCTGCATATACCTCCTTTCACACATTTTCCTTCATTCAAACAAGGTTTTTGGCAGGTTGCTATAAAACAGAATTATTTTTCAATTTTATTTCCTTTTCGGTTTTCAAACGGATTTTTTGTTTTGTTCATTTTAGTCCTCGAAACAAAAACTTACGAATAGCCATATCGATCTCACATTGCTGCCCGGAAAATCCTTTCAAGCATGCACACAGATCCGGCTTCACACATCTTCCGCCGTTCAGGCACGGCCTACTGCAACTAGCTGAAAAAGTTAAATGTAAATGACTAAATTCGTCGCACCCCAAAATTTTGCCCCTGTTAAAATATGTATAACTTTTTTCTGCTTGGAACAATTTGAATTTGTATAACACTGTTCACTAGCCCAGTCCTTCAGCTATAATCTCGTACAAAGGGATCCCAAATGAACAAGAACTTTTTTTCTCAACTTTGACAGCTGAGGCATTACCTAGGGACATTATCGAAATTAACTTCTTATCTCTTTTATTTACAGAGTGCTCTCAAAAAATTTACTTTCTGGTTTTGCAGTCATAACTTTTCTTTGTCAACCCGTTTTCAAAATCTCATTTTGAAGCTGAAACTTCAGATGAAGAGATATGAAGATCAGAATTGACTCAATATGAACATTATACAGTGCTTCGCACTTCTCATGGAAGCACCCCCGTATCTGACGTAATTATTGAAGTAGGGTTCTGAAATTTGCAAGAGGATGCGAAATGGACGTCCTGATTGAATCCGAAGTGATTTTCAACCAATCTTGCCTCCTTATATCATTTTTGTGAGTGGTTCCATGTCTGTTGGCGAGCAGTGTATATCACTGGAGACGACTCCACTTGGTCATAGTGTGTATTTTCAGTGTATCTACCGCTCTTGCAAATTTCACAATCCTAACTCAATAATTACGGAAGATACAGGGGTGCTTCCATTAGAAGTAAGACACACTGTGCAATGTTCATCTTGAATCAATTCTGATCTTCATATCTCACCATCTGAAGTTTAAGCTTCAAAATGAGCCTGAGATTTCAAAAATCGGTTGACGAGGAAAAGAGTTATGACTGCAAAACCAGAAAGTTAATTTTCTCTGTAAATAAAAGAAATAAGTAGACAGTTCGAGAAATGTCCCAAGATAATGAGGTTATCTACATGCTTCTACTGTCAAAGTTGAAAGAAAAAAGTTTTTCTTCATTTGGGATACTTCTGAAATTTTCGAAATTTTGCACAGTTTCAGGTAACACCCTGTAGAGATTTTATGTGGAGAACTCTATGTTATAAAGGATTACGAAATTATAAATCGTTCAAAGCAGAAAAATGTTATTCATATTTTTACAGAGGCAAAATTTTGGGTTGCGACGAAATTAGTAGTTTAGATTGAAAGAGACAAAAAGCTGCTAAACTTACGTTTGTTGCATCCATGATTTCTGTGTCCTATTTGATTCCATCCGGGGCAACAGGCGTAAATGATCTCATTATTGGATTTTGTAGCTACGTCTTTGTAATGGGTTTCATAAACCAACCTATTCAACAATAGAAAAAAAAAGCATTGGTTGAGATTTTTTCTATTTCAGATTTTTACATGCTCACCTCACTCCTTTGCATATCTGATCTCCTTGACACTTAATAACGTAATTTTTGTAAGTGGGCTTACAGTATGCCTGTTTGGACTTCATGGGACGGTCAGAGTTCCTTGTGCACACGTGACGCCTAAAAAAAAAAACTTTTCAGTTGAGGAAATACCATGTGCATAAAAATAATATGGATACAGATGACGTTTTTCGTCGGCTTTGTATTTACAAGTTAGATTAATGTACACGAAATTGGTCGTCTATGACCCATTGTCCTATATAGGCAACCAATACAATCTTGGGATCGTTTCTGGAACGATTTTAATTCGTGTTTGTCGAAACAACTTGTCCATTTTTGATGTTTTATGTTCTGAGTTTTTTTTATGTTCTGGTTACCACGAAAAGGGATATCCTGTAATGTTCAGAGAACATCGTGAGAACCAAGGGGAATAAGGTAGGAATTGGTGTTCTTCTTAAATTTCTGGAGGTTACATGCCTCGGGGAACACCTCCCTTGGCAATTTGTTCCAGAGCCTCGCTGTTCGTTGGATGAACGAGTCTTTGGAAAGAGATGTTCTCCAGGTCCCCAAAAGGACCACGAAGGAGTGCGAAGCCTCAACTCGACGGGTTAATCTCGCGGGGAACAATTGTTGATATTTCAGAAGAGCATCGTCCATGAAAATATCTATAAAATAGAGCCAGCTCGCCAACTTTTTTACGGTGTTCCAGAGAAGTGAGTGAGTTTGTGAGCGAGGCATCACCCACGAGACGAATTGCCCTTTTTGTACAGAATCCCACAGTTTCAGTGTATGTTTGGGTGCTGCACTCCAAATATAGGAACAGTATTCCAGAACAAGTCGGATCTGTGTCTTATAGATCATAAGCAGCTGACCGGAAGTGAAATAGCTCCTGGCCCGAAACAGAAAACCAAGTTTTTGGGATGCAATTGATCTCTCATGATTTTCCCAAGAAAGGTTATTTCTGATTGTAATACCAAGCATCGAAATTTATGTCTTCAAAGTGACAGGTTATCTACCTCTTTTTTATGAATACTGGGTGAGCAATTATAGCGTAGTTTTTTCATAAATGTAACAGTTACATTATCAAGTTAAAATTGCAATTTACAGTTTAGCCTTATCTTTTTTCAATAGCCCCCTTCTTTGGATGTACTCCATTATCTTTCCTATCACTCCACAAACGGAATTTCATAGCATAACATGAATTTATTGAATTCAATTAGCATTATAAGCACGTAAGTAGCAGGCTATGATCTGGGGAGGCATTTCTCTAACTTTTCGCATGGATCATAAATGGAAGCCTCACAGCTGAAAGGTAGATAATATTAGAGTTTTTTTGAAACCACATTATAGTGTAAGGATTCTTGTTGGTGCAAGGATATGCCCACGTCGCCCGAGTTCTGAGAACGTATCTAGAGGAAGACGGTCGTATCGCTATGGCCAGCTCGGAACCCGGATTTGAATCCCATTGACAAGATAACAAGAGGAATGTAACTTGGATACTTTGGAAGACGCACGGCAGAGGCAAATTTGGGAAGACCTGGATCAAAGACATAAGGTCTCGTCTTTTCCAAGAAGTTATTCTTGTCCGAGGCGGAAATACTGGCTATTGTTTCTGTGCTCTCATCATGGACTGGCTGCTGCAATGTGTGAAGATTATTTGAAAATCCGAACATTCTGTACCAAAAGTGTGTGAAGAAACTATTATCACAGGATTTTCTTGGGTCAAGGCTTCGTCATAGACTTCAGAAGATTTCAGTAATTTTTGGCTTCGTGTCGTTAATGAATTCACCATTGAAGTCGGAAATATGACGCACCATTCCCATTTAAACAAAGAATTGTGAAAATAAAAATGTGAACTCAAATGAATGTGTCATGATGCCTGTAAATTTGGTTTGAAACTTCGGAAATTTAGCAAGATTCTCTCACGCCCCGCTATTTTTACAAAGTAGGCGATATCGAGAGATTTCGAAACTCCTTTCAATAGGAAGTGATAACACCATTTGACTTTCTATACATCTATGTTTCAATCATTGTCTCCTAAATATATAGAAAAAATCTAGTGAGCTGTAACAATGGTTTTAACAAACGTTGAATGTCACTAATGTCAGTAACAAGTTAACTACTGGGTGATTATTAGTAGTTTTCGAGGGAATATAATCAATTCCCATTGCAGGAGAAATATAGTAGACGAAAATTTCTTTCAACCTAAACGTACCCATCATTATATTAATACACTAGTTTGTTAAATGACTATTAGATAATACCAGCCATCCTGTCTGTATCTGTATGATACTGAAACGAAAACGAGACATAACCGATCCGACTTTCCCTTTCTGGATGTCCTTTTTCTCATTTACATTATGGCAAATCTTTCATTAACTCATCACGTGTGATGGCTGACTTGACGGGCCGTCTATTAATGTAAACTTGATGCATAATAATTACGGTGCACAATAATAGAATCACCGACAGCAAAACCTCGGGCGCCTTAGGCCGAATATATGCACGTAGGTGCCTATATAAAATAGCAAAAAGAAGAGGAAATCTCGAAATTACATACAACACGTCCGTTATTGAGATAGGAGTGTTTGCCAGAAAGGTACGGAGTGAATGCGATTCACATAAAAGCTCAAAAAGCTGGAGGTGATTGTTGGATAAAACCTTGCATTTCATTGGAGTTTGATGGTGGTCATTAAAAAGTTTCATACTGAAAAAGTTGTTCGTGCTAGCAGATGATTTGGACGTCTCAAAAGTATCACGAGGTGATTACTTGAGATATTTTAGGAAATAAAGTTCCTACGAATGTTTTATCAATTACTCAATTGTCTTTGCATCAATTTCAATAAAACGTTGTGGTTTTGTTGATAGTAATATGGTAATCAATCGGAGAATCGGATGTTTTTTCTTGTCCATCGTTTGTTGGTTTATTTATTTCATGATGATGATAATTATTAATGAAATATCCCGTTCACAAATAAATTCCGTACACACATATCATTTCACTAAATGTGTAGTAGCTCAGTTGGAATATAAGTTCAATTTGTAATCAAGTGATAGCGGAGGACTAGGGTTCGAATCCCGTGGCGGTCCTCTTTTTTTTTTCAATTGAATGTATCGGCAGACATATACTGACCCTGATGGGTCTTCTATTGTTACTGGCCATTAATATTCACAGGAATTTTGCCGTTGAGGCCAATTCTGGCCAGCATATCATGGGCCAACATAAGGCCGACCAAAATTGTTTGCTGGGCAACCACCCGAGAACAACTGTGAGAAAACCATAGACTTAAGGATAAACAGTTATAACTAGTTCTTCATTTGTCTGTATTGAGGTCAAGGAGTATAGTATATACAGTCGTAATTATTTTAACTACTCGAGAATCCTATAAATCACGTTGGCGTTCCTACCTATTGGATTTTTCAAAGGCTTGATTATCACCGTACAGAGTTCAGCATACCACAGATGGGCACGAGAGATCAAGAAATGCTCGTAGATAGAAACATATTTGATCCGTATACTCACTACTTCAATCCCCAAGGATTTCAAGATCATCCGCCTGACTTGACACCTGACTTTCAATCTATATATACAGGATATGCCACGACGAACTTACATTATCTCTATGTCGAGAACCAGTCAGGAGAAATTGATATAAGTATGCACATTTTCATGGATTTTTTCCGAATGATTCACGATATAAAGATAGTGTAAGCTTGCCGTGACCTGCCCTGTATATGTTATCATCGCAACGTCAGGTGATGACTTCGAAATCCGCTAATCAACTTCTTTTGTATTTGAACCAAAATATAAGCATGTCTATATAAACTATGCAATTAAACTATGTCACTAACAAATAGAGAAAATGGACTCATGAATATGTAAAGCCGATACTATTGAAACAAACTTACGGTTGCCGGAAATATGATCGAAAACTATTTGATCGAAATCATTTTTGCGTCATCATAATAATATGATCGAAAATCAATTGATCGAAAACTCCGTTTTCAGGCCTTACACTGTTTGCCGGAAGGTTGAGGAAGGAAAGGAATCCTTTCTGCATAAGCATAAAAAAGATACTACTTTTCCTAAACAATCTAACCTAACTCGGCCTAAGTGAAATTTCTTCTCAGATAGTATATTTTTCGAAAAATTACTTGGGAGAATAAAAGAGCCTACTGTTTCTGAACAATATAACCTAACTCGGCCTTCCTGCAAGCGGTGTACCAAATGGTATGCTGTTTGCAATGTCAGAGCGCAGGTATTCTCTCACATTGATCTCATATCAATTTCTCCTTCCTACATTGACTATTTATTAGTGACATTTTTCGAAAACCCCAACCTCGTATGTACATTCTGACATATTATGTAGATCACTATAGTTATACTTGATGAGGTTGCACTTCTCACAGCTTCTCACTATAAAATCCTTCATATCAATTAATTCCTAGAATCTATACAAAGAGCTTGGGACGAATCGGTAAGTATAGTTTCAATAATATTATGCAATTTTTTTCATCTTTTGGAGCGCACGAAAGGAAATTTCTATAATGTTCGTGAAACATCGTGCGTACCTAGGAAGGAGAGGAAAAGATGTTGGTGTTGAAATGTCTTTTGAACTTTGAATGATTTTATTCGATCATATCTCCGGCAACCCAAACTAACAATGGTCGTCTGTAACTCTCGTAATAGATTCACCCTCTTAATAGATTTCCCCTCTTAATAGATTTCCCCTCTTAAGGATTTTGTAATATCTTGAACGAAAATGTGAGCAATAGTATGATTCACTTCGGTGATTCTAATGTCAGTTATTTTTCTGTATTTGATCGAGATTGGATCTCAATTCATGAAAGTTAAGTATAGAAGATGGTGTCTTTACTCTTGAGAGTAGAATGTATATGCAAACAAATATGCGTTAGCTGTGTTGAAATTGCAATGTGTTCCTTTCAGTAGTTTATTCACAAAGTCAATATTTCACTTTGATACACAGGAAGTTCGATAAGTGAGAGAGTTCAAGTACATTGAACGGAAAAGAAGAGTATAGGTATGATAGCATAGGCGCCGGAAATAAGAAAAACAAAAGGACACATAATGACTCAAATATACCTTAGGAGGGAAGCAC